AGGTTAGTTAGAAAAATATGTTCTTGTTTTTTTGGCTACAGAACTGTTTTAACTTGTTCTGACATAGGGCAGTTTGGTGCACAACCAAGAGGTATGTGGTTGTTTTTATTAAATCAACAAGGATGTACAGAGGATTCATTCAAAACTTTGGTGCTTTTGTAAGACATCATTTGCCATCTCTGAAAACTTCATTGGGAGTGACTTCATTTAAGAAGTTCCTGTTTCGTGCTTGTGATTTCTTTATGGTGCATCAGATATCTGATATTTTCTATTTTGTAAAACTGCCATGTTTGTTACTTTCCCCATAGGAAACCAGATTTAGTTGTATTATCTTAGAAGTGAATCTTAGTATATGTGTACAGAAAGAATTCTCAATTCAGAAATGTGAAATACATGTAGGTCAGAGAATAAAGAATTGGATACATTTGTTAAATACTACATTTTTAAAAATGTTTTAGCTGACATGTTGGAATTAGCGATACAAGGTTTAGAAAGAAAATTAGATGGAAGTGGAACTATTGAAAACAAGCTGAATAGGACAAATATATACATGATCCTGCTCATTTTAAATAGTGTTTTAGTTTTGGTATTTTACAGGCTGTTGGAAAGTCTGGATATAGTCATGTAATAATATGGCATTGGTGCTTGAAGTGTTACCTTTTTTTCCTGAACAGTATTTGCTGCTTGTTATGAACATCTTGTCTTGGAGAAGGATTCCTGCAATAGTCTCTGTGAAGTAGTGCTGGTCTGGAGAGAGAATTACAGTATCATCCTTTGTCTGAAGTTGCTTCGTATTCTTACAATGCCAGGGAGGAGAATAGTTAGACATGCATGTGATGCCTTCTTAGCATGGAGTTTCTTGTCATGTATCATTAACTATGTTTATCTGAAACTTTTCACTTAACATAATGTATTTGCAGATTTGTACCATTGCTATAAAATATGTTGCATATCTTAACGAAATTTGGTCTTAAGAATTTACAACTGTTTTTTAAGTGTGAATATAACTTTTTGTGCAAGCATTCCCCTTGCCATTCAGCTCAGTAAAATGATATTCATAAAGCCAATATATTGATATATACTTTACAGAAATAATATTTAGTTGACCAGTCGTCATTTATTTTTTTTATTTATTTATTTTTTTTCACTATCCTCGGATGTTTTTAATAGTCATTGTTTGATATGCCTTTTAAATATACTTTTGTTATTTTGTTAAATGTGTGTTACCATCTATTAAAAAATGGAATCAACTTTAAATAACTTACATTTTATGTTCTTAGTTTTCCTTCCTGCCTCATGCAATACAGCATTTTAAATAAAAGAAAATAAGAAATGGCCATACGTAATAAAACTTTCAAAACAAACCCTTAAATGAAAAGGGGAAGGGGAATTTCTTGGCCAAAGCTGCTAATTATATCATATATACATCAGTTTTCTATTTACATATCAGTAACCAGTTTAAACCATAACCTTTCCGTGATGATGGTTCTTACGTGTAGAAACGATTGATTTTGCTCAAAATGATACAAAGGAAGTTGTGGTTTATCAGGTCACATATCAGATGTGTTTGTATGATACCCCTTATTTATCTCAGTGAACTGTACATACCTGTCAGTGTATCTCACCTGTACATACCTGTCAGTGTATCTCACCTGTACATACCTGTCAGTGTATCTCACCTGTACATACCTGTCAGTGTATCTCACCTGTACATACCTGTCAGTGTATCTCACCTGTACATACCTGTCAGTGTATCTCACCTGTACATACCTGTCAGTGTCTCACCTGATACTGATTGTGTGCTGCATGTTCTCTGTGTACATTTCACCTGTTCTCATATTGTTTGTGTTCACGTTTCCATGGCAAAATATTATTTAAGATACTTCTTTACAACTACTTGATTTATTTTAAAAGTAGGAAAATACGGTGAAAACATGGCTGCCATGGTGATTGTGTATTACAAGAGGGAAAAATGCAATTTTTGGAGTGCTTAGCAAAACTGTAAAAAGATTAAGCTCCAAGTTCTTTAATGTATTGAAATTATAATATAGTTTAACTTAGATTTGCACTGAAATGTTAAACAATATTCACAATATGATCAGATATATTTATCTCAAATAATGTTCACAATATGCCTTCGTAGACATGGTCACGATAAAATAAGACAATAATTACATTGTTTGTGAAAAGTATTTTAGATGTGAAAACATGATGTACTGTCTCAATCCAACTTAATTCACAAACACATAAATGTTTTAAAATCTCCAAAATTAACAAGAGTTGATACCCATTTTCTGTCAAATATCAGTTGTCTCCCTTGGCCATGGCAGGGTCCAGTTCTGTCCTGGTTACTGTCCTAGGTTCGTCGGCACTATACCCATACTCAAGTGATTAAATAAAGTACATCTTTGACCAGCAATTCTTCATCCCAGGGATTCCCCACATGGGTACAATGTGTGAAGCCCATTTCTGGTGTCCTCCGCCGTGATATTGCTGTAATATTGCTAAAAGCGGCGTAAAACTACAATCACTCACTCTTTTATCCCAGAATAAGATAAGATAAATGACCATTTTTTTATCATTTATAATGTATAAAAATGTAAGATGGCAATAGCTGATAAGAATGTAACAGTTTATTCAGAAATAGGTCCATGTATTCTATAACCAGACAGGTGGAATATGAAATTATCATGATAAACCTGTCAATCTGCGAAATGTCAACATTTTGTGGGGACATTCATAGAATGTTTTCTGTCTTAATGTGGTAATGGGAATGCAGAGCCTTGTCCGGAAATTAATTTATTCCCAAAGAGTGCAATACATAGAGTAGAACAGATATGAAGGCTTTAGATAGTGTAACTTATGACTTTATATGGCTTGCAGTTATTCAGTGCAGAGGTTGAAAAATCGAGGTCTGTAGTTGTTTTGAAGATTGTTGATTATATTAACCATTTATTTAACTTTTTACTTGTTATAATGACCAGCAGTCTTCAAAAACATCTCATGTAATATCTCAGTCTGTCGTGTAGTCACTTCACAAGGAATTGTAGCATGTTTTACTGAAACATAAATTGTGTACATATAATCTGTTTCATTGTATGGGCCCATGTGCACAAAGAGTCCACAGCATAACTTTGGGTCTGGTGAAGTACAAATAATGGCACTAAAACGGCTTCCTGTAGATGGGCCTTTAAAGCAAAATGGAGTGGAACATTTTGGGCCTTGTACTATATGATTTTTCAACCACTGCGGTGTGCAGCAAAACCTTAAAATACTCCTAAAATATGTGATGTTAGTTTCCCATGATGGAAGACCAGCAAGTCATGTACAGATAGAAATTATACACATTGCAGATGCTTTTGAAAACTCCAGACATTCTACGAAACTAACCATGTAGGCATATTATGCAAGAGCTGCCATTGTGTTGTGTCTTTCTATGCTTGCTGCCAGATCATGCAGTGTAAAATTGTTTGATGTAGTGCAATTAATGGCGGAGTGTAAGCTTGTCAGTTTTCATTGTGAACATTGTTTTTAAGTTGTGTATTCTTAAATGTACAGATTTAGCATATCAATTGTATGCATTGATTTTTTACCATTCTTGTTACCATGGTTACCAGATTCTTGCTGTATTTATATCCTCTTAGATATTTTTGGAATGAGTTGTGCAAGCTGTTGAGCTGATTCACCATGTGGACAATTTGCATTTTTATTCGAAGAAAGTTTGCCTGTAGCACAATAAAAGTGTTGGGTCTCTCTTTGTTTTCTTGTTTACATCTCACCACCAAGATTTCCTCAAGCTGGGATGTCAAAGATTGCCTCTTCTGTAGTGATGAGTCAAGAGGGATGGATGTTAGTGATGGGTTACTATAACCAATGAAGTGTGCGGAGTTGAGAGAGTGTAGTGTGAAACCTCTTTCTTTGCAATAGCAATCTGAGGATATCAGAAAGAGGCTTCATACGTTGTACCAGTGTGGGGAATGGAGAGAGGAGGGCCCTTGGTGTGACAAGTGATTGCTTTAATCACAAGGCTAACCCTACTTGATCAGAGCTGAACCTGGAAACACAGTTGAGATGACCTGGGGTAGGAAAAATAACTTGATTTACTTCTGGACACGTGACGAACCAACTCCAACTGACACCTGGTTGGTGCTGTGGCTATGTGTGAGAATACCAGAAGGCCATTGGAAAGTTCAGTGCAGTCCCTCAGCAAGCAGACATAATATGACTTCCACTACTTCGCATGTCATTTATTCACTACCACCTCTTGAGAAAACACATTACTTACATGGATGTCAATGTGCAAGTCATCAAGTCCTAATGTTTGTGCTGAATGTGGATAAATTCAATTGAGCAAGATAGGTATTTAAGGCAGAGAGTGATGGAGCACCAGTCTGCATACTATGTATAGTGTAAAGTCCTTACGCCAAAACTTGACTTCCTTCATTCGCTATATCCCTGAAATTTGTTACATTTTTATGTAGTCATTCTACTACAACTCTGATCTTATTTCAAGGAGCTGTGTTTACCAAGATGGTATTATTAGTCATTCTTCATGATTCCCAACAGGTTTGTTGCTATTCCAGTCTATTCTTAACAGCCAGTAGTGATACGGCTGTCAATCTCGGTTCCAGGAAATGTAGCCTTTTTAAATTACTGAAAATGATTCTCCTACCTAGATAGACAATACTTGTAGAGTCAGCAACCCTTAGATGAACTGACAAGACATAAATCAAGATAAAGACTGTTGGGTTTTGTTCAAGTCAATTAAACGTAGCTGAATAATCTTGTAGCTCCAAGTTTGTCCATTTCTTTGTCCATCTTTGCTACACATATTCATATCTCTTCATGCATCAAGAAATTGTATTCTTATCTTCATGCATCAAGAAATTGTATTCTTATCTTCATGCATCAAGAAATTGTATTCTTATCTTCATGCATCAAGAAATTGTATTCTTATCTTCATGCATCAAGAAATTGTGTTCTTATCTTCAATTTCCTTCTTCCACATTTCAGGTAGTCAAAATTCTAGATCATCTCAGAATTTGTTGCAAAACACACTTGATGCCACACGGACAGGATGAGTCCGTTCCACCGCATCACTTTTAGCAATATTCTTGACATATCACTGCAGGGAGCAATAAGGATGGGCTTCCGAAACAGAACCATGTTGGAACTCGGGCCTGCCCCAGAGTGAGTGAGGTTGACATCAGATCAGCTGGGAACTGGTTTACCCTGTAGTGTGTAGCTTGGAGTGCCACTCTGCATCACACCTTTAGCTTTGTCATCAACAACCAACTCCAGGGTGACTTCTTTAAATATATCACTCCGCGATACCTGGAAAAGACAATGTCACAGAATAGACACGCTGGGGCAGATTTGTGACCAGTAGATATGTCAGTAGACTCTTAATCCATCCTCAAAAGGTTTGTAAACTTTATTAAGCAACTGCTCTTAATGTTGTAAACATTTTCTTGACTACAGGTAAACAACCATATGTCTTAACTCCTAACATGTTTTTCTGTATTCATAAAGAAAGGTTTGATTGAGACAAAACATTGAACTGGTCAATGTAAACTGGGAGACTGACATCCACATTCATACTAAACCATACCATAAACTTACATACATGTACTAAACTCCAATTTGAAAAGATACGGATATTTAGATGAAATTGTGTAGTCAGTCATTACAGACAAACTGGTACTATATTTTATATCATTCACATTATGGTTTCCAAAATGAACCAAATATGACTGTCTTAATGATTTTAAATAATTTCATATCCACGAACACAGTTCGACAACGTTTACGTCATCACGGGATCAGACCACGGCGTCCCGCCATACGGCCTATCCTGACACAACGTCATCGACAAGCTCGCCCGAATGTGGTGCCGAAATCATGTCCAAGACCCTTGTTTTGGTGGAGAAATGTTGTTTTTACAGATGAGTCCAGGTTTAACATTTCCCCATAGTGATGGACGCCAGCGATGCCTATAGACGCCAGTGGGAGAGCGTTATGCACAGGCCTGTGTCTTGGAGAGGAATCGCTTTGGTGGTGGTTCCGTGATGATTTGGGGTGGAATAACAGCACGCCAAAGAACTCCTTTGGTGATTGTTCAGGGCAACTTAACTGGTGTGGGCTACGGGATCAGATTCTTCGACCTGTGGCAATTCCTTTTCTGCAGCGTCATGGCCCTGGGTTAACATTCCAACAGGACAATGCCCGCCCTCATACAGCAAGGGTTGCTATGGATTTCTTGCAACACCACAACGCGTTGACTTACTGCCTTGGCCTGCAAATTCACGGATCTCTCCCGATAGAGCTGTTTGGGATGAGATGGATCGGCGTCACGCCGTCTTCCTCATCCGCCAGATAACGTCCTTGACCTTGCAACAGAACTTGAAAGAATCTGGCGTGACATCCCACAAGCCTTCCTTGCACGTTTGACAGGCTCTATCGTCATCAATGCACTGCTGTTCTCAATGCCCGATGGTGGACATACCCATTATTGGAGCTTGTGACATGGTCGTTTGACCCCTGTCCGGCTTGTGGACTCCATGGCGTCATTGTGATTGACTTTTCAGTTGAAATTCTCCCGACTTGTTATGGTCTCATGATCCCTCCATTAAAGTTTATATGTACCTTTGACATTGTTATCATTACTGATCAACTGGGATAATATTTTGACAATGCACAGTTTATTTATGTAAGCTAGTAAATATGCAATTTAGGATGGAATGGTAAATCACATTCATATCAAAGTTCTGCCTAAATGCTGTCAGTACTGATGCTGTATACAATATGAAGAAGTACAGCAAAACCATGGCTTACCTCTATAAAACCTAACTTGTTGAACATGGCAAGACTAGGTGAGTTGGAGTAGCCTATTTTGGCTGTTATTTTTGTCAAACCAAGAACTTCAACACCTAAAGTAAGGAAACAATAAAAGAATTAACACATATGTAATTCATTGATGAAAACAAAAAGAATAAGGCTGATAAATTTATTTATCTACATCCTAGCACAGTAAATGAGATATGCATCAGGGACATTTCAGAAAATGTTAAAAACAGTGTGAATACTGAATAAATCCACTCACTGTATCCGATATATGTAAAATGTGGGCACTGTTTCTTTAAACCTCAATTTTAAGTCACTTGTTATAAATAGATATGTCAACAATGCTGATTTTTCAAACTTCTTGTTTAATGATTATGGAAAAAATTGTACACTACAAAACAAGTTTAGTGAGATCACTTAGCACAATAATACAACAGATACCCCTCCCTTCCTGTTCTCAGCAAATCAGTAATCAGCAGGTGCTAAGTAGGCATGGCCTTTTACTTTGGGTTTTTTTAATCCTAAATGCAAAACAATTCCTTGGTTTGCCGATCAGAGGCCACAGACTCACTTGCAGTTCAGTTTATTTACAAGTCTACTCTACACACTGTAGCTGTAAACACTTCTGAATACTCCTGCTTTAAAGTTACCATATCTCATCATGGACAATAACGCTTCCTTCCCCAGCCCACGACCTCGTGCTGACGATTCTGAAAACAGATATCCAGTCTTATTGACCTTGGCGAAGAATGAGATTTGATTCAGACACATAGTACCAGTACTACCATAAAATGTTAAAGTGACTTTCAACTTACACTGGGCTCACTGATCAAATAAAATAGTATCTAGTGGAGACCGACTCTATGGTGTAGTGGATATAACCATCTGTTCATGGCACAATCATGTCATGCCAAGAAAACAGAAATTCCAACTTGTTGACATGGAGGGTTACCTGCTATCATAATCTCTATCTCAGCGACATGTTTCTCTCCTTCATTGAAGAACAGATTCACATCCCCCACCATTGCTCCTGAAACATTAGGAACACATTCCTGAAATCAGAAATTTCTATTTGATACGGCATCTATCTATTATACATCATACTGCTGAGAAAGATACTAGTATCTGCTCCAGAATGTTGCAAAATGAACCTACACCAAAATGTCGCTCTCACTGTAATAAAGAAGTATACCCTGAGGACAGGGTTTTACATGACGCGGGATTCCTGCGTATTTGACGCAACAATTTTGTTAAAGACTCTTAAAATATTATCATACGAGTCAAGCTTGACGCAAGTTTTATGAGTGACCCTCAGAATTCAGTTCAGAGTCAATAAAAGCGATTTGATAGCAAACAATGATAGTTTTTGTGAGGTCTTCATTAATTTAGATATTTCTTTCAATTCATGTTAATAACTGTATGTTACAGTGAATAAATCACAAGCCTGATTATGCGTTCAGTATACTGGAGTTTGTTATGAATGAACTGAACTGTGAAAAAAATACTATTTATTAACTAACATATAAATGACAAGACAACACAAAACAATAAAATCTTTGCAAGACTCTTGCTTTTTCATATACACACAAAAATATTACGCAAGAATTTTCACGACTCCCAAATATTGAAAATGACTACCAAAAATAAATACTGTGGGTCACCATGACTCTCTTTTTTCAAAGTCTGTGTAAAACCCTGCCTGAGGATATATTGTTATCATTCTTTGCACAAGTAAAAGTGTTGAAATACATAACTCTGTTGTTCACTGATACGACAGACACTGTAAAACATCATAGGCCTAGGTTGGATGTTTAATGATGATGACAAATACCTATTTCTCTATCACACTGGGTTGGTTCACCAGACTTCTGGTACAAATCTACATCCAGGATGATAAATGTACATTCTGAAACATATCAAAGTAGGTTCCTTTAATTAGCATTTAAAAGCTGGTATGACAGTGTTAGCATCTACGCTGAAACATCGGTAACAAGCAGGTTGACATTCAGTCATTTCACATGCAAAATCAATAAACAAACCATCTTTATGCTGATATATAGGAACTGATGACAAGTTTGAAAACCTGTAATCCAACGTTCCCTGACTTTAAAACCAAGTACAGACACAGTGCTTACATTGTTGAAAAACAGAATTGTGAAGTACATTACTCAAACCACCAACTTCTACCCAATCCCAAGTAATTGCATATTATGAGTGAGTGGGTATTGTTTTATGCCGCTTTTAGCAATAGTCGAGCAATATCAAGGCGGAGGATACCAGAAATGCCATTTTCCAACCAAATGATGGCGGTCTGTAAATAATCAAGTCTGGACCAGACAATCCAGTGACTGACAACATGATCATCTATCTATGTAACTGGGATATGATGACATGTGTCAACCAGGTCTGCGAGCCTGTCCACCAGATCCCGTTAGTCGCCTCTTATGACAAGCATGTGTTTCTGAAGACCAATTCTAACCAAGCTCTTCATGGGTCTCTAAACAGTCTGCATTTAGAGTACAATTCAGCAGGAGTCAAGTATCTTGAGTCCACTGACTGTCCAGGTCTTGGCGCCACGCCTCCTGCATGGCATACTCCTCTTCCAGACTGAGGGGCTCTGATGCCGTCAACTCCTGCAGCTCCTCTGACTGCATCCAGGTGTGATATCTGCAGGTAATAACACAAACAAATTTCTTTCATAGTAGTTTTTAGAATTGTTTTACAATTATGTTACAAGACATAGTCAATGCTAACCTCTTGAAACTTCGATACAATACCTCTTTGCATGAGTGAATGAGTTTATTTTACGCCGCACTCAGCAATATTCCGGTCGGCTATATGGTGGCGGTCTGTAAATAATCGAGTCTGAACCAGACAATACAGTGATCAACTGCTGTAACTGAAATCATGATGATCTTGGCCGAAAGCATAACATTAAAAATTAATATTGATTAATAAACTATAAGTTTACAAATATTGAATGGGATGTGTTTTAACATCCTATTTCACAGTGGGTGAGTGGATGCAATGGTTACCAGGTTACTATATTAGTCAGACCTTTCACGGCATGTGGTGCTGATACAAATCATAATCCGGGTGAATTCGGGATTCGAACCAAAACGGAGCCAATAATGTCTGACTTCACATCACCTTTAGCAAAAATCAATTTCATGGACTAAACCACCGTTAGAAGTTTTTGATTTGTGGTTTGGGGATTTGTATGAATCTTGATAAAAGAGTACTCCAAGGTAGTCGGGAATGACAGAAGATCAACAGCTGATAAAACGTTAGTTATTGACAGACATATATACTTTCGTCTTACTTTATAAATACCAACTTACTTTGGAACATGATGTCTTTCGTAAGGTACTAACACAACTTTACTTCCACACAAAAACGTATTTTCGTTGATTCTCATGTTTAAACTCGCAACAGTTCTCCCCCTGTTGGCCAAAATATCAGATCATTTCATTAAGAAACTATTTTGATCTCCGATTTTACTGAGGAGATGTCGTTTCTGGGTTTTCATTGTAAACAAACCCCCCACATGTGGTCTAGGGGAGGTAACTCTAATATATGTCGGTTTTGATCATGTGACGAGTGGGGAGTGAAGGATGACAGGAGGCTAGGTTCAATGCAAGACTGCGAAGCAGACTGAAAATGTTACCGTACAACTCTGCTATAGCTAACTGACTGGAATATGGCAGAGCGAGGGTCAGAAACGGGGGCCCAATATGGGACAGTGGTGAGTTAAAATATTTTTAGGTAATATGAAATATCACACTGACAAGATCTGAGAGTGACGATGTGTGTCAGAGACGGGCTATAAAGTTTGTTAATAACGATGTGAGATAGAATCTAGGCCAAAGTTAGTGAGACGTTTTGCCTTGAAACTTTCTTTCATATTACCCAAACCCTTTGTTTAAACATAATGGTATGGATAACCATATTTAGTATAACCCTTGTCAGTATAGAAATTAGTTTTAATAAGTTGGATAGGATTGATACTTTTTGTGTGTTAGGCTAGCCAGTAGTATTCATAAGAGTAACTGTAGAATTGTAGCTATGTACTGCTCAGCTGTTGCTTTCCAACATCTACTGATCATATATCCACAGCAATGAATTGTTCTTAGTAATTGTAACATTAAGAATGTATAGCAGTACATAGCTGTGATTGCACAGCTAGTATGAGTCTATAGCCTCACTGATTGTAATTGACCAACTTACTTCTATGATTGCACACCTAGTATGAGTCTATAGCCTCACTGATTGTAATTGACCAAAGTTCCTATGTGAAGCTTTCTTTTTCCCAACACCTAACAGTAAATGGATCTTCGAATACTTGATGAGAGAGTTCTTAAAGAGGCCCTATTGTGGCCATTTGGCAGTCACAACAGATTCCAATTCTATCATTATATCCAAGATGCAGCAGATGCAATTCATGCATCATGTGCTAATAAAAATGGAGAGGAGGCATAAAAATAGTGCATCATGCATCCACTGGGCTACAGAACATTTGTATGTATGTGAAAGAATGGATGCTGTTGTTCCTAAATTTGGTACCCCCATAAGTCTGAATTTCCTGATGTAATGATTTAAGAAAATCAATTTACAGTCAAATGCTTCGCATTCTTTTAGTGCTGGAACTTCAGTGGATGGAGTCCATGTCTATTTTTAACTCCTGATCAGGTCCTAATTTGTTATGGAGAACAAGAGAAACAGTTTTTGTCTGAGAGTTACAGTCTTCCTAATGCTTAGATATCGTCAAAAGTATTTTAAATTTAAGAACAGTTTGGTGGGTCACTGTTAGATGCTTCCCATGGGTTTGCTCCTTTTGTTTCTTGAAAAGAATATGTTGACATATGATAATCTATCCAAAACAAATGCAACTTTTAACTTGAGAAGACCATGTGTCCATTCTCTGACATCTAATGATGGTTTAAAATGACAATAATGGTAAACTGATCAGTGTAAGCTGCAAAGGACAGTGAGTTGGTGCAATCTACTGACCATTTCACACATGACTTTCCAAAATCCAATTTCAGAATATCTCAAAATTTGGAACAGTTTATGAGTTGTCAATATGGTCCCCAGCAATGTACCCTGTACCCCAAACATACCCATCACTGGGAAAAGTTGTTTAGAAGCTACCATGTTGTTATGTGTACAAGTTGGCGTCTTTGATGGAGGGGGCGGTGGGGTAGCCTAGTGGTTAAAGCGTTCACTCGTTACACCGACGACCCGGGTTCGATTCCCCACATGGGTACAATGTGTGAAGCCCATTTCTGGTGTCCCTCGTGGTGATATTGCTGGAATATTGCTAAAAGCGGCGTAAAACTAAACTCACTCACTCACTCACTTTAATGGAGGAGGCACAATGGTAACAGGAAACATGTACATGCTACAATACAGGGAATGACAACACAAGAAGGTTCCTCTATGATCATTTTAGTCTGACTGGCTCATGTTACCGCCTTTGTCTGAATTGTCACCTCTGATGGTCACAACAATCAGTGTGACTGTTGCTTGCTAAAGTCCATCACATGACCAGTATCTTGACTCTCTTGTTGACGATTTCATCTTTGTACGACGGATATTGTCCAACATTTCTGTTATTATTATACAATAAGGCTAATGTGATCGGTCTCCAGCTAGCCCCAAGGCCTGTTGCTTGGTATATGGGGGCAGTAGGTAGCCTAGTGGTTAAAGCGTTCATTTGTCTCGCCGAAGACCTGGTTGATTCCCAAAATGAGTACAATGTGTGGAACCCATTTCTGAAGTCACCCTGTCCTGATATTGTAGGAATATTGCTAAAAACAGCACAAACCACTCACTCACTAGTATATGAGCTCTGCCATCATGCTTTTTTTAACTATGAATTCTAACAACAAATACCTTGTCTATTTTTTGGCAAAATCGTATGATAATGAAATATGTATCAATAGTGCCAAACATTTGTCTTCAGTTTCTGTAACATTATGCAAATATGAGAAAATAATATTATTTCCTCTTTACATTTTGTCGTGTCAGCACAAAAATCATACTGAAATCCTGGGAACATTCACGTCTTTGTGTATCGTAAGGGTATTTGGTCTACCTGTATCCCAGATGTATTTATAAGTTTTATTTGTCTGATCATCAAGCAATTTGCTCTTAAAATATATAACTATCTATATAAGTAATATTGAAACATGAAATATAAAAGGACAGAGTAGAACTAACAGACAGCTGAATGTTGATGCTCAGTTATTGCCAACATTTACATAATTGATTAATATTTTTCTCTGTTCTGTATTCAAACTGTTGCCAGCTGATCGTTCAGGTTTGTAGGTTTGTTTTATCGGAATATAATTATATTATCACTGGGAACATGTACACTAGGACTGTACATGAGTAAATATCTACATGTGAATCGGTTTATCAGCTTGATAGTTTCCATTCTGATACTCAGTAAAGTTCTAGAATTACTGACTTGATGCATGATGATGATTAAAAACGACTATTCTTTTGAAACATATGTTACGTTCACTTTAACTCTTTACTGTTCGCCATATGGAATAGAATCCTAAACTACAGCATATTTATGCATAGCTCCATTTGTACTCTTATTTATCAGGTGAAAACATGTCCTTTTAGTAATGAGTATTACTTCCATGATGACAAAAATTACTAAGTGAGTGTTTCAAGGAATTTTCCATTTCATTTTGATTGTATAATCCCTTTTAAATTGTGATCAGATGTAACAGCAAGTTGCTTTAGGTGAATTTGTTTTGTATCTGCTGGGTGCCTCACAAAGTGCGCACTATGTGACATAAAGTGCTAAGACTGATATACATTTCTGATAAACAGTATGCAAATAAATACACATACACGAGCTGAAAAAGCTACTTTGGCCATGAACAGAGTTAATTTATGGATTGGATTTTCTAAATTTTCATGCACATGGTGTAACCTATGAAATGAACATGAAAAATGCAACCTGATATTTATGTCTGCAACCTACTATACCTATTAAATGAAAATGAAAAATGCACCCCATTATGTCTGTGTGGACCAAGTGTATGTCAAACACAGAACCGATCATTGAACAGACTCAGTGCCTCTAAAAAGTATTCACCCTACAAGAGCACTAATCCCTGTGGTCTATGTAATTTCGGCTTGCTGTCATGTGCATGTGTTCCTAGTACATGTTAAAGCATCGTTAATTTAACTTATGTGGCACAGGCAGAAGTCCTTGGCGGGTTTGGGGCTGGGGGTGGTGCTGTATTTTTGCATGGGCAGTTTAAAAATATGTGGGTAGTGGGCAAATATTAGGAGCAATTTACTCAGCTCATCTGTATCTCTGTTTAGATGGTCAAACATATGGTAAACATTCTTCTCAGTTGACAGATTTACTCAAAGTATGATTTTCACATGGATTTCAAAACAAATTTCACTCATTTCAAAAGTCCATGACTGGCAATTGTAAGAAAGTAGGCTTGTCAGCCATTTGAACATGTCCCATAATTTTCATAATATATTGGAAACATCCACAACTTTCCTTTGTGTGGAGAAAGACCCTTGTCATATCCCGTTGTCTATGGTAATAACTTTAAAGGTCACATGCAGCGTAAAACACAACTTTGCAGATTCTGATACCTTACCATATGGACTTACGAAACAAATCGTCAAAATGCAAATTCAAGTTATAAAGTTGAAAAATAGCGATGAAAAAAAAGCGCGAAAAATCGGAGTTCAAGCGTTTCACTAATTTTCCCCAGACTTTTCTGGGGAATACGGGTTTCAACAGCTGGGCTGCGCTCATATAGCACGCGCAGTGAAATAGGTTCGCGCAACTTGGAAGCGGGCTGTCTGGTGAATACGGTTTCGGTGCAGGCTTTGGTGTGAGCTATTTTCATAATGTTTTGTTGATATCTCACAGCGAGAGCTTTTATATGTTATGACGGTAAAAAACTGTTCATATAATTTCATTTGTCTATTTCACCACACGTTCTTCTTACCGAGTCACTTTCTCAGTTCGATGCTTAAAAGCAATGTCATTATTTAAGCGTTGACACAATTTCTAACTGTGATATAGATATGTCGTTGTCACAGACAAAACTCAATGTCTTGTGTTATTGACACCTATGTGTCTGCCTGCCAGTCTGCTAATGACAATATTCAATACACAACTGCGATCACTGACCACATGCAATTTGAACTTAACACCAATCAGGCTATACACCATAAACAAAACGCATTGATTTATGGCCCGAGTTCGGTCTCTGTCACATTAGGTAATTACACGGACAGGCAGGTGTGATACTTGAACACATGACATGTTATGATGTCTGTTGATTGCAAATGTTATACACAAAAATGAGCATGTATTTACAAAACCCAACATCTCTATATATACACACAATGAGCCGTGGGCGGCATCTGCTAATGAACCAGCCGTTACGCTTGAGTGCACACCCACCCGCTCTGACTGGGTTCGGTATCCCGGCTGCTTCGTTTCGAGGGAGGTAAACCTAAGTACAAAATATTGCACTTTTGATTTGCGATTATACGCTTATAATTTTGTTTATTTGTTTTTTCATAATCAGCAATGCATATTATATGTCATGAAGAAGTGATAATTGTGTTTTAATTATGTGTTTGATTTTTGGTTTGCATGTGACCTTTAAGAAACTAAGAACTCTGACTGCTCATGTTGCTGTATGGCCACATGAAGATGCCAGGAACCCTTTAGTTCCCTGCACAAAGGCTGACTTGTTGTTTCGACTTTCAGGTGGGCCTCCTGAGTTTCTTTAGGTAAGACCTTCACAGAATAGGGACCCCAAAACTCCTGCTTATTGACAATGCAGAATAGGGACCCCAAAACTCCTGCTTATTGTCAATGCAGAATAGGGACCCCAAAACTCCTGCTTATTGTCAATGCAGAATAAATTTTAAAACTCCTGCTTATTTTCAATGCAGAATAGGGCCCCCAAAACTCCTGCTTATTTTCAATGCAGAATAGGGACCCCAAAACTCCTGCTTATTTCAATGCAGAAAGGGCCCTTTAAAACTCCTGCTTATTGTCAATGCAGAATAGGGACCCCAAAACTCCTGCTTATTGTCAATGCAGAATAGGGACCCCAAAACTCCTGCTTATTGTAACTGCAGAATAGGGACCCCAAAACTCCTGCTTATTGTCAATGCAGAATAGGGCCCCCAAAACTCCTGCTTATTGTCAATGCAGAATAGGGCCCCCAAAACTCCTGCTTATTGTCAATGCAGAATAGGGACCCCAAAACTCCTGCTTATTGTCAATGCAGAATAGGGACCCCAAAACTCCTGCTTATTGTCAATGCAGAATAGGGACCCCAAAACTCCTGCTTGTTGTCAATGCAGAATAGGGACCCCAAAACTCCTGCTTATTGTCAATGCAGAATAGGGCCCCCAAAACTCCTGCTTATTGTCAATGCAGAATAGGGCCCCCAAAACTCCTGCTTATTGTCAATGCAGAATAGGGCCCCCAAAACTCCTGCTTATTGTAACTGCAGAATAGGGCCCCCAAAACTCCTGCTTATTGTCAATTCAGAATGACTCCTGCTTATTGGGACCCCAAAACTCCTGCTTATTGTCAATGCAGAATAGGGACCCCAAAACTCCTGCTTATTGTCAATGCAGAATAGGGCCCCCAAAACTCCTGCTTATTGTCAATGCAGAATAGGGCCCCCAAAACTCCTGCTTATTGTCAATGCAGAATAGGGACCCAAAACTCCTGCTTATTGTCAATGCAGAATAGGGACCCCAAAACTCCTGCTTATTGTAACTGCAGAATAGGGCCCCCAAAACTCCTGCTTGTTGTCAATGCAGAATAGGGACCCCATTACTCCTAGGCTGCTTGTTGTCAATGCAGAAGGACTCAGTACACATACATGTGGCTTAAAGATCTCAGAAGGACCCAGTTTTCATTATTACTTTATTAAATCATCCAGATTTTTTAAAGATAATTTTACCATTATTATTATCAAGGTTAGGGTACTGTTACACTCCTCATCAAGATATCGCCATAGTTTCAGTCTTTGTTATCAAGATAAATATATCATTGCAGTCCCAACAGTTGTCCCATCTAAAGGACATTGGTAGGTAACAACATATATATGTCGTAGGTGGTGTAGTGGACTGTTTTGGGATTGTATTATTATAAGGTTTATCTCCCTCCAATCTGAAACCGCATCCGTGGTGTAGTGGTTAGAGCGTCTGCCCGGAGAGCGGAAGGTCGCGGGTTCGATCCCTGACCGCGTCATACCAAAAGACGTTAAAATATGGTACTTGTTGGTCCCTGCCTGACGCTCAGCATTAATGGGTACAAGAAGGACTGGTCGGCTCGGAGTCAGTATAATGTGTCTGAGTGGGGTATTCATGCTTCACTGCGGCATGGTATCTCAGTGGGCTAGCACTATAAAACCAGCTTCAGTCTGGGCTAGTACAAGCAGCCGCACATACACATACACACGCATGCACGTCGTCATATGAGCGAAATATTCTCAAACACGACGTAAAACCCAATTTCACCTCACCTTATTGGCTTTGGGGAAACAGTACGTACCATGAACATATTATCCACACCACCAAATACAGCATTATTGGCAGCTTGCTCTAATAGGTTTCATATTGAATATTTGGTTTTAATTTATACTTCACAAAGTAGTAATACTAGCTATTTGCATGAATGTATAAATAAATCTAAGGTTATTACTCTAAGGTATAAATGATATACAGTGAAGCCCGTTAGTCTGGACTCCGATAATCTGGATGTCTCAGCCTCCCAGACGATTTCAGCTTGTTACCAATCTATGCCTATATAATTTGCCTCGATAATCCGGAAATTCGGTTTCGAACCGGACGATAAAAGTAGCTGTCACCAATCAGTAAAATAAACAGTAAATTGCTTCACAGTCGGACGCTGTGTAAGTCGTGTTTCACGAACCGTAACAACACCTCCGGCGATTTTTACTTAATTAACTGGCCAACTGGGTTGTTGTTTTAATTAGACATTAAAAGCTACCGACTGAAGATACTGTTCCTTTTCACTTTGATTGACACCCACAATACAAAGGTGGATGACAAGTGAGCTGTTTTGTGATTGGTTAATGTAATTTTGACAGAACAGATGCGGTCCGTGGACTTAAAGTGATTTTGCTTTACGACAATGCTGCAAGTCACAAGTGAATTAGCCATTAACTGCGAAATGTGACCAAATACCGTCTCATATTCAACCGATGGATGCAGGAATAATTCAGGACATTCAAGGCATACTACAATAGAAAAGGCCCATGAAGATCTAATCAAAAGGCCCATGAAGATCTAATCAAAAAGGCCCATGAAGGATCTAATCAAAAGGCCCATGATCTAATCAAAAAGATCTAATCAAAAGGATCTAATCAAAGGCCCATGAAGATCTAATCAAAAGGCCAATGAGGATCTAATCAAAAGGCCCATGAAGATCTAACCAAGAGGCCCATGAATCTAATCAAAAGGCCCATGAAGATCTAATCAAAAGGCCCATGAGGATCTAATCAAAAGGCCCATGAAGATCTAATCAAAAGGCCCATGAGGATCTAATCAAAAGGCCCATGAAGATCTAATCAAAAGGCCCATGAGGATCTAATCAAAAGGCCCATCTAATCAAAAGGCCCATGAGGATCTAATCAAAAAAGGATCTAAAATCAAAAGGCCCATGAAGATCTAATCAAAAGGCCCATGAGGATCTAATCAAAAGGCCCATGAAGATCTAATCAAAAGGCCCATGAGGATCTAATCAAAAGGCCCATGAAGATCTAATCAAAAGGCCCATGAGGATCTAATCAAAAGGCCCATGAAGATCTAATCAAAAGGCCCATGAAGGATCTAATCAAAAGGCCCATGAAGATCTAATCAAAAGGCCCATGAAGATCATGAGGATCTAATCAAAAGGCCCATGAAGATCTAATCAAAAGGCCCATGAGGATCTAATCAAAAGAGGCCCATGAAATCAAAAGGCCCATGAGGATCTAATCAAAAGGCCCATGAAGATCTAATCAAAGGCCCATGAAGATCTAATCAAAAGGCCCATGAAGATCTAATCAAAAGGCCCATGAAGATCAAAAGGCCCTAATCAAAAGGCCCATGAAGATCTAATCTAAAAAGGCCCATGAAGATCTAATCAAAAGGCCCATGAAGGATCTAATCAAAAGGCCCATGAAGATCTAATCAAAAGGCCATGAGGATCATGCCCATGAAGATCTAATCAGAAAGGAAGATCTAATCAAAAGGATGAAGATCTAATCAAAAGGCCCATGAGGATCTAATCAAAAGGCCCATGAAGATCTAATCAAAAGGCCCATGAGGAAAAGGATATAAAAAATCTAATCAAAAGGCCCATGAAGATCTAATCAAAAGGCCCATGAAGATCTAGACCATTCATTCAAAAGGCCCATGAAGATCCTCACTCACTCAAACCCACTCACTCAGTCACTCACTCAGTCACTCACTCAACCACTAACTCAACCTCTACCTCAGCCACTCACTCACTCACTCACTGTACACTAACTCTACCACTTGCATACTCCTTTCAGATGGTTGTAAATAGGTGTCACCGTATTATTACAACCAATGTGACTGTCCTGTGTTTTCCTTTCAGCAGACCAGTGTGGTAATGTTGTTATTTCACTTTTCAGTTATATTACTGTTACCATAGTGACTGAAGTAATGGCTGTTGCAAATGCTGTCCTTCGACGACAAGCCGCTCAGGTAAACTTCAGTCATTCATGGCATGCACATGCTACACACATCAAACATAGCATACACATGGCATACACATGATAAGGTCATGTCCATCACTCATGACTAGTGTTAGACCCTAGTTTTACCACAGACCTACACAGATCATAATGTTCAAATGTTACCTTTCAACCAATCTTGTGAATAGGGGCACTGTCAGGGTGCTGCACCTGACATGAATGTTTTAATGGAATGAGGCCCTGGATGTTGTACTAAGACCAGCATAACTCCCTGTCATCAATGTTATAACACAAACACAGGTGCCTTCCCATTCTGCCTACAGTTCCATTCTGCCTGCACGTTAAAACAACATGATACGGTCCAGTGATCAGGAAGTAAGGTCAATGTGCTCACCTATTCTACCTTTACTAAAATGAACTTGACCAAAAGTCAATTGTAGGCAATACAGGAGAAATGACCAAAATTAGTGTTTCGATAGTATGTTTGCAGTGAAAACCTACCAATGAATTTCACTTTAAACAAAAAAAGTAAATCGAATAAACTGAAATTAAGATTGTGAATCCTCATAATTTTACCTTGCCAAGTGAACATTTATATCTCAGAATTTTATTCAACTTCAGATAAAAGTTGTTTAGCAAATAATCATAGTTTCAAATCGCTATCACTAGTTTGTATTACAGTGGGGTATGCACATTAAATGAAATACCGAGAACATGAAGGGTTGTACCAAATACTGCGCTCATCCCCTTGTATTACAACCCAATAATAGCGATTCGAATCTATGATCATTTGTTAAACAACTTTTATTGTGTCCAGATTCCAACAGGAAAGCATGCCTCAGAGTCCACCCATGTGCTTGTCATATAGTCATGGGGCATGGTTGTGTTGTGTTGTATTGCAGAATTAATGATGTATCCAGGTATGGAACAGCTCCACTTACATGGGGAATGCACACACTTCCAATTAGAAGATAAACATATTGTGGGAAAATCAGAGGTATATACCAAAATTATAATTCTTTTATTTAAATAAAAACTTTAGATCTATTATAAATGTTTATCTCCATTCTGCCATAACCATGTTATTAAGATTTTAAAAAAATACATACTGTGTTGGAAAATGAGAGCTATATAAAGTGATTATATACCTCTGAATGACTTTAATTAACCAATCACAATCCAGTATTTACTGAAGTCATGGTAGAATGTGTTGTAGACTGTCGTCTGACGTTTAAAGGGGCGATGGGGTAGCCTAGTGGCTAAAGCGTTCGCTCGTCACGCCAAAGACACGGGTTCGATTCCCCACATGGGCACAATGTGTGAAGCCCATTTCTGGTGTCCCCCGCCGTGATATTGCTGGAAAATTGCTAAAAACGGCGTAAAACCATACTCACTCACTCACTCACTCACTCTGACGTTCAAGTGATTGCAGTACCCAAAGAATGCTTGCTTTCCTCCTGCTTCCGAAGTGATGAATTCAACACGCTGAACATTTGCCATTGTGTGATGGGTGCTGTTGGTTCCCATTCTAATTCATCAGGAGTTTAATTAACTGAGCAGACTCATGGTATATGTCTTTACGTATCTTTATTGGATTTTGAAGACCAACCACAGCTTTTTAACTTTCATTATCACCGATATCATGATGTCATTTAATTTAAGTGAAACTGCATTAATTACCCTTCCTCCAAACCCAACAACATACCCTTCATAGACTGGTAGATGGGTTGTTCCATTATTTTATAGACCAACTGGGGCTGTAGGCAGAAGGGGATGTAACCCAAACACATGCATCATGACCATGAGTAGTATATAACTGAGGTTTGTGTTACCGAATTGATTCTGTACATACATGGGGTATCACATCTTCTGAAAACTGTCAGATAAAAGCCCTACTTTGTGACAGAATGAAAAATACTTTTTGTCTTGAAATAGATATTATCAAATACCAAAATAGGCTATTTATGTGAAGACAAATTTCATTGATTGACACGTCAGCTGTGTCTTGTTCCAGAATTCTCAGGAAGATTCACCAGACATCAAGGAAGAAGTTCCCCTGTTGCAAGACAGGAGACTAGGTTTGTAAAATATCTCATGGGCAAAGATGGCAGATTAAGTTTTACTTGAATTACAGTGCAAGTGTTTTCTTTAAAATATAATCTGAGTGAAGCTGAAACTATGTGTAGAGGATAAGTTTCCTGATAGGCCACAAACTGAAGTAATAGATATATATATATATACGTGAATGTCTGTTACCATGTAATCAAAATCAAAATTACACTCAAATTAATCTGCACTCTCTGATACGACTTTACGCCATCATACATGTTTACTTCTGTGGCTAAAACATCACTACACGTGACAGTTGGCTTGCAGTGAACAAGAGGATCATTCTAGATGCAACATTTTGGTGTAGATGCTAACTCAGTCTTATCAAGCAAGTGCTAACAGTGTTAGCATCTACACCAATATTCCACTCCTGCACCCAACACTGAGGTCCAATGATAAGTCTGTGTTAAAGTGTGGCAGTTATAGCCACCTTAGTGCTAAGATTTCTTTGTACAATGGCTGCCAGGTTTGTCCTTAAGAGGTAGAGGAGCACCATTGCCATTGGTACCTGTATACTGTTTTCAGATCCCCCAAGATGTAGTGGTTCGTGAGGTTTGACTGACATTATGCTTGCTTGTGATATAGGACTAGGCAAGTCTGTCTCTGTCTGTCTGTCTAAACCAAAACACTGTATGAGTAGGACATAACAGTACAATACAGCATAACAATACATTATATAATACTGCTACCAGACTTCTTCTGTTCCGAGTACAACCAATACTGCCTTGTGTAATACCAATATTGTTATACCAGTACTGCTTCATATACTACCAATACTGCTCCTTACACTACCAATACTGCTTCATACACTACCAATACTGCTTCATATACTACCAATACTGCTTCATACACTACCAATAATGCTTCATACACTACCAATACTGCTTCATACACTACCAATACTGCTGCATACAGTACCAATACTGCTTCATATACTACCAATACTGCTTCATACACTACCAATACTGCTTCATACACTACCAATACTGCTTCATACACTACCAATACTGCTTCATACACTACCAATACTGCTTCATACACTACCAATACTGCTGCATACACTACCAATACTGCTTCATATACTACCAATACTGCTACATACACTTCCAATACTGCTGCATACACTACCAATACTGCTTCATATACTACCAATACTGCTTCATACACTACCAATACTGCTTCATACACTACCAATACTGCTTCATATACTACCAATACTGCTTCATATACTACCAATACTGCTTCATATACTACCAATACTACCAATGCTTCATATACTACCAATACTGCTTCATATACTACCAATACTGCTTCATACACTACCAATACTGCTTCATATACTACCAATACTGCTTCATATACTACCAATACTGCTTCATATACTACCAATACTGCTTCATATACTACCAATACTGCTTCATACACTACCAATACTGCTTCATACACTACCAATACTGCTTCATATACTACCAATACTGCTTCATATACTACCAATACTGCTTCATACACTACCAATAATGCTTCATATACTAACAATACTGCTTCATATACTACCAATACTGCTTCATACACTACCAATACTGCTTCATATACTACCAATACTGCTTCATATACTAACAATACTGCTTCATATACTACCAATACTGCTTCATACACTACCAATTCTGTTTCATATACTACCAATACTGCTTCATACACTACCAATACTGCTTCATACACTACCATATACTACCAAGCCTAATGGTTAACTACGTACTGCTTCATATCACTACCAAGACCTGCTTCATAATCCCCACATACTGCTTCCATGTGAAGCCCATTACTGGTTCATATACTACCGTGATGTTGCTGGAATATTGCTAAAAGCGGCGTAAAACCAAACTCAGTCAGTCAGTCATACACTACCAATACTGCTTCCTGCGTACACTACCAGTACTGCTTCATATACTCCCAATACTGCTTCATACACTACCAGTACTGCTCCATATACTACCAATACTGCTCCATATACTACCAATACTGCTTCATATACTCCCAATACTGCTTCATATACTACCAATACCGCTTCATATACTACCAATACTGCTTCATATACTACCAATACTGCTTCATATACTACCAATACTGCTCCATATACTACCAATACTGCTTCATAAACTACCAATACTGCTTCATATACAGTCAAACTGAAATTTATCAAAAACTTTTTCCTTCGTTTCCAAATTAGACGTTTTGTGTTAAGTTTCTTTCTCCTTGATTCATTTGCACCCATACTGAAATATCTTCCTTGTTGATTCAGTGAATGTTGCCATGTAAACGATGAGTATAGGTTTGTCAGGTTTGTATATTGTTAATGTTATGTACTTCAGCCTGAAATGTACCTTATCTTCAGATTGTTCAGTATGGGAACACACATGTACTGTGGTCTTTATGTGGTCTGTAAAACATACCAGTCACTTCAATCAGAAAGGGGGCAGTGGGGTAGCCTAGTGGTTAAAGCGTTGTCTCGTCACGCCAAAGTCCTGGGTTCGATTCCCCACATGGGTACAATGTGTAAAGCCCATTTCCGGTGTTCCCCCACCGTGATATTGCTGGAATATTGCTAAAGCGGTGTAAAACCTCACTCACTCACTCCAGAAAGTCCACATTAATGTCAGTACATTACGTACATGCACAAACTTCACCTGCAGCTATACTTATATGTCTGTTACTGTTTGCTGTGGTTTAACATGTTGCAGTGTCAACCCCTGTTGCAGTAGGAGCTAGCTAGGTTCAGTTAGATTAGAATTAGGAGATAAACATACTGTGTTGGAAAATCAGAGGTATATAACAAAGTTATAATAGCTCTAAATTTCATTTCAAACTAAACGTGTAGTGTGAGGTTTTAAATAAAACATTTACTGATTTTCTAACACAGTATGTTTATCTCCTTTCTGCCATAACCATATTATTAAGATTTAAAAACAATACATACTGTGTTGGAAAATCAGAGGTATATAACGTGATTACGAGGGGCATACCAAAAGTAGTCGGCCTAACTATATTGTTGATGTCCAATGTTAGGAAAGCTTCCATTTTGTTTTGAAGGAATCATTAGCAAAGCCATATCCAAAATTTCACGTGGGTAATGTGGTTAACAATATATTAGTCATCACAACACATTGGGGTATAATATTTCTTTAAAAATTGCAAAGTGAAAAACTATCTGTCATTTTGTACCTATTGGATAACGGTATGCCCTCAGAGTATATCATATAAAATATGTTCAGTATAGTATTGGATGACTTCCCATCATAATCAACATTCAAAGATTAGGATTGCTTGATATATATTTAGACGGGGCTGTTTTTAAAGGACCCCCCCCCATTTTAATCTTTCAAAAACATTGTGTCCAGGTATTCAAGCTGGCACTGTTGTGACCATTCAGTGTTTAGTTTGAACCCTTGGCACCATGTATGAATAAGTGAAAACATTAGAATAAATTATGTCCTTATGATTACGTCATCTGAAAGGTGTTGGGTAGTGTCTCCAAAACAAGCTCTTTCAGTAAACATCATGGGGGGAGTCACGTTAACAAGCAATTGTAGTTTCAAATTGCTTTTTTATGCACTTTAATATCTAAGTTTGATTCTAGAGGACTTCTGCCTATCTCAAACACACAAAATGTTTCTTGCATCCTACCCAGAGTTCCGTGCGGCAAGCCAGCATAGTACCTCCGCCACAGGCCAGAAAAATGTGACGATTCGTCACATCTTGCAATGTCCATTCAATATAATGTACAGATTTCTTAGCTCTTTTATATTTGACGAGTCTACACATCTCTACACATCTAACTAATCATCTTTAATAGAATGGTTTAGTTTCACTGAGAAAATATCCAAAAACGTGTAACACTATTTCGATTTGCGTAGCGATCCTTTGTTTACATAGGTTGTACGGCTCCACGTGCTGTCATCGAAGCTGATGGAGAGCAAACGATGCAGCCAGTTTGATATCTAAATATGTACTGTCATAGACCTTACTGTCGCAGTTGTGGAAGAATATATATGTAACAATGTAAAACGTTATGAAGAGAGCGCCGAAAAGCTTTCGTGAGTCCAGTCTCTTCTTATTATGAATATGCGCGTTTGTTTACAAACAAGAGAAAAGTCCGGTCACGTGATATGCAAATTAGCCTGTGGCAGTGATGTTATGTTAGTCATCGCTGTGCCGGAGTGTACCAACCCGATCCCATTAGTCGTCAAGCATAGGTCATTAAAAAGGGACTGGTCAGTTATCATCTGTTGCATGTAATGGGGAAGGAGGAAATCATCACATAGAATGAGCCAGGGTAAGCAAGTCATGATACAATTATTGAGAACAACCTCACCAGTTTTGCCCAGTTCTCTTTTGATAGTTATGATTTTTGTTGAAGATGTTATGGGAGAACATGATTACGAGGTGTTGGAGGATGAGTTAGTTCTTAAAAAAAATGTTTATGGGTTGAAATCTGTCCATAATACTAGTTTTATTTCTATTTCAGGGCAAAATGGCTAAAATGTTTTTTAACAATGGTAAGTGAAACAGTATAACGTTTCATTCTGTGATAGTTGATTACCATCTTTAGTATATATACCTGTGATCCAGTGGAAAGATTATCTGTTAGTAGATCACTCGGTCTGTCTTTTCATCACCAGCCATATGGAAACTTATCAGTCTTTAAAAGCAAAATTTAACGTCATTTATCCTCACCAAGGATGTTTTTCTTTTGAAAGTTTTCATCACTGATGAATGTGTGAGACACTGCTTTAGTTATCTCCCTCTATTTGAGAAGAAGCATCAGCCAAATGCTGCTTCAAGTCAAACACAAACAAATAGCTAGAATTTAGCTTTATGGGGAAAGTGCTGTTCTTCTTTCACCTCTCAATAAACCATACAAGCTATACCTGAGTATCATCAACTATGAACCCTACAAGCCTGTATGAAATGTATAGTTGGAAGGGGCAGTAGGGTAGCCTAGTGGTTAGAGCGTTTGCTTGACATGCCACAAAACCTGAGTTCAGTTCTTGAGTACAATGTGTGAAGCCCATATCTAGTGTCCCTGCCATGACATTGTAAGAGATGTGTAAAACAATGCCCACTCGCTCATTGTTACAGTTGGAGAGAAGCTGTTCTATCTGTGTATAGTCATCTACCTGTATGGAGATATGTCCATCTACGTCGCTGCCGTACCCAAGTCTCTCAGGGACACGGTCTGGTGAGTAACATTACTAACAACATGGGTGCCCTCAGTCTAAGAGGGAGTAACTCTTTGGTTCCAAGACTTTCAGAGACATGGTCAGGTGAGTAATGACAAGGGTGCCCTCGGCCTAAGGGGGAGTAACTCTTTGGTTCCAAGTCTTTCAGAGACATGGTCTGGTGAGTAATGACAAGGGTGCCCTCTGTCTAAGGGGGAGTCCAGGGGTCTCAGAGGCCTCAACTGTCTGTGAAGAGTTACATCCCTCAGACAAGATAATTGACTGGATGATAACTTGTCAGTACATCGACAGGAGGATAAAGACAGCTATGTAGCTTGTAGGTCTCATCCATTCCATAGTGTGTAGTCTTCACTCAGGTGATTTGTTTGTGTTGTAGCACCTGGAGACCACTGAACAAGACCAACTGCAACGAAAGTTTGTCTGACAGTGAACCTTGCTGGAGCACCTCCTCACTCACTCGGATGGATGCGTACAGAATCTTTGTGGTGGGTACAAACCTGGAGCCTCTGTATAGAATATAGAAAGTTTAAAAGACATATTTTCATCTCTCTTTTCTATCCTTACCAAATAGGACAAGAAGAAGAAAACATTTAGAATTCAATGCTTCCTTATCCTTTGTTAAATTCTTTTGCGGTATTGAACCTTAATTGAAATGGTGCCAATTTGTTGAAGCATATTAATGAGTTGTATTGAACTGTGAGATGATTAACTGGGAGGATGAGGAGTGCAATGTGTAGAGCCCCATTCTGGTCAGCCCTGTCATGAAGCAATGAAAACTCTGTGTAATGCACAACTCACACAAGATGATTATAACTAGTAGGACTTCCAGTCTCGAACCTGGTCACCAGGAAGCCATGCTGGTTGTACAAGAGCACCAAACAGATCTGGTGGACACTGGACATGACCTGGTTGTCTATATGTTGTCATGCCTAGATGGATCATTGCCCTCAACCAGTAATTGCAATGTCTGATTCCGACTATATTACTAAGAGACTGACTTCTTCAAGCTGGAATACCGCTGAGTGTGGCGTTTAACAACAAACACAACAAAAATATGATTTTCCAAGATTTATCACCTATTTCATAGATACTGTCTGCATACACTGAGAATTTAAACTGTGTTCTTATTGGTTCTTTCAGGCATGTTTTATCCTGACTTTGGGACCATTTGTATTCTTCAATGTCCAGAAAACAAAGATCCTTCAAGTTATCACCGGCTCAGCAAGATGGCTAGGTCAGTATTGATGTGTATTAAAGTCAAGGCATTTGGTATTTCCACAAACATTCCAGTTTTCAAACATCAGAATGGTAATCCAAATTCCATGTCCAGGGATACAATGACGTATACATCTGTTCCCTACCCAAAGTCAAAACAAGGGCCAGATACCATATTTATGTGGCCCAATGGAAGTACAAAAAAAGAAATGGGCTCCGAGTATCCATGCTGGTTTTAAGTATCGACTAGTGGGAAACTGATGTCCAGGTGCTGGATCTAATTGTGGATCAGGTGGCCAAGCTCCATGACTTGATCATCATGGTAGTGCTGCAGTAGTGTTGCTAATGCTTTCTTACATGAGTTCCTCTGGTCAGGACAGGCTACCATGGTGAGTGAGTGAGTGAGTTTAGTTTTACGCCACACTCCAGCTATATGGCGGCGGTCTGTAAATAATCGAGTCTGGACCAGACAATCCAGTGATCAATAACATGAGCATCGATCTGTGCAATTGGGAACCAATGACATGTGTCAACCAAGCCAGGGAGCCTGACCACCCGATCCCGTTAGTCGCCTCTTACGACAAGCATGGGTTACTGAAGGTTCATTTTGCAGATGTTAACCAATGTACACCCTCTGTTTATAACTTTATCTGAGGGATCAAACTGACGTTAATTTAAACCTTTAATAGAACTTGATGGAGATCAATAGAAACCAGTGTTTGTCTTTGACATTTGCCGCTGTTTGCAAGGTGAGACATCAACTTTGTGATATGTAAATGGTTTAACGTCAGAATCAATGGAAAGTTGTGACAGTATACTTTCAGGAAAAGTATTCAACCAATCACTTGACTCAGTTCCTTTACCAGCAAGTCGGTTTGAACAAAGCATTGATACACAAATTCACAGTTGAGTAACACCTAAATCTGCTTCCTCTAATGGTCCTTAATGCTCTAAGATGGTCCTTAAGCAAGGACTCGCTAGAGGTTTCCTACAAACAGGTAATAATACCTCAACTTGTGTCCACCAGGGCCTAGATTTTTTAAGCTCTCTTAGCGTTAAGATAGTAGTAAGTTGATGTTAATGTATCACACTTACAACTATCTTAGCGCTAAGAGAGGCTCGCAAATCTAGGCCCAGGTATCTAACATATGCTATGTAAAACTGCAGTTTCATAAATGAATAAGACAGTCTTGATTCTACCATAAAGTCTGAAACTAATGGTAATTATTTGCATGTTTTGTTTTTTTCCAGCGTTTGGAATCATGATAGTTCTTGCTGTGATGCAGTTGGCTCAACATAAAGGTCAAGGCCGACCAGTGATGGCCAACATAGCAGGAGTGCCGAACCTGTTTGGTGTGTGCGTGTACTCCTTCATGTGTCATCACTCGCTGCCATCACTCATAACGCCAATAAAAGACAAGTCCAAGTTGTTTAAGGTCCTGGCAGCAGACTATGTTCTTATTCTGGCTTTCTACGCCTTGTTGTCTTTCACTGGGATCTACACCTTCAAGTCTATAAAGGATCTTTACACGCTCAACTTTCTTCCAGACGAGTGTGGCAACAATTCTGTCACAAGTGTCCAATTTTTCCAATATTTTCTTGCTCTATTTCCAGTGTTTACTCTCAGCACCAACTTTCCTATCATAGCAATTACACTGCGCAATAACCTACAGACACTGTTTCTAAAACCAGACAAGGACTACTCAAAGTGTGTGCGGAATCTGTTTCCATTTTTTGGCAGTTATTCCGCCAACCATTGTTGCCATGGTAACCAATGAAGTGGAGATCCTGGTTGGTATAACAGGTTCATATGCTGGGGCAGGAATACAGTATGTGGTACCGGCACTGCTGGTGTATTTTGCCAGAAAAGATCCAATCGTGAAAGAACATCAGAACTACCACAGATCTCCATTCAGCCATGTTGGTTGGATTATACTCATACTTGCCTGGTCAGTTGTATGTGTTGGCTTTGTCACAGTCAACCATGTTATTACTAGAAAGTGACCTGATAACAGGTTCTCCTTCAAAGTACAATAAGGGGGAATAACTGGAACAGTAGTGGCATGCTCCTGTGTAGAGTTGTTTCCCCTTAGATATACCAGGATTAGGTTGATTGAGAGTTCAAATTCACGATTCTTATGTTATATATCAGGATCATAACAGTTTATACAGATGTACATCATTTTAGGTAATTAAGGAGAGCTTTCAAGGTTTGCTCAGATATGTTTGTGAGAAAAGGATGTTGATATCTGTTTTATGGGAACGATGTTCACTGTGTAATACCATGGTGTAACGTGTTTTCCGGGTAATAACGCAAAAGATGATCATGTAAATTATTGCGTATCAGTAGATTATCAAAGCTATTATTCCGTAATTAAATATCATCTCACCTTTCATAAATTTATTGTCAGAATGCAGATCCGAACATTTTGTGTCTGTCTGCCAGCGCGAGCGGGAGAAGTGACGTACCATGTTTTCGGGTTACTCGTTATAGCACGGGGTCACGACCTTGTATTGAAGCCCAGGTGATGCATTCTTCTCCCAAGAAGTCAAGAAATACAACGTGGCATTTTAATGAAAGTCAAGCAAACTGGTCATTTTTTTCTCATTTCATTACGTTCTAGGGTAGAATTTTAGTACTTTGACAGAAATTTAGGTCACAACTTACGTGAAAGCTGGATATTTCAAACATTTTGTGTCCCGGTTGCCACGGAAGCTTCTGCACTGGAGACGGTGTTTACAGGTGGCGCTGTCATCTCTCTGTACGCGAGAAATTACGGAAAAGACAGACCCCGAAAACATGGTTCCCGAAAACATGGTTCGGCACGGTACTGTGAATCTTTAGACATGTCCAGTCTGTCTCAAACTTTGAGTCTACCAACCTGGGCCTAGATTTTCGAAGCTCTCTTAGCGCTAAGATAGTTTAAGTTAATGTTAATGAATGGCACTTACGACTATCTTAGTGCTAAGAGAGCTTCGAAAATCTAGGCCCTGAACTTGGCTTTTTGCATCATCTTCAGTTGAGATTTGTGTTATGGACTTTTACTCTGAGATTATTAGGCCAAACAAATGTTTTACTAGACTCAGTCTTCAGACAAGTGCATAAGTGCATATGTCAGAAATACAAATTAATAACTCCATTTGAAACTGGATGATACTGACTATGGATGTGACTGGTCTGCTTTGCCTGAAGTAGCACTATTTGCCTGAGGAGGAAGTAGTCAGGTCGAATACAAAAACGCAGACCTGGATCCAATACCGTCATGTCCGCTGATGCAGAACTTTTGGCCTGGCCACTTCCATGTATTTCAAGAGTAATGAACACCTCTCTGATGACAGGTAAAGTGCCCCTGTCATTCACACATGCTCTCGTCAACCCATAGCTGATGCAGGAGGATTGAATGACATTCTCATAACTTATAGGACAGTCTCCAGTATCCTGTATTTATTACTACTAAAGAAAGCTGCTGCTACTCATCTCATGAAGCATCTGGAAATGAAAGACTTGTCCTTGAAGTTACAGACTGCTTATAAAGTTTGACACAGTTCAGAAACTGCATTGATCAGGGTCAGGAATGACACCTTCATGCTGTGGATCATGGACGAATGACAGCACTAACACTGTGAAGACATGGTCAAGCATTCCATTTGTGCAAGATCTCTGCATCTTGATCTGGGCATCACTGACAACGCACTAGCAGGGTTTGGATACTATCTTAGCGACTGATATAAAAAAGTTCTGCCTACAAGCTTGACCATGGCGTCCCTCAAGGCTCTGTCACAGGACCAGTACTGTTATATGCATAATGTCTACACAATATTGCTGACAAGTTTGAAGTCAATCAAAACTAGTATGCTAATGATACCCAGATGTATGATGGTTTCTCAAATGACAGTGCTGAAGAATGTATAGTCCAGATTGAAAGCTGTTTTCTTGATGTCAAGCAATGGTTGACATCAAAACTATTGAAACTTAGCCAGGACTTAACAGCATATATTGTGGTAAGTCCCAAATATGAAATCCACCAATGCAGAGATGTTGATACAGGTGATATTTTCATTGTTCATTCTGATAAGGTGAAGAATCTGGGTGTGCAGCTATACCACCAGCTGACTACGGACTTCATGTGACTATTCTGTGGCAAACAGCTCATGAATAAAAGGAAAATCTGGCCATATCTCACAAAATCCTGTGCAGTACAACTTGTATTGTCTCTCATCATGTCTCTTGTATCTTGTGAATGTTACCAAAGGGCAATTATGAGTGCAAATGCCAGTAATATATAGAGAATCTCACCCAAGTGTCTGCTGATATCAATTATATCAACACGAGTTGATAAAGTTACAAATATCCGAGGCTTGCCGAGGATATTTTTACTTTATCAACGAGTGTTGATATATTTGATATCAGAAGACACGAGGGTGAGATTCTATTTATCATCCAAAATCACTCTTCATTAATTTTCAATGAAAAATGTACATCTCTGAACATGATACTGCCATTAGACTTGCAGTGCAGCGATGTCATAGCATTGTGACGTCATCAAGTACATGACGTCATAGCATTGTCAGGGCATTGTACAAAATCTACTGTCAAAATGATATCTCCTAGGAGATATCGTTTGATCTCACACAAGCGATATCTCCTGTGGAACACAGTTTTGGATGATAAATTCAGATCTTCAAAGTCTCTTGTATCGGCCCCCTTGTGAATGTTACCAAAGGGCAATTATGAGTGCAAATGCCAGTAATATATTCAGATCTTCCAAGTCTCTTGTATCGGCCCCCTTGTGAATGTTACCAAAGGGCAATTATGAGTGCAAATGCCAGTAATATATTCAGATCTTCCAAGTCTCTTGTATCGGCCCCCTTGTGAATGTTACCAAAGGGCAATTATGAGTGCAAATGCCAGTAATATATTCAGATCTTCCAAGTCTCTTGTATCGGCCCCCTTGTGAATGTTACCAAAGGGCAATTATGAGTGGAAATGCCAGTAATATATTCAGATCTTCCAAGTCTCTTGTATCGGCCCCCTTGTGAATGTTACCAAAGGGCAATTATGAGTGCAAATGCCAGTAATATATTCAGATCTTCCAAGTGTGATCATGTCTCCCAACATAAGAAACAAAAGCTCCACTGCCTGCTACTTGCTGCCAAAGTCAACTGTGAGATGCCTAAAAGTGTTTTAAGAAAATTGCACTTGCCTACCTCAGTGAATGTTTACCAATTTAGTCTCAATGAACTCTCCATATGGGTACAATTTGTAAAGCCCATTTCTGGTGTCCCCTGCCGTGATATTGCTGGAATATTGCTAAAAACGGCGTAAAAACCATACTCAGTCAGTCAGTCAGTCAATGAACTCTCCAGTCTAAAACAAGTATGTCTCTTCATGTTAAAGTTTTTCAGCGAAAGAACATTTTCATACACTATAGTCTCCCTACGAAACAATCTCCTTGAAAATCTGAAATTTGGTCCTATTTCCTCTTTCAAATCTCAGCTCAAGACATTTCTGCTTCAACTTTATTACACTCGCTGAACCACTCGCACCTTATATAGTTTGTGAAGTATGCGTTTACTGTTATTGATAGATGTATGTTTATATATGTATATATATATGCACTTATTTATCATGCATTATGAAATCAAATATACACCTGGAGTATAATTAAGCAATGTCAACAATGTTTTCCTTTTTGAAATAATTTATTTTTTGATGAAACGCATTTAGCTACTCATATGGAAATTCTTAAATTGATTTAACGACACATTTCTTTGTAATCATTCAATGGCAAGAGATGTTTGACTGCCTGTTCAGCTACATCTTCCACTGCCGAGTGTTACAAGATCCTGATTTAGGGACAACCATCTGGAGATGCATGCAGTGTTCTTTCCATCAGGTACCTGTGTTATGTTAGATGAATATCAAAGTAACCTCAGTGTTATGTGAAGGTATTTCCAAAACCTACATGGAGGTTTGAATTAAAAAATTTTTAAGGAAGAAACTTAATTATACAAGTCTGATCAAATACTGTCATTTTATCTCCGTGCTGTTAATGTCCTAAATGCTTGTTTTCAGTCCATCATCTTCAACTACTTCTAGCTTGTTCTGAAATATTTCCTTTTCTTGGTGAACATAAGGACTGAACCTAGACATACTGATGTTCCCCTGTACAAACACTGTATTTTACATCAATATACAAAAACTACAAAACTATACTAAGCGTGCAGTGGTTTGACATCCATATAACAGTACACTAGAGAGTGTGCAGTGGTTTGACATCCATATAACAGTACACTAGAGAGTGCACACACATTACATCTGTATCAAACAATTATACTGAATGGGCAAGCATTTTACATCCATATGAAAGAATAATACCAGAATGTGCAAGAACTTTACTACATCCACATAAGAGAGCTACACGAGAGCACTTTACTTATTTACATCCATGTAACAGAACTACCAGTGTCCCAGAGTGTTCAAGCACTTGACATCTACGTTCCACATAACCAAACTACCCTGGAAGGTATATTCACTTAAGCATGGTTTAATAGATACGTTTATATGAAGTCACTGCTGAGGCAACCATTCACAGCTGAACTATTAGTGATTATGTTGTCTACCTCACTTTTGTTACCATTCAGGGTAAGGTTTATTACCAGTCCAATATTTAGTTACTGCTGAAGCAACCATACACATTTGAACTATTTTAAGATTTTGTAGTTGTCTACCTCAAATGTCAGTTAGTTTTACAAGGCAAATACGATGCTGGCCAGTACTGAGCATGGTGATGTCAGCCAGGCCTGTTGGTATGTACATGGTATCTTCTGATCTCATCCATTGTCTATTGTTCTTTTTCAGGTGATCTTTTATTACATAAGTATGTGTATGTGCTCATTTTGTGTAATAGTTTTCTTGTTCCATTTCGTTTTGTCCATTTATGAAATATACCAGTATGTAGTTTTTGTTTCCTCATCAAGTTTTCTACATATGTAATTAAAGTGATAATGTGATCATAATGGTTGAAGAAGTTAGTAAATGATCATAATAATAATAATGAGAAGTCTTATAATGCGCTAATCTTCACGCAACAAAGCATGCTCAGAGCGCTAACACCCTGATTACTATGATGAGACCGACACAAGATGATGTGAATGCTTTACGGATATAGAAAATTGTACGGAATGGAAATTGTGCTCATAGTATTTTTTATATAATCTCCTTTTGACTTCAAAACACTTGGCAAGTGATGCTCCAGCTTTTCCCTACTCTTCTTTTTCCCCTAAAGGCTTTGATGGCAGCCATCACTGCTATTAAACAGACGAGGTTGGAAGACATGAAAGTCAGATGGTGTTAGTGTTGCCCTGAATAGGACTCCAGAAGATACATTTGTCCTGGACAACTTCCCTTATATCCCTTTTGCTTATGGCGTCTGTGATCACTGCTTTGTTAATCCTGTGCAGGCAGTTGCATTGATGAAGCTAATATTGTTGAGCCTGTCATAATACAACATTCTCTCTCTTGCACCAGATTATTTACAAGACTAAGGCTGATATATCCTTCTGATGTAACCATTCTTTAGTAGAGAAATGTGACCTAATCCAGTATGATTTTCTTTCAGATCTTGAACTTTTTAACATGTGCTAATTCTACAGATATTACTAATGTAACATGAAGCAACTTTTTCTTAGTAATCTTCACATTTTCATGTATACAATCTTTGTTAAATATTGAGCTTTGACAGGAAATTAAACATTTTACATCAAACGTTTTCTGTTGTCTTCCTGTCTACTGTTTGTGTCAAACAAACAAAGTTCTTTACATGGCTGCTGACAACACAGCTTTATCACATTCATGAGAATGACTAGCATCAGGAACACTGACCAGACAATAGATTTCATAATTTAAAAACAAATGCATGCAAAATGAAATCGTGCAACAAATGTCATTCAGGAATTATTGTGGAGAGTTTTCCTGTCACTGAAGATGAGAATACTTTGCTGCCATAAAACTATACAGCTAAACGTTAATTAAGCACCACCAAATTCAAAAGTAAATATTATCAATTAGTGTCAAGTAAGGATAATGAAATTTCACAGTATGCTATATGCCTGTATTGCCCGTGCATCACACGTATCGCAGACATCAACTGCGCAATACAGAAGATGCACGTGCTCGATACACATGCACGGGGTCTTTCGTCTGAAAACACAGTATTGTTGTTTGATACTTGGTGGCTGAAATTTGAACGTTGAAGCAACAGATGTTATTGTACTGTTCCAATACAACATGCCGAGACGTAGGCTATCCGAGAACCTACGATGGAGAATCATTGGCATGCATGAAACCGGTTTATCATGCCGCCAAATTGGTATCAATTTGAATCTCAATCACACCATTGTTAGCCGACTGGTACGAAAAGCGCGTGCAAACTGGAGACGCCAAAGACCGACCCAGACCTGGACGCCCAAGAAAAACTAGTGCTCGTGACGACAGGGCCTTAATTCGCTTAGCCAGACGCAATCCAATGACCCATGCTGAAGACCTCCAGACAATGGCGAAAGTGGGGCCAGACTGTCCACCTAATACCGTCCCAAAGAGGTTAAGAGCTGCAGGATTGCGTGCACGTAGACCAGTCAGACGCCCATTTCTCACTGACAGACACATGCGCGAAGCGCCTGGCGTGGTGCAGGTTAAGGCAAAACCACAATCTCCGATACTGGCAGAGTCCACTGGTCGGACGAAAAGTCGTTACCTGTTGCACGCCACTGACGGCCATGAGCTGTGTCTGGCCGCCGCAATGAAGCTTATAACCCGAAATGATTGAACCAACGGTCCCCTTTGGCGGTGGCTCAGTGATGGTGTGGGTTGTGTGTCCTAACGACTGCAAGCTGGACCTAATCACAGTACCGGGAACGTTAAACGGACAACGTTATCAACGTGCCATCTTGGATGTTGCCCTAATACCCCATTTTGACAATCACACACTTGCCAGTCGCCCCTGTTCATGGATGATAACGCCAGGCCTCATCATCGTACAGAGCAGTAGTCGATCATTTGAGGAACAATGCTATTGACACTATTCCATGGCCAGCCAGAAGCCCGGATCTTAATCCCATAGAGCATTTATGGGATTATCTTGGGCGCCAAGTGAGAACCAGAGATCCTCCTGTGCAGAATATGGATGAACTGCAACAGGCTCTTCAATGAGGAGTGGCAGAGAATCCCGATGCTTAGAATCAGGCGTCTCATTTCAAGCATGAGAAGGCGTCTTGAAAATGTGATTCGTGTTAGAGGTGGATACTCCCGATACTGACTAAACAGTTTCTTGAGATAGCCATGATGACAACAAGCATATTTAAGTTGAACGTTTGACATTGCAGATACCAGTATGGACTGGACAGTGATACTTTTCAGGCCTAATGAAATGGTCGTTTTGACGCTTATTCGCATAACTCCAATAAATTGGTATCAAAGATAATCATCGGCTTCGTTTTCTGTGTAGTGATAGTGCAGGACATCCCTTTAGCACAATCAATCCTCTTTACATTGAGTCAGACAGGAAATTGCACTTTTCATGATTTGAATGTTGAACTTTTCTGCAAAAAGTGGGTGGTGCTTAATTAACGTTTAGATGTATATATAATAATATATGAAAAGATTTCAGCAAGACAAGTAAGCTATTTTTCAAACTATGATGTAACTATCATATGTAGCAAGAAAACACACCAGAATCATAAAAATTATTGTACATTTTATTACATGTATAAGCATTAATACAGAACATGTATGAGCACAGATGGATGACACGAGGCCCTTCAGGTCACTACGTGTCATCATTGTTAATCGGGGAGGTGGGGTAGCCTAGTGGTCAAAGCGTTCCCTCGTCACGCCGAAGACCCGGGTTCGATTCCCCACATGGGTACAATTTGTGAAGCCCATTTATGGTGTCTCCCGCCGTGATATTGCTGGAATATTGCTAAAAGCGGCGTAAAACTTAACTCACTCACTCACTCATTGTTAATCTTTGGTCCGACCTCCACACTATCACACTGACACAATGTCTTGCATCAGCATGGGCTCCTTACATTGCTGAGGTATCGCATACTTCCCTTCTGTACACAATGTCATCATGGGTGCTTACGATGTTATATCGCCATGCTTAGATATACCACAGCTGTCCCAGACACATTTACTGATCACATGATGAATCAGTTCCGGTCAACACATGGCCTTCATTGTTACCATGCTGCCACTTGCTGAGTCCCCCACAGTTATCAGGACATACAAATAAGAACATTACACAGGTCTATCCAACATCTCTGTGGTGGGCATCAGGAGGGCGTGATGGTGCCTTCATGTATGATAGCTCGGGACAGGTTCCGTGTGAGCGTTAGTCGGAGCAGCTCCAGACGCTCATTCTCCACATCTGTCAAACCCTACAACAGACACAAGGCATCCGAGTCATGTCACCTTTGTTATGTTTATAGAGTTAATAGCACTGCATGGGAGACATGAAACCTGAGGGAAGGGGCAAGAAGTAGGTCATGCCCTGATCAAAGGATAAGAAGCAGCCTTAAAATGTGTTCTGAGCAAGGGGTGAGGTCATGACACGTTTAACAGAAAGGGAGTTTTTACACACAAAAGTTTCCCGTCTTGGTGTACTTTCAGCTTCTTAATAACTATCAAAGACTCAGTACTACAACAGTTACCAGAGGGCGAACTTTCAGTACTACAACAGCTACCAGAGGGCAACTTTCAGCGTCTTAATAACTATCAAAGACTCAGTACTACAACAGCTACCAGAGGGCAACTTTCAGCGTCTTAATAACTATCAAAGACTCAGTACTACAACAGCTACCTGAGGGCAACTAGCAAACTGAATATGGTACCGACAAACCAATGACTTATATCATGAACAAAGGCACACCTCATGGGAGTACATCTGCCATAAACGTAGGAGAGTGTACAATGAGGACAGAACAGACTCTTGAGTGAATTGTGGCCCATAGACAATGCATTATCTATACTAGCCACAATATGTTGGCAAGATCTACTCACATCTATTAAGTCAGAGACTGAATGAAATGATTTACACCATCTGTAAGCCATACTGAAAATGTTAAGCCATGTCACATCTCCCAAATAATCCCTAACTCCATTTACATCTGTCCTAAGACTGCAATAAATGTGCTTTTGTTGGGAACGCAAACCTACCTTTGCTGTACTGTATTGGGAGTTATCTCCCCTGATGAGCTCTTGTGTGAGTTCCTCCAGACAGTGCATCATCTCATATGTCTTGCTGCTGCTGAAGATCACCTGAACACACAAACAGGGATTTAGGTCACTATGAGCTGTGGTTCCTGGCTACAATGCTAAAGGAAGTGAGTGAAGGGGCTTGTAAAACAATGAGTTCACGAACTTAGCACTGAATTTATATACTACATATCAGATGTGTCGTTCTATTTGAATTACAGTTGACAAGAGAATCAGCTTTGAGTAATACTGAAAGACAGAAATACCATCACCATGAGCATAGTAGTGTATGAGAGTAGAGGTACATAAAATACTGTTAGGTATAATGTACAATACTATAGGTCGAAAGTGGCAAAAACATGGTTTAAAACCAATGAAAAGCAGATCCTGGTAGGATAAAGGGACACAACTCAACACCCGAATAGAAGTTGGCCCACAGTACCACCTATATCTCTGAATGACTGCCCCTTGTATCTATCTCACCTTTGGTGCTTCCAGCAGAGGCATGGCATCCATCAGCAGCGTGATCCAGAAACTGAAAGATTCCACAACAAACCACTCAAACAGGATCAAAACTCCTGGCACCTGAACCATAAAGGCATATCCTAAATCAGGCAGCTGTAATCAACTGAATCTGATAAGCTGGCATCTGGTCTGAATTTACAGGTAGACAGCTGTAAAATGAGGTGTGTTTGGAAATGCTAAATCTGAATTCAGTAAACATTGGTTTACAGTTACAAGATAATGCATATCTAATAGATCAGTATGTGCTTTTCACAGCAGGAGTTCAAAAATCTTTTTTAAAATCCACTTGCCACAGGGCAAGTGACTTTAAGAAAGTAACTTGTCCTGGCTATTTTTCCACTTGCCCTGATTTTTATGACATAATCATGATGATGTAATTATGAAAGAATAAATCAACATGGTATTTGATGTTAATGTTCACTGGACTATTTATAGAGAAGTGATAAATGGCAAAGAAGGATAACTCTACTTAATTATCATTGCAAAATTTAATAGCTACATTTTGAGCAGATATGAAATAAAATCCAAGTTTATTTGCAGTTTGAAACCGTAAGTAGAGTAGCCCATGGACAAGTAAGATACCAGTATTTGGTTGCCCGAAATGAAAACTGACTTGTCCCGGGCGTCGGGCGATGGGATTTTTGAACCCCCTGCACAATAACAAAAATACCTCCCAGACTACAAATCATGAAAATGTATGAAATGTGAATGTGCCTTTATTCCTTGAGGATGTAGATGTTAATTGTACTGTTTGTGAACAAGGCCACATATCCACAAAGCTGATGCTATGGTCTTTTGAACTCACTTCTTCGGAGCGAGTCTGGCAGAGAGGAGGGAGAGTAACAAAGACCCAGCTCCATCGAAGTCATGGTCTTCATAAAGTTTCTGGAACTCTCTGTATTTTCCTGGAAAAACAAAAACATTGTTCCATCGAAATACCAAATTTGTGGACTGATTTCATGTTCACCCTGTTTCGATTGTTAACTTCTCGTTATTTGAAAACTGATACTTTTCATAAGTTTATTCCATATAAGACAAGATGCGATTCTTACCCAGAAATGTCAGTCTGTTGCTAAGTAACATAGATGATCCAAGGTTGTCAAGGAGATCCAGGTGCGAGAACTGACCCCTCTCACCATACTCCAGGAGAAATCTGGAACAAGGATTAAATGTCCAATGGTGATCAAGTAGTCTGTCTGTCTAGTCTAATGACAAACCGTTTAGAAGGAAAACATGAGGATACATAGCTACAAGTAAACGTCAGCATTGGTATTTTTTAGCAATATGGAGACAGACGCTGGAAATAGTGGGGGACTGGTTGTACAACAGTGTCATTGGAGCCAAAAGTGACACAGTTCAGATATATGTACATTTTGGCAAACCAATATATTCATGTGCTGTGCAGACAGACCGAAGGTCATAATCTGCAGATCCTGGCAGCTAAGGGACCCAACTCTTCACACAATCATTTGTGGTATAATACAACTGAGTCACTCCTACCAAAATTAGTGATACATTAGTCTATAGCAATGTAACAAACACTAACCAGTTGTTTTGACAGAGTGAACATTCCATGAAACATGTTTTGAAATTTGAGGTCATCTCATTAGATTTGATACCTAATATATTTTTTTCTTGAGTATTGTAGCTATATCACAGTCTCCTGTAAATAATTCAGCCAGGATCAAGTAAACCAGAGACAGAAAGTATGAGCAACATCCATGTGGTATCATGGTGAAAACTCAGACAATGCAGTCAGCCAAGCGATCAGGTTTAGACTGAAGCTGAACCAATGCCGATGTAACTTCCAGAACTTCTTTGAGCGGTGTGATGAACAAGGAGGGATAGTTATATGGATATACAACTTCTTTATTACAATAAATGTAACGTTTGGGTGTATATACTAGCAATGTCATTGACTGACAACAGTGTTAGCATCTACACCAAAACGTCAGCAATATTGTAATAAAGAAGTTGTGTATCTGTAGAACTATCCCCGTTGTAACTACTGGGAAATCAATACTTACTTCTCTGTCAACCTTGTAGCAGCTGCCACGTCCTGCAATCAGTTCAACAATGTAAAACACTCATGAACATATCACCAGACATTGTCAGTCAAAACAATGAAGCAAACTGTCATCTCCCATCATTACCACACTCATCTGTTATTTCTAATTGATCACAAAAACTCATACTGACATAAACAGAGAGCTTACTGCTGCAGAAATTAACATCCTAGTCTGACATGAAACAAACAAGCCTAAAACAGTATCACATTCTATTAGACCTCATAAACTTTGCTAGCAGTTCCAAAGTATGCTAGCACAAATGAATTACAAAAAACCTTGACAGGTCAAAGTTTTCAAGTGAACCCAATACAAATGGCTTACCTTAGACTGCAGGAACCAGGACAGGGCAGAACCCAGACGACCGTTCCGGTAGCTTTTCATGCCCATCAGCTTACAGATACTCTGAGCTGAAGCATAGACAGAAAGACTGGTATTTAAGTATTAAACAATAGTAGTGGTGGTCCGATTAATTGAAATAATCGAAGATTGGTCGCAATGACTAAACGACCAAGCAATCGAACATGTTTTCTCATAATCGAACACAAACAATTTTGGCACACTTGTTTGCATTAACAACATTTTTCACAAGGTTGGTTTTGTCTGTTACATTTCATAAGTACTACAAGCTCGTTCCTTGTCATGATTGAAATTATCTTAAAGATTCCAGGAAATTTATGTTCCTAACATACCAGTCCTCCTTTAAAGATGTGAAATTTGTAAAATTCATTTTGTGCAATTTGCAAAAAACACCGAAGTACATGTTTTTTCTAAAAGATTTGTGTGCATTAACAAACATAACCAGGAGAATTTGATAAATCTCGCTAACCAATTTTTTTCAATGATTGATCGGTTGTAATGAACCAATCATCAATTGTGAGATTTTAACCATTTCCCAACACTAAACAATAGTGATGAAAGTAAACTATAGCATGTCAAAGCCATATATCCTGCATTTGGATGTCATCACATTATAAAATCTTCAGATTTTCAACACACATCATTGTCAACTATCATAGTTGTGCAAGAAGCATATTGCTCTCCTGACTTGTTAAACATGTTGTGTAAGGGCGTGAAACACGACCTCCTTGTCTCTCCTTTCTTGACAGCACTGTCGATACTACACATATGTTTAGACCACTGTTCAGGTCCTACACTTGTCACAGAACTATCAGCTCCCCAAACCTTCCTCCAGGCCCTCACCTTGGTCCATCATGTTTCTCTCCTCACAGATGTGAAGCACTTTCTGGGCCTTCTTCTCAGTCTCCAGGGGAATACGCTCTATATACAGCTCCAGGTACTTGCTGTAGTGGAAAGGAGAATTGGTTAGTACGCAGCACAATATTTCTCACTTTAACAAACAAGCTTTCCTCCGTCTTGAATGGAATATACTCTAGATATAGCTCCAGGTACTTCTATAGCAGAAAACACATCAGCTAGTACAACGTACCATAACATCTATCTTTAACATAAGCCTTCTTCTGTCTTTAGTGGAATTCACTCTATACACAACTCAAGGTACTTGATGTACTAAGGAGGGCCTCCTGTATCATAGCATTATCATTTCTCACATTATATGAGCCACCCTGAGATGGCATAAAACAGAAAGTCTATCACAGTAAAACACCAGAGGCCAGTAGTGATTAAAAGGCCTAAATGTATAATATCAGGGTATAATATACTAAGAAAACAGTCAAGCTGCACGAGATAAGGAACTTCCAGCAGTCATCAAAGCATCAGTCACAATTACAAGCCATCGTATATCGATCGTGCCTAACATAATGTCTGGGGAACGGTTTGTAACAGGAACCATATCTATTTATATCCACTATCATGTATCATTAATGACATCATGAAATCATTTTTTATCTGAAGTCCAAGCATATCCCTTTTACAATACTGAACAGCCATATATTTTTTAAAACAGGGCTTAACTTCACAATGATTCCTCAAACATTACTAAAGTGTAAGCTTACCTTCCAAACACTGGACAGCAGTCGAGATAGTCCACTCCAACCTGCCATAAACTAAAATCAAGGAATGAAATCAATATTATATATGGAACCTAAGCTCCTCCACTGTACAAATATGGGTTATGAAAAACTGAGGAACCCCCAGGTTCCATACATGCCAGACTCTCACAACTTTGCATAGCAAATTGCAGCACTAAAGTAGATTGGGACACCCATGGCCACTTTTATTACAAAAAAACCCGATTTGAATAGGTATAACTGAATAACACTCAAATTTGAGTTACAAGTCATGTAGCTTGCAGACACACATGCTTCAGATCATGGTGTTTTATGACGTGACAAGTTCAGTGAACTGCACCAACCTTTTATGTGACATTAAAGTTGAGGCATACTCTAGAAGTAGAAACTCTCGGAGATTGGACCCAAACCTGAAATATGACATAAGACATGACATGAACGTTTACAAAACACATGACCTTTGGAGATCTACTCATATCAAATAAATTATTAAAATCTAAATATTTTAGATATTTAAATACTTACCTTACCATAGGTCTTATGCATATTACCTCAAGCTCCGCTTAAAGAGATCAGACAGTCGTTGATTCGCCATTCTCTAGAACGGCCACCTCGTGTATCGACGAGTGTACAGGCAATGGAAGTGACGTGATCTCCCCTCAAAATCCATCCAAAATCACTTTTACTGACCAGGTCCGAAGAGCCCAGAGAGGGCAGGAGCATCCAGCGTTGGGAGGGAGTTACCGCCCTATGGTAAGGTAAGTATTTAAATATCTAAAATATTTAGATTTTAATAAATTTTTAACTTACCTTACCCTAGGTCTTATGCATATGGATTCGACAGTAGGACGGCGGTGTCGGGCTCCAGAGGACCGTCCCAAGAAAAACCCACATGCCAAGGGAAAACCAGAAGAAACTACTGAATCGGCAGACTGTCGCAGGAGGCGCCTGGAACCGGAGACAGATAGTAACTAAAGGCAACCCTAAGGAAAACAAATACACCCAAGGTGTAAGTTAACCTGAAGACCAGAAGGTAAGAAAAAGTAGTTACCTAATGGGCGGTAGGACGGGTGAGTTGCTGAGCAACCACCAGTGGACCAAACGATTGAAGACCTTCCACGTCCTCGACGGCCAAATCCCGCAGGTAATGACTAGCGAAGACAGTAGAAGACTTCCAAAAACAACCCTCCATGATGGCTGGAACGGTGCAGTTTCTGTGGAGAGCCATGGTGGATGCCAGAGCCCTAATCTCGTGCGGATTATTGGCTGTAGGACGAGGCAGATCTTGCACATCGTAGGCGGTCAGGATGGTAGTACGGAGCCAGAGCGCAAGCGTATTCTTATTAACTTCACCTTTGGCCACAGAAGACAACGGGATGAACAATCTCTTACGAGACTGCCTCCTGGAAGATGACTTGGCAATATATATCTTAAGTGCCCTCACCGGACACAGCAGCTGTTCCTCAGCGTCGTGAGGTCCTAGAATGGAAGACAAAGGAGGGATGGAGAAGATCCTATCCGGTTGTCCCGGCAGCTGGTTCTTAGCCACGAAATCCCAAAGCAGTCCGAGATGAACAAGACCATGCCGTGACTGCTCAAAACGCACCCTGGTGACATCCAATGTGTGGATCTCACTAACCCTAGCCGCTGTGGCCAGGGCCAAGAGAAAGGCTGTCTTCCTGGAGAGGTTCTCAAATGAAGCCGTGTCCAAGGGCTCATAAGGGGGACCTCTCAGATGCCGAAGAACGACGTTAAGGTCCCAAGCAGGAGGACGGAGCTTTGCCTTCTGGTCCTCCAGCTTAAACGCTTTGAGGACGGCGATGAGTTCCGGCACCTTGGAAATCTTTTTGTCGCACTTGACCGCCAGAACGGAGTTAAGAGCCGATAAATAAGTACCTATAGTGTTGCCCTTGAGACGCCGGGACTTCCGAAGAAAAAGAAGGAACTCTGCTATAAACTGAGGAGAAGCTTTCAACGGGTCCTTGGACTTCTGTGCACAAAACTTCTCAAAAGAAACCCACTTATCATCATAGAGTGATCTTGTGGAGACTCGATGAGCACGAGCAATAACCTTGGCGACACCCGTGGAGAAGCCCTTGGCCTTCAGCCTTTTGCAGATGATCCAACCGCACAGATGAAACCGAGTCGGATCGGGATGCCACTGTCGACTGTGGGGATGCCTGAGCAGGTGAGGCCAGTCTGGTAACTGTTGCGGACTGCTTTCGTCGAGACGGCGCAGATCTGGGAACCAGGTTCTGGCTGGCCACCAAGGCGCGACCAAAAGCAGACGAATCGTCTCTGTCCGCTTGACCTTTGCTATTACCGCTGGCAACAGAACTGGTGGTGGAAAGGCGTACACGTCCAGACCCTCCCATGACAAGGACATGGCGTCGACTGCCCATGCCGCCGGATCTGGAATCGGAGACACGTACAACGGAAGTTGTGTGTTGAAGCGAGTCGCAAACAGGTCGATCAGAGGGCGGCCGTGACTGTGACAAAGAAGTTTGAAAGCTTCTGGATGTAGCATCCACTCTGTTGGAGACGGTTTGCCTGGCCTTGAGAGAGCGTCTGCCAAAACGTTCTTGCACCCTGGGATGTGCCGGGCTCTGGCGCTGATGCCATTGTTGTCCAGGAGACTGGCCAGCTGGAAAGTCTGCTCCAACAACTGTTTGGACCTGATCGTTCCCTGATTGTGAATCAACCACACCACCGTAGAATTGTCCGACGCTATCAGGAGCCTGGTGTTCCGCAACAGAGGCACCCAGTGTCGAACCGCTAAAATGACTGCTTGCAGCTCCAAGTTGTTGATGTGCCAACTTAGCTCGGGGGCGGACCACAGCCCCGAGGTGGTCTGGTCGCAGAGGTGTGCACCCCAACCTTGAAGAGACGCATCTACGAACAGTTCGTGATCGTGAACAAACTCTGTCAAGGAGACTCCTGCGCAGACATTCGACTCGACAGTCCACCAACGGAGGTAAGCGTGGAGATGCAGGGGCAAAAGGAACCTCAACTGAAGGTCGTCCGCCTGGATGTAAGGCAACAGGAAGCGCTGTAACGGCCGAAGCATCAACCGACCTCTGAGCGTCAAGTCCTGGGTTGAGGTGAGGAGACCTAAGAGGGACTGCCACTCCCTGAGCACGAGCGGCTGAGATAGACCTCGGTTGGCGAAACTGACAATCTTTCTCCAGCGATCCAGCGAAATCCTGACAAGGTCGCAATGCGTCAGGAATAAGCCTCCTATAAACGTCAGTTCCTGGGACGGCTCCAGGTGGGATTTGTCTATGTTGATAATCCATCCCAGTTGCTGCAAGAGATGAATGGCAAAGTGCATCTGTTTGCGAAGCAACTGAGGGTCGAGGTGGTTCATGAGACAGTCATCTATATAAGGGTCGAAATCGATGCCCCTGAGATGGAGGAACCGGGTGATCGGCGAGGTAATCCGAGTAAAAAGCCATGGGGCTGTGGAAATGCCAAACGGAAGCACTTTCCACTGGTAGTGGGACCCGTTGAAAAAGAACCTCAGGTACTTCCTGTGACGGTGGTAAATGGGCACATGCAGGTAGGCATCCTGAAGGTCGAGGCTGGCCAACCAGACCCTGGGTGGAAGCTTGGCTCGTAGCTGTTCCAGGGACACCATGCGGAAGTGAGGCGGTTCCGAAAGATAAAGGTGGTTGAAAACTGCCATGTTGTGAATCATGCGTAGTGTCACTGAGTCCTTCTTGGGAACCAGGAAGATTGGTGAATAGAACCCTGGGGACTGTTGGGGGTCTAGCACTGTCTCTATAGCTTGTTTGCGTAACAGAGTGTGAATGCTGTCTGCTAGCAGTAACTGTTGGTCTGGAGCATACACACGTGACTGGGGCGTTGTAGTCAGAGGCGGCGACACGGCGATTGGCAGCTCGGCGTCCTGACGTCGGGAACGCTCTTCCATTAACTGACGTTGTAGGTCCTCCTCTCTAGACACCGTAGCCTTCCTGGGGATACGGTAGTCTGCCAAAGGCGTCGGAGTTGGCGCTGGCGCTGGCGTCGGTACAGGCGTCGGCATAGGCGCCGGCGTCCGCATGGGCGCCGGCGTAGGCATCGACGTTGGTTGAAGCAACAAGCCAGCAACGGGAGAATCAAGTGCCACAGGCGTCGGCGCAGGGACAAAGCTAGGCAACGGCGCTGGAACGGTGCTAGCTTGGGATCCGGCAGCTGCCGGCAAGAGGAGCGTCCGAAGCAACTTCTGAACCTCCGGATGCGACAAAGCGTCCGGGTGGGATAGGTCAACAAAGGCGTCAGATGGGCACTTGGCTTCAGGCGTAAGCAAACGAGGCGCAGGGGTGGACGGCTGATCTATCACAGGAGAAGAGCGTCCGACCGGCGTACGAGGGGGAGAAGACCGGGAGTCCACAGAAGAAACAGGGGAAGACATTTTCCTCTTCCGTTGTGACAAGCGTTTCTTCTTGGCGCTGAGGTAGGCCTTGAAATCTGCGACGGACAGCGGAGTACAAAAGTGACAGCGCTCGTCAATGGAACAGGCAACAGTCGCACAGTCTGGGCACCAGGGGTGTGGGTCCTTGGCAGACTTCTGCACCTTGCAGATGCAACAAAACTGCCGGGTCATGCACACAAAAAGCTGTAACACACAAATGTGAAACGTAAAAACCTAGAAACAAAACCCCTGCAGAAGAAAAATGGAAGCACCCCTACAACAAGAATGGGCACACCCAAGTAAGTGGGAAAGTCGTGTAAACAACCAAGATGGCTGCCCCCACTGAGCCGAAAAAAGCGTGAAAAAACACACAAATTAGGCAAGAAATAAGAAGGTACACATAAACAAGCATGAAACAGAAGGTGGAAGAACCCTAGAGGTATCAAAACACCCAAACATGCCACGTGGAAAAATCTCGGAACGTGGGGACATACCCCAAACCGAAGTGAAAAAACCCCATAAACACGAGGCAGCCAGGTAAGTGAAGTTACTTGTAAATTATGTTCTTCACCCACAGAGAAGAGACATAAGATAGAAAAACATACATACCAACAACTTTAATATCTGAAATCTATTAGTAAGTGTCTGAAAACTAAGCGAAAACAAAAACGTCTGACAAGCAAGACGCTTGAAGTAAAAGTGATTTTGGATGGACCGCGCTTGCGCGGGAGGGGAGATCACGTCACTTCCGTTGCCTGTACACTCGTCGATACACGAGGTGGCCGTTCTAGAGAATGGCGAATCAACGACTGTCTGATCTCTTTTAGCGGAGCTTGAGGTAATATGCATAAGACCTATGGTAAGGTAAGTTAAAAATATAGTTTTCATAACAAAAGAGTTGTAATCCATTATTGTTATCATGTGCACTACAACTTCCTACTGCCACTTAGACAATGTTGCATTAAACATAAGCTATGTACCCAAGACTTACAGGGTTAATACTATTTTCATACACATTTAGCCCTGAATATCAGTTTAACATCAGTTTATTCTATTGCTTCATTTATTGCAGAATAATAGGAATATCCCTATAAATTTTTCAGCAGCATAGTTGTCATCTCATATTTTAATTAGGCAAGATAATCAGTTGATTAAATATGGAAGTGTTTGCAGGTTCCAGTGTTCAACAAGAGACAGGTGTACTACATACGCCAGGTTGTGTGTGTCGAGCTGGCCGCAGTGGTGCAGGATATCAGTCAGGTGAGACACAAACCACCAGTTGCCTGTACTTAGGAATGCACTGTAAGACAGACAATGTGACTGCATCAGAAACAACATTCATATATTCTAAAATGACCTGGGAAATCAAATTAAGACTTTTAATATTGCAAGTACAGTGAAACCTGCCTGCACCCCACAGGACCGAAATAAAAGGCCGGTTTAGACAGGGTGCCGGATTAGACATTAATGATCATATTATAGTGTACAATGGCCGGACCAAAATTGTATGCTGGTTTTGACAGTGTGCCAGATTAGACAGGTGCCGGTGTTGGCAGGTTTCACTGTATTAGGAGTGAGTGCACAAATCTGGTTTGTTTGTCATTTAATCATGCCCTCAGCAACATTCCAGCTATGTGATGACGGTCGGTACCTATTGGAGTTTGGACCAACCAATTCTTTATCTGACATCATGAGCATTGATCTTCTCAAGTGAGATACGACATATACAAACAAGTCAGCTAGCCTGACCACCCCATCCTGTTAGTCAGCTGACAAGCATGGGCTGGTGAAGATGTTCATGACTGACTGACTGAGTTTAGTTTTACGCCGCTTTTAGCAATATTCCAGCAATATCACGGCGGGGGACACCAGAAATGGGCTTAACACATTGTGCCCATGTGGGGAATCGAACCCGGGTCTTCGGCGTGTCGAGCCAACGCTTTAACCACTAGGCTACCCCACCGGCCCGAAGATGTTCATGGAAGGAGTGGACTACTGGTGGTACATAACATACATAGTAAGTTGGGCTGTAACAGTGGACGTATCTAGGCTGGAATACACCTAACAGTTGCCAATGTGTGTTACACCCAGTCCCCAAAGAACTGGGTACATGTAATCATAGTAGCAAAGCTTCAATACTACATTAAACAAGAAGACAAAGTCATCAATATCCCCCGCAATGGCAAAATACTCTTCATGATTATGTCTACAAGTAATGATTAAGTCAAATATTTAGGTGTGTATATAGAAAAGTGGAAGGAGAGTATTGAAAGGTTTTTAAAGTTCTGCTCCAGAAAGCAGCACTATCACCAATTTCAGGCTAAGTCAAACTTGTTGCCATGGAAACGCCAAAAATATTTTATTCAGAATTCCAAAACTACCAAAAGGCACCAGTACACCACCAGATCTATCTATGTGCCAAGTTTGGTGAAGACATATTGAACGGTTTTAGAGTTCTGCTCGGGAAAAGAGCACTACCACTATTTTCAGTCAAAGTCGAACTAGTTGCCATGGAAATGACAAAAATATTTTATTCACAATTCCAAAACTACCAAAAGGCACCAGTACACCACCAGACCAATCTATGTGCCAAGTTTGGTGAAGAAATAGTGAACGGTTTTAGAGTTCTGCTCGGGAAAAGAGCACTACCACTAATCTCAGTCAAAGTCGAACTTGTTGCCATGGAAACGCCAAAAATATTTAATTCAGAATTCCAAAACTACCAAAAGGCACCAGTACACCACCAGTAATCGATTGCATGCGATGGCAGCAAAGCAGTCGGGTGGGAGGCAACGAAGTGTCCGGCCTTGTCATGATGTATTGTACTGTGAAGCATTTCGAGTCGGGGGTCATCTCAAAACCAATACTTTTTAAATCGTTAATCCTCGCAAAGACATGAGGGCCTGTGGATAATTATTTTTCTTCTACAACCTTTGCAGGTATATTCATTCCCGTGTAATCATGGGCATCATGACTTGACTGCTGAGCAGTTAAAGAAGTTAATAATATATCATGTTCATGTATCTACCATTTGGTGATGCCAGAAGCAAGTGCACATGCAGCCAGCGATCGCCTGATAGATCTTTATTTAGGCTTCATTATGACCCCAGGCATGCAGAAACACACAAGAGGCTTCGATATGAGCCATTTCAATAACTGTTGTGAATGTAAACAAAGCCTCATGTCCCTTTAGGTCCTAGTATCCCAGAAACCCTTTGCTGATTGTTTTACAAAAATATCACCACAAATCTATGAATGTTTTTTGAATCACTGCAACAGCACAGACTGCTGCGATAAAATGGGGTTTAATGTTTCTCACATTTCTTAATGTTTCACTCACTTAGCACGAAAGCATGGCTACTTGTCCTAATCCAGACGCTTACAAACAAATACTGTGTGTCTAACATGGATATTGAATCTCTTGACTCAGAAGACACTCATGGGTATATTCCTTTAAGAGTGAGAGCCTGACATAGGAGTAAGTGAGTTTAGTTTTACGTCGCTTTTAGCAATATACCATCAATATCACAGCAGGGGACACCAGAAATGGGCTTCACACATCGTAACCTTGTGCGGAAATCGGACCAGGGTCTTCAGCATGGCGAGCAACACTTTAACCATCAGGCTAACACCACAAGACCAAGAAATACCAATGTATTGATATGATGCAACTAGAGATAGAATCACTGACCATATGCTCTCCAGTTATATGCTCTATACACCACACCATAAAAGTGGACATACAGATGACACAAGAAAGTAATAAGATTGAGCAAGAAGACAAAGTCATCAATATCCCCCGCAATGGCAAAATACTCTTCATGATTATGTCTACGAGTTATGATTAAGTCAAATATTTAGGTGTGTATATAGAAAAGTGGAAGGAGAGTATTGAAAGGTTTTTAAAGTTCTGCTCCAGAAAGGAGCACTATCACCAATTTCAGGCTAAGTCAAACTTGTTGCCATGGAAATGACAAAAATATTTTATTCAGAAATCCAAAACTACCAAAAGGCACCAGTACACCACCAGATCCATGTATGTGCCAAGTTTGGTGAAGAAATATTGAACGGTTTTAGAGTTCTGCTCCGGAAAAGACAAATGTGCACGGACGGACGCACGGACGGAGTCCATTTTAATACCCCCCGCAAAACGCGTTGAGGGGGATAACTAGAGAGTAGAGCAGTTAGGGCATTGTTATTATTGGGCTTCTGACCAATAGTTTGTCCACAAAGCTCAGAGCTGTTGCTGGTCAACTGTCAGTGTCCCCCTACTCATTGTCATCAACAGCACAAAAGCACTGGGAGTCCATTCTTCCTCGGAACAAACATTAAATGGTATCGAGGAACAAAATCCACATTGAAAGCAACCCTGTAGCTTCCAGCAGAATTTCAGTAGTGTGTACGATAATAATGAAGCCAGCACAGATAGACTGATCCAGCAACGAGATTACCAAATTGATTTATGCAGACAGAAATCCAGATAACCAATATATAGTTTCTGGTATCAATATCTGCAAGCTTCGAGTGAACTTGGCCAAGTATGTCAAAACACACTGGCAGTGTCCACATCATTGAGAAAATGGTTTTGACATAACACTATTTACACATTCATGAAAGATCATTACCAGATCACATACAAACTGTATTAGGTTATAAATCTCAGGTGACAAAATGGACACTGTACAAGCTATGGTCATAGCTGATTAACATAAAATGTCAGATTAGTGGAGTAAGTTTAGGTTCATGCTGCACTCAGCTATATGGCAGCGGTCTGTAAATAATCGATTCTGGACCAGACAATCCAGTGATCAACATCTGAGAGTCAGAATTGGGTTTCAATCGACTTGCAAAATAAAGAATTGGTAGGTGTCACGAGTAGTGCTCGATAGGCCAATCATCCATGATTATGTTTACATTAAGTTTTAATTGATTGCATGCGATGGCAGCAAAGCAGTCGGGTGGGAGGCAACGAAGTGTCCGGCCTTGTCATGATGTATTGTACTGTGAAGCATTTCGAGTCGGGGGTCATCTCAAAACCAATACTTTTTAAATCGTTAATCCTCGCAAAGACATGAGGGCCTGTGGATAATTATTTTTCTTCTACAACCTTTGCAGGTATATTCATTCCCGTGTAATCATGGGCATCATGATTTGACTGCTGAGCAGTTAAAGAAGTTAATAATATATCATGTTCATGTATCTACCATTTGGTGATGCCAGAAGCAAGTGCACATGCAGCCAGCGACCGTCTGATAGATCTTTATTTAGGCTTCATTATGACCCCAGGCATGCAGAAACACACAAGAGGCTTCGATATGAGCCATTTCAATAACTGTTGTGAATGTAAACAAAGCCTCATGTCCCTTTAGGTCCTAGTATCCCAGAAACCCTTTGCTGATTGTTTTACAAAAATATCACCACAAATCTATGAATGTTTTTTGAATCACTGCAACAGCACAGACTGCTGCGATAAAATGGGGTTTAATGTTTCTCACATTTCTTAATGTTTCACTCACTTAGCAACGAGCATGGCTACTTGTCCTAATCCAGACGTTTACAAACAAATACTGTGTGTCTAACATGGATATTGAATCTCTTGACTCAGAAGACACTCATGGGTATATTCCTTTAAGAGTGAGAGCCTGACATAGGAGTAAGTGAGTTTAGTTTTACGTCGCTTTTAGCAATATACCATCAATATCACAGCAGGGGACACCAGAAATGGGCTTCACACATCGTAACCTTGTGCGGAAATCGGACCAGGGTCTTCAGCATGGCGAGCAACACTTTAACCATCAGGCTAACACCACAAGACCAAGAAATACCAATGTATTGATATGATGCAACTAGAGATAGAATCACTGACCATATGCTCTCCAGTTATATGCTCTATACACCACACCATAAAAGTGGACATACAGATGACACAAGAAAGTAATAAGATTGAGCAAGAAGACAAAGTCATCAATATCCCCCGCAATGGCAAAATACTCTTCATGATTATGTCTACGAGTTATGATTAAGTCAAATATTTAGGTGTGTATATAGAAAAGTGGAAGGAGAGTATTGAAAGGTTTTTAAAGTTCTGCTCCAGAAAGGAGCACTATCACCAATTTCAGGCTAAGTCAAACTTGTTGCCATGGAAATGACAAAAATATTTTATTCAGAAATCCAAAACTACCAAAAGGCACCAGTACACCACCAGATCCATGTATGTGCCAAGTTTGGTGAAGAAATATTGAACGGTTTTAGAGTTCTGTTGCCATGGAAAAGACAAATGTGCTACCAAAAGGACCGGACGACGAAGACATATTGGAGTCCATTTAATACACCCACTAATTTCAAAAGCGAACTTGTTGCCATTGCGGGGATAACCAAAGAGAGTAGTAGCAGTTAGGGCATTGTTAGAGTTTATTGGGCTTCTGACCAATAGTTTGTCCACCACAAAGCTCAGAGCTGTTGCTGGTCAACTGTCAGTGTCCCCTACTCATTGTCATCAACAGCACAAAAGCACTGGGAGTCCATTCTTCCTCGGAACAAACATTAAATGGTATCGAGGAACAAAATCCACATTGAAAGCAACCCTGTAGCTTCCAGGAGAATTTCGATAATAATGAAGCCAGCACAGATAGACTGATCCAGCAAAGATTACCAAATTGATTTATGCAGACAGAAATCCAGATAACCAATATATAGTTTCTGGTATCAATATCTGCAATCGAGTGAACTTGGCCAAGTATGTCAAAACACACTGGCAGTGTCCACATCATTGAGAAAATGGTTTTGACATAACATATTTACACATTCATGAAAGATCATTACCAGATCACATACAAACTGTATTAGGTTATAAATCTCAGGTGACAAAATGGACCTGTACAAGCTATGGTCATAGCTGATTAACATAAAATGTCAGATTAGTGGAGTAAGTTTAGGTTCATGCTGCACTCAGCTATATGGCCGGTCAACATTCTGACCAGACAATCCAGTGATCAACATCTGAGAGTCAGAATTGGGTTTCAATCGACTTGCAAAATAAAGAATTGGTAGGTGTCACGAGTAGTGCTCGATAGGCCAATCATCCATGATTATGTTTACATTAAGTTTTAATTGATTGCATGCGATGGCAGCAAAGCAGTCGGGTGGGAGGCAACGAAGTGTCCGGCCTTGTCATGATGTATTGTACTGTGAAGCATTTCGAGTCGGGGGTCATCTCAAAACCAATACTTTTTAAATCGTTAATCCTCGCAAAGACATGAGGGCCTGTGGATAATTATTTTTCTTCTACAACCTTTGCAGGTATATTCATTCCCGTGTAATCATGGGCATCATGACTTGACTGCTGAGCAGTTAAAGAAGTTAATAATATATCATGTTCATGTATCTACCATTTGGTGATGCCAGAAGCAAGTGCACATGCAGCCAGCGACCGTCTGATAGATCTTTATTTAGGCTTCATTATGACCCCAGGCATGCAGAAACACACAAGAGGCTTCAATATGAGCCATTTCAATAACTGTTGTGAATGTAAACAAAGCCTCATGTCCCTTTAGGTCCTAGTATCCCAGAAACCCTTTGCTGATTGTTTTACAAAAATATCACCACAAATCTATGAATGTTTTTGAATCACTGCAACAGCACAGACTGCTGCGATAAAATGGGGTTTAATGTTTCTCACATTTCTTAATGTTTCACTCACTTAGCAACGCGAGCATGGCTACTTGTCCTAATCCAGACGTTTACAAACAAATACTGTGTGTCTAACATGGATATTGAATCTCTTGACTCAGAAGACACTCATGGGTATATTCCTTTAAGAGTGAGAGCCTGACATAGGAGTAAGTGAGTTTAGTTTTCACGTAAGCTTTTAGCAATATACCATCAATATCACAGCAGGGGACACCAGAAATGGGCTTCACACATTGTACCCTTTGTGTGGAAATCGGGCAGGGTCTTCAGCATGGCGAAAGCAACACTTTAACCATCAGGCTAACACCACAAGACCAAGAAATACCAATGTATTGATATGATGCAACTAGAGATAGAATCACAGACCATATGCTCTCCAGTTATATGCTCTATACACCACACCATAAAAGTGGACATACAGATGACACAAGAAAGTAATAAGATTGAACAAGAAGACAAAGTCATCAATATCCCCCGCAATGGCAAAATACTCTTCATGATTATGTCTACGAGTTATGATTAAGTCAAATATTTAGGTGTGTATATAGAAAAGTGGAAGGAGAGTATTGAAAGGTTTTTAAAGTTCTGCTCCAGAAAGGAGCACTATCACCAATTTCAGTCTTTGTCAAACTTGTTGCCATGGAAATGACAAAAATATTTTATTCAGAAATCCAAAACTACCAAAAGGCACCAGTACACCACCAGATCTATCTATGTGCCAAGTTTGGTGAGGAAATGTTGAACGTTTTAGAGTTCTGCTCCGGAAAAGACAAATGTGCACGGACCGATGGACGGACGCACGCACGGACGGAGTCCATTTTAATACCCCCCGCAAAACGCGTTGCGGGGGATAACAAGAGTCATCAGAAGATGACATATCCCCCCGGCCCCCACATCTTTGAAAGAACAAATCATCTGACAGTTACTTAAAGGCACCACTTCAAGATCGGCCTCACATATCTGCCAAGTTTTGCTGAAAGATATTGAGAAGTTTTCGAGTTGTGCTCCGGAAACAAAACCCACCCCTCTTTTTGGGACTAAGTCCGAATCGTTTCCATGGAAACCGGGAAAAATAAAAATGCCAAGAATCTGCAAATAGCAAAAGGCACAACTTAAGGATCTGTTTGATATATCTACCAGGTTTTGCTGAAAAATATTGAACGGTTCTTGAGTTATGCTCCGGAAACGAAGCCCACCCCTCACTTTTGGGACTAAGTCCAAATCGTTTCCATGGAAACCGGGAAAAATAAAAAAAATCTGCAAATAGCAAAAGGCACAACTTTAGGATCTGTTTGATATATCTACCAAGTTTTGTTGAAAAATATTGAACAGTTTTCGAGTTGTGCTCCGGAAACGAAACCCACCCCTCCTTTTGGGACTAAGTCCGAATCGTTTCCATGGAAACCGAGAAAAATAAAAATGACAATAATATGTAAATAGCAAAAGGCACCACCTTAGGTTATGTTTGACATATCTACCAATTTTCGTTGAAAAATATCGAACGGTCTTTGAGTTATGCTCTGGAAACAAAATGATTACGGACGGACAGACGGACGGACGAGGCGACGACTATATCCAACCGCATTACATGCCGGTGGGATAAAAATGAAACTCAGAGCACAATGTCCAACCATGAACTGAAGTCCTTTTAAATACAGCAAACACTCACATTCATGTATAATGAGAAAGATTTGACACCAGTCTCCATCAAGAGGTGCACCTGCAGTCAAACCCTCACAACCAAGACTATGCAGGGCATTACCTGCTGTCCTTGATTACTTGATGGATGTCGAATTCAATGGCTGCCTGAAGAATGTTGTCCAGCTCTCCCATACGAGCTCCCACGTGACAGAACTCTTCCATACAGCTCTGAAACCATTAATACATGTAGTGAATCATCTAAGTTGTCTATACAGGTATGGTTTACATCATCAACTAGATCAGTGTTGAACACCCTCTTTCAGTTGAATAATCTATGAAAGCACAATCATTAATTCATGTTCACAGAAAACAGTATCGGATCTTAATACGCTTGCAGTAGCTAGTACTGGAGAGAACTTGACTCAATGTCACTGTGAGCAGTATTTCGGGTGTATTATGGCATGGAAGCTGGATGTGGGAGGAAAGCCTGGAGTAAGGCAGGTCTGTAATGTTCATCATATTAGTGAGTGAGTGAGTGAGTGAGTGAGTGAGGTTAGTTTTACGCCGCTTTTGGCAATATTCCAGCAATATCACGGCAGTGGACACCAGAAATGGGCTTCACACATTGTACCCATGTAGGGAATCGAACCAGGGTCTTCAGCTTGATGAGGGAACGCTTTAACCACTAGGCTACCCTACCGCCCCTCCTCATATTAGTGAAACCATATGATTGTCATGGAGCCATGCACTCACACTATTTCTTGTCATAGATTTACCACTAAAGCCAGAGAGCACTATCAGATCTATGAACATAATCAGTGAGAATCTAGGACTTGAACCAAGACCATGTTTATTGCACACATAAGGGACTGAACTGTGCTCAGCTAATTGCAGATCCTCAGACAACTATACTCCTGCCCCTACCCCACCCCACAGAACAGGAGTTCAACAAAGACACTTACCTGTACATGGAAGTGAAGATCCAGGGATTTGATAGTCGGGTTCTGATACAACATCTTAGATACAAGCAGGTGATACCATGTTTCACAGTAATCCTTCATTTCAGTAAATATTGCATCATCACCGCATAAAATCTGGAAATAAAACAGAGGAATATTCTGACATTGTTCACACGTCATCAACGCACATAAAAACATGGGTATACTACGATATTCTCTAACTGGTGCTGGTGGGATAAAGTGGGACATAAAAGAAAAAGTCTCCATTTCTTAACTAAACATGCCAGGACAGAAACCAAACATTGTAAATGCTCTCAAAACTTGAACTTAGTGGGTTTTTTGTCAAAGCACTAGTGATCAAGAGTTACAATCTTACATCTGACAAGCCTTGTGTCAAAACTTGATAGCCAGATTTATCGGACTCACTGAACAATCGATCACTTTCACAATATCTTAAACCTGATTGTCATATTCAGATCCATAAACGATACATTGTGAGTGAATTCTACACTAGTCTCAAGAAGAGGACCTGGTCTGCTTCCAGGTGTTGACACCTACCTGAGCCAATGTCTCCAGGTTGGTGAAGGCTGCAAACTGTCCCTCTTCCAACACTCGGACACACTCCTCCCTCCAGTGCCGCCACTTCATGTCGTACTCTGCCGCCGAGGGGATGTGATTGTATTGCTGTTGTACATTGAGTAACAAACTTTGTAACATCAAGCAGGAAACAGAAGGAACCATGGCTTCTATTTACATTTTGTTGCCTCATAAAGAAACACACATACCAGGTAACTGTACTGATAACAAGTTCTGGTTTATTCTATTTAGCTTGTGTAATTCAGCTTGATAATGGTGTTAGAATCAACATTGAAACATCAACAAACACAATAAACCAGAGGATGATTTCTATAAAGTTGAATGTTATCCCCAGAACTATTGCAATTTAAACAAAGCTTTTTGATTTGGTGAGTGAGAAAGCTAACATAGACATTGATGGGCACAATTCTTTCAAGGTGTTCCTTTACACAAGTATCGCTAATACCAAGTACACTGTATCCACAGGTATGCAAGTAATGCCAGTTAATATCCTTGGCAGTATAGAATCTGTGATGACTGGCAAATGCTTTGAATTCAAAATACCATTATTTCCTTTGATGTATCCATTCACTCATGAGAAGCAACTTTCTCTTGCCACGAACTTTATAACCTATATTTCAGTTCATGGTAGAGCAAAGGTCCTAGAAACGTTATGAGTCAAACTTGCCAGTTGCTGTTACCTGTTCACCCCTCCTTCACCATGCCCATGATCACACAGCACCAATGGCACTGCTTTGAAGGTACACCTGAACTGACTTACATGTGCTTGTGGCATTTTTCGTAGCAGCTCATCCATGACAGCAAATGCATCGGATGAATTTGCAGATGAGTGCTGGGATAGCAGTCTTCTCACACTCTCAGCCTCGCCCTGGAGCGTCAGCCTGTAGATCTGAAGGGTATGGTACAAGGATTTATCAAGACTTCATCAGATATTCAAAACCAAATCTGCAACTAATGTGGTCAATATTTCCCCCATTCATGTAACAACTGATAGTTCATGTGTAGACTTAACCAGTATTTCACTGATAAAAAGATGAACAAGAGCCATCATCAGATGACAAATCTCCCCGGGCCCCCACAAGTTTCAAACCACAAATCATCTGACTGTCCAACTTGATCTTTTCTTGACTAAGTCCAAATCGTTTCTATGGACATCATGAAAAATATAAATGCCAAAAATCTGCAAATAGCAAAAGGCACCACTTCAACGAAGCCCACCCCTTCCTTTTGAGACTAAGTCTAAAACGTTTCCATGGAAACCAAGAAAAATAAAAATCATAAAAATCTGTAAATAGCAAAAGGCACCACTTTAGGTTCTGTTTGATATATCTGCCAAGTTTTGTTGAAAGATATTGAAAGGTTTTCGAGTTGTGCTCTGGAAACAAAGCCCATCCCTCCCTTTTGAGATTAAGTCCAAAACGTTTCTATGGAAACCAAGAAAAATATAAATCACAAAAATTTAACCAAACCTTAAGAGGTTTTCAATTCTCGAAGAGAGTCGTCCTTGGGGTACATATTATGCATTTTCCACGCTGAAAATGTCCTGTGACAGTTGTATCAATGTTTTTTGAATAAAAAGATTGTACAATAAATAAACTTTTTTATTTATTATACGGCCCCCACCTCGTGGAGTTACCTCCTGTTGCGCATGCACACCAACTGGGTAATCACCTAGGCCCGTATCATCATTCCTTCTGCTGAATAAATCAGTGAACAGAATTGGCGGGAGGCGGAGGAGGCCCTACCTCAAGGATCGACTCTCTTCGAAGAATTGAAAACCTCTTCAGGTTTGGTTAATTCTTCTTCATAGAGATCGTCCTTGGGGTACATATTATGCATAAACACAGACTCCCAAAGACCGGAGGCCAGGGAGGAGGGAATTCTGTCCAAGCACATACAAATAGCTATCGTTAATTGAATAATGTAACAGACGCCATAACACTCACCTGTCACATGTCCCAGTTTTTCGCTCGCGAGAGGCATTATGGGAGGGAACTGACAGGGGATTGTACTCAAGACTAACCTCAAAGGTTCGCAGATAGTAACTCGCGACATGGTGCAAAATGTAAACAAAGCCCCACCCACCTTGTGTCGATTAGTGAGCACCGTGAGGGGAATGTCAAAAACGCCACAATCGACCTGAATACTCGGAGAGGATCGAAATGAGGTTATTTAGCTCCCAATAGCGGATATGTCAATAAAACTCAGTATTGAACAGCAGCTTCAACAAAACCAATGAACCAAGACTCACTCGGTCAGGGTGGCAGGACACTGTCCACTGGAGAGAACAGAACGGCCAAAGCTCGCACTAACACGGGAATGCGATCGAGCTGATAATGCCGAATAAACGCAAGCTAGGCCGGCTCCAAATAGCGGCAGAGCAGATCTCTTCAATGGGGAGTGCCGATGCAAAGCTTTTGATGCGCTACTGCCCTGACCGAAAGTGAGCCTTCAACCCCTCAGGGGAGGCTTGCCCTTAGCCTGATAAGCAGCACAGATACATCTAAACTAGCCAGCAAGACAAAGTCTGCTTTGCTCGCCGGCACACCAGCCTTCCCGCCACCGTAACAACAGAACAGCTGGGTAACCGTGACGGATCCCCTGCATTCGCTTGATATAGACCTTGAGAGTCTTTACGGACATCCAACGGGTGAGTGCTCGCTGCAGAGGTCCCCATGTGGAAGGCTGGGTAAGAGTGGGAAGTTCGATAGGAGCTGTCACATGGAAGCGTGATTGACCTTCGGCGGTAATGATCCGGGAGGCTAATACTGACACGATCAGTGTGAAACACAGTCAGCCGGTCGGACGACATAGCATGTAAATCGCCGACCCTACGCCCAGATGTTACCGCCACCAGAAAAACAGCCTTCCAAGTTAACAACTGAATGGAAATAGCCGATAGGTGTGAGAAAGTGGGACCGACAGCCAATCGAAAGCACAATTGACAAATCCCAAGGTAGGCTGGTTAAGCCTGACGGCAGGTCGAACCCGATCCGCCAGCTAAAAGCGCTGTAACGAGAGGGTGCTGCCTCAGAAGAGCACCATCGACAGGGTGTGAAAAGTGGAAATAGCGGTGGCGTAGCCCTCGAATGGTCGGGCCGCCAGGCCAGGCCTTCTTCCAAACGGGCTTGCAAAACTCCAATACCGGACTAAATCGCGAGAAAAGGGATCTGCAATCCCCTATCTGAACACCAGCCCGCATAGCGGGACCACCTATCCTCATACTGAACGTTTGTCGAATCCCGCCTCGAAGCCAGAATTGTGTCTGCAACTGCTGCAGGAATTCCGCGTGCCTTGAGGCTAGACCTGACAGAGGCCAAGCCACCCACTGAATCCTTGGATTGGGGTGGGGCCCGCTCTGAGTGAGAATGTCCGGTCGTAAAGGTAATAGAACAGGAGGCTGAGCCAGAAACCTGAGAATTACCGAAACCAGCTCTGTGACGGCCAAAGCGGTGCCAGTAGCACAAGCAGCCGAGCTGGCTGGGTGGACAGCTGTGAAAGGACACGGGGAATGAGTGATAACGGCGGGAACGCCCAGAGCACTTTGCCTGTCCAATCCAGCAGGAAGGCGTCTGCAGCCAACGCCCTCGGGTCCGGTATTCGAGAGCAGAACATGGGTGTCTGATTTGTCCCGCCGGACGCAAACAGATCCACTTGGAACGACCCGCATAACCGGGGAGAAAACTCGAATATCTGCCGGTCGAAAGCATCGACTCGTGCGGGGCCAGGATCCGGCGAGAGAGAGCGTCTGCTCGCACGTTCTCCAGCCCCGGGAGATAAACAGGGAGTACCTGACAATCGCACTGGTCGCACCAGAGGAGAAAGTCCCATGTCTCCCGGAGGAGCGCTCGGGACACCGTGCCACCTTGCTTCAGGATGTACGACATGGCTGTCTGGTTGTCCAACTGAAGACGAACCACCTGGCCCTGGACATGCTCTCGGAAGCGCTCGAAAACCAACCGCACAGCTCTCAGTTCCAACACGTTGATGTGAAGGTGGGCTTCGGCTTCGGACCAGAGTCCGGACACCGACAGACTGCCCAGAACACCTCCCCAGCCCGTGAGGGACGCATCAGTCTGAACTGTAAGAGCTGGCGTCGGGATTTCCAAGGGGATCCCCCTGGTGAGATTCCCGACATTGGTCCACCACTGAAGGTGAGGTGTCAACCACCCGGGGACTGTGAGACTCCGCTCCAGGTCCCCGAGTGAGCCCACAGACTCGCCAAAGCTTGCTGTATAGGGCGCATCCTCAACCGCGCCCGCCACACTACAGAGATCGTCGCCGCCATATGGCCCAGTAGACGGGCTGAACAGAGGAGATCACTGAGCGCAGTGTCTCCATCTTGAAGGATGGTACTTCGAGCATGCGATTCAACCCCTTGAGGTTGAGAATGGGACGGAACCCACCGTCTTTCTTCGGAACGAGGAAGTACATGGAGTAAAATCCCGCCTGTTCTTCGCCCAGTGGTATGCGCTCGATTGCGGACTTGTCCAGCAAAGCCTGGACTTCGTCGAGCAATATGTCCGCCCTTGCCTGACATGACGGCACCAGAGTGCGGCGTATGCCGGTGAAGTCGGGCGGACCTCGCTTCCACAGTGGTAAATGGCCGACACTCACGGTGGACAGCACCCAAGTGTTGTTTGTAGCGAAGGGCCAGCAAGGTCTGCTGTGTAGCTGCCGAGTACCGAGACGTCGACAGCCACAGCTTGCGCATCCCCATGACTGCGCACATCACCGTCGACGCTCGAGGTGTACCTGAACTTCGGATAACTAACGGAGTAGCACGACATGCGGAGAAACGTCTCAAGCATGCCCCTCCGCCTCCAGGGCCGACCTCTGGATCGAGGAGAGGTAGGCCTCATGGACCACGACCCGCACCTGCTGCATAGCGTTCCGGTAGACCTCCTCGTAGGTCCGATTTGCATGCTGCAGGGGGGCGCCCGCGAGGGCAAACGGTGGTGTTAAACGCCCTTGCCGAGCAGCCGGAGCTGCTCCGGAGGAAGCCGAGCCTCCCCCCAAGGCGACCGAAGTAAACACGCACTCATCCACCATTGGAACAGCGAACAGGGAATCCTCCCCCAGCTGGTACCTCCGAGAAGCTCAGGCAAGTCGAAACGGAGGCGAGACCAAGACAGGAGGGGATTGACCACGTCCTGGACCAACGACGGAAGAATACGGAGCAGCGTCTGCGTAGGCTGCCGAGGGGCAAACGCCTCGCCTCGCAGGCGGAACTCAGACGAGTCCGAGCGGCTGGCAGGCACCGCGGCCTGGGGTAGGAACTCGGCAATGCGTTGCCGGAACTCCCGCAAAGCCGACGAAAAACGGAAGGCACCATCCTGCTCCTCAACCTCCCCAGTATCCATGGACTCGGCGCTCGAGCCCGAGTCCGAGGCTGGGTCTCCTCGCGAAGAGGACCTGAACCCCAACCCAGTGGGGGGCCTAGCACCAGGCACAGAAGAGAGGGAGGAGCAGACAGAGCGCCCCGCATCAGCACCTGCCATCTCGCACAAACCCTGGTCCCGAGACGCTGGAGGCAGACCAGGCAGAACTGGTGTCAGTTCCCCTCCCGCCTCACGCATCTCTCTATAAAAGAGAAAATCCGCCGCCCTTCTCTTCTGGGCCTGGGGGGAAAAGCCCATGCAAATCTCAAAGGTTTCTGAGATATGATCCGTTTTCTCCAAACACACGATGCATTTATCGTGGCGGTCGGCCCTGGGTATGCTTTGCCCACAGACCGAACAGGAGGAAAACGCCTGAAAGCAAACACGCAAGCATGTAGCTAACAGCGGACCAGCAGCTAAGATACACGTAGAAAACATTGAAAAATACGTGAAGGCTACCACGGGAAGCAATAGTTGGTTCAATACGCAATATTACAACCACGTGGCACGCTAAACTTCCCGCTATGGCAGAGCAACATGTGCGTAAACCACGGGAAAGTGAGCGTAAAATAATTAATACAAAGTCACAATTACGAAACAACCGAATCCAAGCTTTACTGTTCCTTTCAAGGACAAAATAAAGACCATACATACAGGTGGTGTTGTCTCAGACATAGCTCTTTTGAGTTCTCTTGGAGAGTACAGCTGTTTCTACACATTAACATCGCCTATACACGTGAGTGACAGCAGAAGGAATGATGATACGGGCCTAGGTGATTACCCAGTTGCTGCGCATGCGTAACGGGAGGTAACTCCACGAGGTGGGGGCCGTATAATAAATAAAAAAGTTTATTTATTGTACAATCTTTTTATTCAAAAAACATTGATACAACTGTCACAGGACATTTTCAGCGTGGAAAATGCATAATATGTACCCCAAGGACGATCTCTATGAAGAAGAACTGCAATTAGCAAAATGCACTACTTTAGGTTCTGTTTGATATATATGCCAAGTTTTGTTGATTGATATTGAACAGTTTTTGACAACGAAGTGTCAACTATATTCAGGATAATAAAGAGGTAGAAGTGTATCTTCTCAAACTACAATATTAAAATACCTCTTACTTCAAAAAAACAAAACAAAGAACTTGGAAAAAAGGCCACAATGTTTTTGCAGTTTAGAATCCTGGATAAACCCCTGCACTAGCAGTCTTCTGTACACAGACACTGCCTGTATCAGGCAGGTGCATCAACATATATCACAACATTTAGGAATTCAGAGAATTGCTCAAGGCTAAAGAGAGGCACTCATCAGTGGTTTATGATTAGACCTCTGATTTCCGCTCTTCATCAATGAATTAACAGTTATGCTCAAGGCTAAAGAGAGGCACTCGTCAGGGGTTTATGATTAGACCTCTGATTTCCACTCTTCATCAATGAATTAACAGTTATGCTCAAGGCTAAAGAGTGCAAAGGATTTTTTGTAAATGAAGTTTTTGATAACATTACTTCTCTGATGTTTGCTGATGACTTTTCTAATGTGAGTGACAGTGTTGGGAGATGACAGAAACACACTGATTGTGAAGTAGAATTTTGTGATAGATATGGAATGGAGATCAAGTTAGGACTGACTGACTGAGTTTAGTTTTACGCCGCTTTTAGCAATATTCCAGCAATATCACGGCGGGGGACACCAGAAATGGGCTTAACACATTGTGCCCATGTGGGGAATCGAACCCGGGTCTTCGGCGTGACGAGCCAACGCTTTAACCACTGGGCTACCCCACTGCCCCAGATCAAGTTAGGAAAAACTAAAATCATTGTTTTCAGAAGAGGTGCATTGTGAAAAGCAGGAAAAAGTGGTACATCAAATCACAAGATATTGAACTGGTCAGCTCATATAAGTATCTAGGAATCTGTTTCACATTCATTTGAAATTGTACAAAAGGATCTTATCAGTCAAATCAAGTTCAAGTAATGCAGTTATCTATGGTGAAATTGGGTAATTTCCTCTATTTGTTTGTCAGATGGGTAAAATGCTGAACTTCTGGTTTAAGCTACTTGCCATACCCACCAATAGGTATCCAAAGGCATGTTATTCAATGTTATTCCATGCTTTATGGTCTGGATGGTGCAGGAAGAAAATCATGGGCTTCATCAATCAGCCTTTTGCTCTTTTCATGTGGTTTTGGCAGTGTGTGGGAAAATTAAGGAGTTGAAGATAAATCATCATAGCTAATTCTGTTCAAGCTGAGAGCTATTGACTGTTGGAAATAAAACCAGTCAGCGAATATAAATGAAAGTAGCAAGTTATCACTTTATTGCAAATAAAAATCTTTGTTGAAATGGAATCATATTTCAGTGTGGTACAAATCACCAGATACAGAACTGCGTTTACAAGATTCAGATGCATTAACCATAATGGGCAGGAATAAATAGAGAAGCAGAGGCCCAGATCAGCTGCGTATCCGGGTAAAATACGCATAGAAAATTTCCAATTAGGCATTGAAAAATAATTGTTGCATACCAATTACGCATTTGAAATGCTAGATATGCAAAAAGTTTAAAACAAATGCGTACGGAATATATTATAAAAATTGCATGCGTAATGAAAAAGATAGATTACTATCAAGTTGTACTGTTAGTATAGGACTAGTGTTGTACTGTCAGTATAGGATGAGTGATTATTTATGAAATCATTTCCATCATATTTAAGTTGGTTTTGATTAAGCATGACATAAGGCAGAACATACCTGCTTAGTAAACTTACTCAATGACATAATACTTAGGTGAGTAAAATGACTGAAATACGCACATATTTGAAAGCAGTGGGTAAAGGAAAATGAAATACCCACTCAACTTTCATAATACCCACTCAAAAAAAATACAGTGGGTACAGTACCCACATGAGCTAAATCTTATCTGGAGCTCTGGAGAAGAAAGAGGGTGCAATTTCTGTTTGTCTGTACTTAACAGAAGTATACTTGAGGATGAGATCCACTTTCTTATTATTTGTTCAGTGTCATGATCTTAGAGCTCAACTACTGAAAATACTGCAATATCTTTCCAATGTAAACAAGTTTATACATTATCATTGTAACATATAATGAATTGTGAAAATCAGTCAATCATTAGCAGAATTTATTTTCAGGGCCTCAACTGTGAGGGAAATGTACTATAGCACCTGATGGAAGGGAGATAACCCAATCTAATTCAACATTGTTCATCACTGTTCATCATTGTTTGATGATTTGTCGCTTTCTATGTGAAATGTTATATATTGTATCATGCAATCTATATTTTGAAATCTTGTGTAATATTTATTATGTATTCTGTACAGCTATCCACCAAGAGTATAGCATACTGTTTGTACCCTGGGCCTATGACCCCTAATACTGAATAAAAGAACGGAATTAGATTGACACTCACAGCGTCCCAGTACATGGGATGTGAGTCTGGCTGCTCATCTCGGTGCACCTCCATTGCCAACCTCTTCCCTTCAGAGAAGTGCCATCTCAGCCAGTCGAGCAGTTGCCGCAACACCAGACCATCTGCAACCGGAGGCACCACACACTTCAGGTTTGACTTGCATAAAATGGGAGTCACAAGACATGCAAGCTAATAGAACAGCACAAGTAAATGTGTAAATGGTCAATGCCAGAGAATAATTTGTCTTGACTATCTGAAGATACATGAAGTTGCACAGGCCAAGGTAGACAACTCTGGGGGACGGATGTAAATCTGTATTCTACTGTCTCCCTCTTCCAGAACTGTCTGTTAGGTTAAGGTAGGGAAGATAAAGCACTGTGTAGTGTGAGGAAAGGTAGAACACATATCTTCTTGAGTAACCATTATTAAGTTTCAGAATTTACCTGAGCTTGTGTCCACAAAGAGTATCTCACAGAGACTCCAGATGAGCTGAATCATCTCGAACATTTGTAGTTGGTTCTCATAGTATGCCCGCTGGTGCTCATCCTGGGTTGTGTCTGGACAAACATTGAGCTAATTTAGCATCACAAAATACCAACAAGGACTAGGCTACTGGCAGAAATATATAGAAAAAGTGTTTGCTGTGCCCACAGCCTTTACACATACCACAGATCCTATAGCTTAAGAGCTGCCAGTATTGTGTTTTACCAGACTTTTCTAACATGTTCATTAATGACATCTAGAAACCTGATACTAAATGATGAAGTGATGATGTTACACTGGAACCATTGCAACTGGAATTACCTGTCAGGTGTAACAGCTCCATGCTGCAGGCCTTCAGGACAGAGCGATACTGCTTGCTGGCCTTCACCAGTCTGTAGCAAAACAATCACAACTCACATCAACAGCAAAATGGATAAAAATACACAGTAATGATACTTAAGAGAGTTGATACTCAAAACAATTCATGAATTCAAACTGAAAATAAAGGATGGACATCTATGAGCAAAACACAGATTTCAAGTTACAGTGGCATGTTTGTCCCAAATTCGTCCTCTCCCCTACCCACCTTATTTGAATCAGTAAGCACAACAAACCACTTACTGTGTGTGTAGAGCTGTCCCAGACAGACTGTTCACTTGCCCCTGGAGCATAACGAAGATATCTGAAGTGAAAACATGGGTGTGTCATTATTCTCTGCCTGTGTATCTAAATTAGACAAAGAATCCGAACAATGCTAAGATCAAGGAGGATCATTAATTAGATGTGGGTAAACTCTCAATCATCAAAAAAACCACTTGTACTTCATCTTTCGTGGCTACACCTAACTGTGTAGGTACATCACATGCAGTCTCCTCAGTTTCAAAACCCATGTCACTAAATCCCCTTTTGTGTCAAGCATAGGTTGCTGGGAACAAACTACAACCCAGAATCCCCATGGGACAAATTACTCGATTTCCTTACTGTGTGACTCGTTGACAAGTTTGCGTGTGATTGGTCCATGCATTTCAGTGTGCCATCGGATGTGAGACACCTCAGCAGCAGACGTCCCCTCTCCCTGTTGCCTGTCTGTAACCAACAAAAATATTTACCAATTTATTATTCAAGATTGTTTTCATTATCAACTCCATGCATATGATGAAAAGTGAAACCCTGCCAGATACTAGAGGGATGTTTTAATACACTTCTCATGCTTATATCATTCACATCGTAACACATAAATTCATAACAAAATTAATCTGAAAATACATCTTAGTATTTTACATATTATTCTTCTGTTACATAACAAAAAAACATTTTGAATGAGAGAAATAATGCTGAAGGGGTCGTCAGCACAAGTACTACAAATATGTACCTCAGGTACGTTTCTGTATACAGACATGTACCCTTACAAAGTCAAACTTCAGAAAAGTACCCGGTACCCTAAACCAGTCCATATTCCGCAACCCAATACCAAAACTGTATGTAGTTATTCCCGTTAAGCTGATTGCAAGTGGTGTATGTTGTGCACCGCGAAATATTCGTTACTGTGTATGCTCTTGTATAACGCAATCAAATGCATCTAATACAACAGTATGACAGTTTCGATCAAGAAAACGGCACAATGCAGAATGGAATTGTCCTAGGGTACGTTTCTGTATTCTGATTTTGTTTAGGGTACATGTCTGTATACAGAAACGTACTACCTCGGGTACATATCTGTAGTACCCGTGCCGACAACGACCCCTTCAGTAGAAATAATATATCAACTACAAATATGCATTCATCTCAAGCACTTCAAGAACATGCAGCTTACTTTGGCTGAGAGTCTCTTGTCTCCCCTCTGGGTAAACATACAGCTGGTTGCCCAACCCCCATGTAGCTGACAGGGCCTCACTAGACCCACACGGTATAGCCTACAACAAAGGCAATTATCAAACAAATACATCAAGATGGAAGCCCAGAGAGTAATATATCCTAATCCTAAAACAGCTATCAGTTTTCATATGTATAACTCAGCATACATATGAAAACTGACAGCTTGTTTTCTTTGAAAATCAAGTACATGGATAGCAAAAAGCACAAGCTTGACACATGATGACAATAACCAAACATATCCTGCAATCTTGTATCAAATATAACTGGCATAGTTGGAATACCATTCACTCTGAAATAGCGAACTGTGTGAGAGAAACAAATCAGAAAAAATGCTTTTGTGTGTAACAGCTGTGATCAGTGACATGTGTCAGAGTTAGTGACAGATAATTTGAGTACGTATTCTTGTGCATGAAGTGTAACAAATAAATAAGTGTGAAGTAATATATCAGTGTTCAAGTCTATTTGAATTCTTTTTGTATCAAGGGGAACCTTGTTAACGAATCAGTTCCAAGTGATCTGTTTACGACAAACAATACACGGTACTACACTTATTTACCCGGACAGTAATTTCTTGGCAAATAACCCAATCATAAATGATAAAGATGCGAAAGGCTAGTTTTGTTTTGAAATTTGAACTCGTTCTTTTTCTCTTCACAATAAGAAATCAGAAGAGAAAGCTAGTTTCTGGTATGCTTGAAAAAACAACAACTTTAATTGTTTGCTTGCAAAGTTCATATCAAACTGTAATGATGAAAAAAACAGAAAATAATCATATTTACCAGATAAAACAACTCGCTTTCCCGCTCCGCAGCCATGCTTGTCATTTTGCCACTTCCGGTTGGTGTGTGTGGACGCGTTTATTGCATAAAACAAACATTTGTCAAGAAACTTAAGAACGCATATTTGTCGTTGAATTAAGTATGTAACTTCTACATTTACTCACTTTTCCACAATCTTTATTCAAATTAAATATGGAAAGAAAAGATTGACATTTTCACAATGTTTTAAGTAAAACGAGCAACAGTTCCATGTTTCAGTTGGTTCACGACTATAAGCGTACTAGCCCAAACTCACCCTCCCTATCGAATCCGTATATGTCATGTGACTTTGTTTATCTCGGTCAAAATGGTTGACCTCATCAGTTTTGTCCCAGCTAGCAAGGTTTTAGAAGTTTTAAAGTATGAATCCCTAATCGATACCATTGAATTAGCGTTCAAGAAGTTTTCTTCACGTCCCGAGTCTGGAGTCTGCCAACCGATGAGAAGTGTCATTTTTGTTCCACCTACAAATGGGTTCGTTAACCATTTTTATCACGAAATTGCCCTTTGGCCTTTGCTGTACACTGATCTAGCATTCCTCTTCAATAATTAGGATTTTTGTTACAGGTGCCGTACAGTATATAATTAGTTACACCACGCAGATTAAGTGACAAGCTATTTGTCACGTCTCTGGTGTGTAATGACGACGATGATGATTTTGAGATTTTACATGCGCTTTCGAAATGATGGGGTCATTATACAGGCTGTAGGTGAATTCGTAGACCAGACTGGTTCGTAGACGTGGAAATCCGGTGGATTCGTAGACGGATTGAGCGGTGGATTCGTAGACGTTAGTAAAATGGGAAAAGTTCAACCTCAATGATGATGAAAATCGACGAAAAGTGTTTGCATTTTGTGAAATAAATAAAATATATCAGGTAAGTATGATCGGCGGTGAAAATATGCTTAAAATAATAAAATATGCTTCACAGCGGTCCACGTCCGACAAATTCCTACAAATCATAGGCCGCTAATATATTAAATTCAGTTGTGTAAAATTAAAAGATAAGTACTAGGTAAGTATCGTCATTCAATTCAACTACGCAGACCAGCAGAGAAGTAGCATAAAACATTTCTTAAGAAAACACTTACATCTCCTACACAGAGTATTTCGGAATCAAAACAACTCACCACTTCCTAATTAACATTCACAACAACTCAGTGAAACCTGATAATCCTCCCACAACAATGAAAACAGTCAGGAAATTATGATGAGTAGACTAATTTTGTCTGATCTGCATTTTATTAGTATAGTGATTGATTATGCCTCACATTTTTATAATTTGTTTTCTAGAGTCATACAAATACATGTAAAACAAGTCTAGACAAGAGACGGGGAAAATATTCGTTCACTCTTCGATCACACTTTCTTGTCCTTAGCTGCCCGTAGTTTCGTATCACTGAAAACAAAGCATAACAACTTCGTTATACACATTCAAACTTAATATATATACTATTATTCAATTATTAATGCACGTCTACGAAATCACCGTCTACGAACCAGTCTGGGTTACGAATCCACCGCGTCTACGAACTGGTTCAGTCTACGAAATCACCGTATCCCATTATACATGACCGAAAGCTAGTACAACCTGAAAGGTGGTATGCTTCCATAATTAATTTTTGTATGAATTTTGTATTTCTCACCAGTTTTGATTAGCATATAGATGTTTAAAGTTTTAGGTGTGTGTGTGTTAGTGTCCAGTGAGCAGGAGCATCATTCTGTGTTGTTTGTAGTGTGTGCAGTGTAGTAGGACATGTTAAGGCGTTTTTGTTTCGCTGCAGTGTGTGCATTTGCCGTTAGGTGTTTTTGCTATTTTATGTTGGTGGGACTTTGATTTTTGTGTGACCTGTGTTTAATTATGGCCCTGTCAATATGTTTGGATTTATGGTAAATTATTAGTTTTATGAGTGCATGGTTTTTAGAGTAGGTTTTGTAGTTTAGATTTTGAATTTTGGTACTTACTTTGCCACTTTGGGAAGATGTTTTGTTTGGATAGGCTTTTCATTTCGTTTTTTAGATAATGGTATGTTTAAGTTATACTTCTTGGAGTGTAAGTGTCTTTGAATTGGCTGCCTGGTTGGCATGTTTGTGTCTGGGCTATTTAAAATATAAATTTATTTTGACAGATTTTTGGGAGTTATGCCTGGCTACAGTCAACACGATGATGTTCTGGCAACCAAGCTGGTCTCATTTTTTCCCCAGAATAAAGATTTACCAACACACAATGCTGTTATCCTGATGTTTGACGTCCATAATGGATTACCTAAAACTGTAGGTTGCACATCATGATTAGTCTGTTAGAAAGTATCATTTAGTGTGTGCATGGTTGGCCCAGTCTCAGACGCTGCAGTTTGGTGTGCAGAGTTGTGTCCCTTAAGTGTGGCAGAGACATTATTGTGGGCTCAAACCCCAGATTGTGTTGCTAGGTTTGGCAGCATCATACCCATGTGTGTTTCACCAAAGGACACACAAATGTCTGGCTTTCCTGCCTTAACATTAATCTACTTTTGTTGAACTGTTATTCAGTGTTGTATTAGCCCAAAGTCAGTCTCCTAAACTGAGTGCTGAGTTGCACCTGAATGTGTGCTGGTGCTATTCCACCAGCTGTTTGTCACCCCTCGGTGTGCAGCGTGAAAATAGCACAATATTACATGATGGTTTCTTAAACAACCTTTTCAACAATCGATCATAAAATGTCAGATTTCAGATCCTTTGGGCTCAGAGGTTTCAGGACCATGTGTCTTATTTATGTTTTATGCACTTATCTCTATTTTGAGATATTTAATCACTCATCGTTCTCATTTGAGCCCAAACAATGCAGAGGTGTCTTCAAAAAGTGTGCGTTCCTTTTTCTCTCTTCAGATACCATTTGATTATTTTTTTGATAATTTCTCATAATAAAAGTGATTCACAAAATCTGAGGGCCCTATTTGTTAAATGGAGAGACAGTATCAGGGGAAAAAAATAATGAGACGGGTGTCCATATCAAGAGATAAAAGGGATGAGTAGTTTATTTATAGAGTCACTATCAAGAAAAACAAAAAAAAGGTTAGCCTAATTGGAGAGTCAATATCAAGAAAATGATATAGAATGGCAGCTTATTTGGAGTGTCAGTATCAAGAAAGAGGTATAAAATGACAGCTTATTTAGAGAGTATATATAGAAAAAGGTATGGAATGGCAGCTTATTTGGAGAGTCAATATCAAGAAAATGAAGTTGGGCAGGCAGGTAATATGTATTTCACTGCTGAGAATGCCATTATTGACGGAAAGCAATTTTTCTGATATCATCTCTGATATTAATTATAATGTCATCATTATCATTTCAGAAGAGTAATTTACAAATTTAATGCAAGATACAAGAAGAGATATAGCTATAAAACTGTCAACTAAAATCTGTGAAAAAAATATCTAATGCACCTTTCCAAAATTTTGACATAATTTTCAACATATTTCATGTTTTTTGAGATTTGGGCATTGTTTTTCTTTTGACTGATGTATTGTTGTACCATCAGTAATGGTTAAAGACACAGAGAGGTACTTTACTGTTTATGTTTTGAAGATCTTGGATGGAGAGGTGATCACAATGATGAGGACGGCAGCAGCATCGGCCGTGGCTACCAAGGTATATATTCCTTAACTATTCACTGAGCATTTGCTGCAGCGTGATACTTTCAGGCTTATTATGACTATGAGTAATGTCAGGTGAAGTTTTGATACCCAACAGTGTATATAAAGAGGAAATGGTAAGAAAACAGTGTAAATTACCCTCACAATGCTGGCTACAAGTGATCCCAAGCCACTGTTAATTTTATTGAGATCTACCACTTTAACTTTCAGCTGGATGCAAGTTCATCTGAATTTTCAGTTCAAGCTAGCTCATTGTGTCTATCATAAACATTTCCAATATCTCCGTAATTATAGGGTCTCTGAAACTGAAACTTTGCAAGTATGATTCCAACAATGGCATGTCAGAGATTTCACATAAAATTCCTATCCTAGTTAAAACATCGCAGTCAAGGAAGCCATATTTTTGCCAATTACTCACACAAATAATAATGGATAAGGAAGTTCTTGATGTAATTATTATACATGTATATATTTGACTTTCAAGCTTCTAGTAGAGCTGTTTGTTGAACCATTGTTAAAAAATGTACCATCCAGCTGCCAGATGTCTTGTGGTGTAGGGTCGGCTTGTGTACGTTTTACATCCAACTGCCAGATGTCTTGTGGTGTGGGGTCGGCTTGTGTACGTTTTACATCCAACTGCCAGATGTCTTGTGGTGTGGGGTCGGCTTGTGTACGTTTTACATCCAACTGCCAGATGTCTTGTGGTGTGGGGTCGGCTTGTGTACGTTTTACATCCAACTGCCAGATGTCTTGTGGTGTGGGAGGGTCGGCTTTCCAATGCGCTTTTACATCCAACTGCCAGATGTCTTGTGGTGTAGGAATTCCAACTGCCAGATGTCTTGTGTACGTTTTACATCCAACTGCCAGATGTCTTGTGGTGTAGGGTCGGCTTGTGTACGTTTTACATCCAACTGCCAGATGTCTTGTGGTGTAGGGTCGGCTTGTGTACGTTTTACATCCAACTGCCAGATGTCTTGTGGTGTAGGTCGGCTTGTGTACGTTTTACATCCAACTGCCAGATGTCTTGTGGTGTGGGTCGGCTTGTGTACGCGTTTTACATCCAACTGCCAGATGTCTTGTGGTGGGTCAGAGTTGGCCACACATCCAACTGCCAGATGGTCGGCTTGTGTACATTTTACATCCAACTGTCAGATGTCTTGTGGTGTGAGTTGGCCGCAACCCATCGCGGTGGGGGTCGGCTTATGTACGAAACATACCATTTTGACACTGATTTCAAGGGTCAAGTTGGGGGGTCGGCTTATCTACGGTAATATACGGTAATGTTCAACTAGAGCTGCTTCTTCAGTCATGGTTCAGCAAAAGGTTAGGGATTAACTTAATGCATTCACTAACCATGTCCCAATGAAGGTGAACCAATGTATGCATTCAGTAACTGTGTACGCCCAATGAAGGTAGGGAGACCAATAACTTGGGACAAGGTATGCATTCAATAACCATGTCCCAATAGAACACCTGTTTATCTTGTTTTATCTTCATTGTTTACATCCTCTTTTCAAACCACCATGTTTTAAAGCTGACATTTAGCATACATGCTGAAATGTGATGTCTCCAAAAGTACTCAAAAGGTGGTTTGTGTTGCAGTACCTGTCTCCCCCGAACTCCACGACTCTCGCCATCCTTGGTGCAGGCGTCCAGGCCAGGTCTCACTTCCACGCCCTTACTCAAGTCAGAACATTCAGCCAGGTAAAGATGCTCACGTTTCATCTTTCATTTATTGCAGGATACAAATTGTGAATAACACTCATTTAGATATGGTTGTACACATCATTAAAACTAATTTAAATGTACTTTGCACAGTAAGTGTACTGATTTTCCTTTGATCAGAAATATAATCTAATTTTAGACTGTTAAATGGCTAATTTGATATCATGAAATCACGGTTTGTTTATCCATGATTTGAGGGGGTAACCTAATTGTGGCTACGATATCTCCATGCTTTCAGCTGCAGGGTGTGTGACCATTAATGGCGATGTTGTACGTTTGAGTCAAATTTACTTTTCTCGATATGCCACCTTTCAAAGAAAATATAACAAACAGGGGTGGAAATAACCCATTGCCCGACGTCCGAGTCCAGTGTTTTTTTTCTGTCGGGCAAGCAAATTTTTATATCACACTGTACCGGTGTCCAGTTGACTTTCCAATGTTTATTATGTTGTTTATTTAAAAAATCAGCAAGAAAACGGTTGGTATAGTGGGAAAATAATCAGGGCAAGTGACTTTACATGTGCCACTGTACCGGAGGACACTAGCAATTTTAAACGTATTTCCACCCCTGAACAAAGGAGATACTCCTGCCTCTGTACTCATTCAGATTAGAAAACGTCACCATGAACAAAGATGTGTTTAGGTGGCTTTATCAGTTAGTGTATCAGGTGTTCCCTTCTTAACATTTACAAATCATTAACAGTCTTGTACATGCTTTGCAAGGATATAAGGTAAGATTCCAGTCCAGGTTACCTTGGCACATTTTCAGGAGAGAAATACCACTGTTGTGTTCAAAATTACAGATTGGTTGTTTTTCTTTAATAAGAATGTTGCATTATGTATAATAATGCCTCTTTTTCTTTCTTAATCTTGTTTGGAGTAAGACATAATTCACTTAATCACATCAGATGTAATTGTGTTAATATTTATAGGGTATGTTGTAATCGAAAGTTGGGAATTTCTACCAACATTTTGTTGGGATCAAGTAGTGTCCTCTTAGCATGTCTTGGTAAATCACTGATTTGGGCATCTTAATCTAGAGTTTGACGTCCAACTGAGTATGTAGTCCCAGTAACATGGTCTGATGAAAACAGTATTAGACTCTGGTTAACCTGCTCTCGGTCTGCTCACATTTATCAAAAGCTAAAATCTCCATTGACTAACTCACTCCGTCACTGACTCGCTAGGTGAGACTGTGGAACTGGAGAAGGGAACGAGCAGACGTTCTGGCTGCTGAGATTGGAGGCACAGCTTTTGACACTGCAGAGGAGGCTGTCCGTGATGCCGATGTCATCGTCACTGTGACATCATCATCAACACCGGTGTTGAAGAAAAACTGGGTTAAGCCTGGGACCCACATCAATGGTAAAAGATCAATATATTTTTTCTTATTCTGATTGTGAAATATTCATTCTATACACAAGAGTTATTCAAAGAATTTACTCAATGTTGCTGTTGCTGTTGAGGTTGCCAGTGTTTCTAATACTGTTGATGTTACTGATGCTGTTGTTGATGTGACTCATGTTGCTGTGCTGTTGAGGTTATTAGTTACTCATGTTGCTGTTGCTGTTGGTTGCCAGCTGTTGTTTCTAATGCTGTTGATGATGCTGCTGTTGATGTTACTGATGCTGTTGTTGATGTGACTCATGTTGCTGTTGCTGTTGAGGTTGCCAGTGTTTCTAATGCTGCTGTTGATGATGCTGCTGTTGATGTTACTGATGCTGTTGTTGATGCGACTCATGTTACTGATATATTGGGGTTGTCAATGTGCTGTTGATGTTACTGATGCTGTTGATGATGTGCTGATGCTGTTGTTGGGTTGCCAATGTTTCTAATGCTGTTGATGATGCTGCTGTTGATATTACTGGGGTTGTCAATGTTTTTAATGCTGTTGATGGCGCTGATGCTGTCGGGGTTGCCAATGTTTCTAATGATGTTGATGACGCTGATGCTGTTGCAGCCGTGGGTGCCTGTCGACCAGATTGGCATGAGATCGATCCAGACTTGATGCTCCACAGCGTGGTGTATGCTGACAGCTATGAAGGCGGGTACAAGGAAAGTGGCGACATTGTCTTGTCTAAGGTATTTAAGTTTGCTTACATGGGTTCATTTATGGTTAAAGATGAAGAATGACATTGAGAAGATACCAGATCAGTGAGAGGGATCCTCTTCTCAAAATTGCTTCACAATTGTTCACAGGCAGAGATATATGCAGAACTAGGGGAGGTAATTCTCGGGAAGAAGGAAGCTCACAAAGACAAGACAACTGTCTTCAAATCTCTTGGTAAGTTGAGATTCAAATCTTCAGTCAAGAAACTACAATGGCTGATAGACCCCCTGGAGTAGTTTTGTTTGTCCAGTCACTGGTGTATTAAAAAGGTGGATCACTGTCATACTGCAAAAATAAGAAACACTGTACAGTTTGACATGGTGTGATCAGACCTGATAGAGTGTTGTCAGATCGTGGATTGCCCACACTTACATGATCATTTAGCAGCTGTGACACAGGTATATTATTGCTGACTGCTGTGTCAAACATTCACTTCAAACTTGCAAAATTGTACCAGTACATTGTGTAAAACCTAAATAAGTTATTAATAAACCAGAATTCTCACCGCAGTCAAAGTACAATACTTGCCATTGTATTTCAGGTCTCGGTATCCAGGATGTTGTCTCTGCCAAGCTGGTGATGGATAAAATAGAGATGCAGCAGGCTTGAGCCTTGGATGGAGCATGAGTCTGTCTCACATACGTCTCTCTGAATGGCAAATGCAAACACAAAGAGCGACAGTGAGTCCAAACAAGAGGCTGGGGACTTTCTCGCAGAGATATGTTGGTGCTAGTCATACTGTCAAGATTGGTTTGAGGATTCCCTGGCAGATTTTGTGATATATCCAGAAGCTGATAATCAGTCCTATCCACATTATGCAGAGGTTTATCTTTATTTATGTTTTTCTGTCACTTTTTTTCAACCACCAACTCCTACCCTTATACACCAATATACCAGACCAACTGAACCACTTTTTGCACTGTGAGTCACTATATATAATAATCCTAAGGCCATTGTAAATCCTTTAGATTTTTGTTCCCAACGTAACAAAACTACCTCGAGATCAGTGGTCACAGGTACCTTCAGATGAAAGACATCACTATGTATGTTCTCTTTATGTCATAAAAAAAACAATTTTATTTAGTCCTTCCAAACATTCTTCTCTTATTTAACACATCTGTCAACACTTTATGCATGCAGTCCATAACAAAGACCATCACTATGTGTGTCCTCGTACAATTTCTTAAGAAAAAAATGAAATATTAATATATAATCCTGTCTACCCCATAATTATATAACACATTGATAGAAAACAAAAGTTGTGCCTTATCTATGGATGTATCATTAGATAATCAGAGGTAAAGCCCAAGAGTTTATGTGAAATTTCTGCCTGAAAATGGAACAAAAGTATATATTGTTTGATTACAAATCAGTTACATGTACATGTATATGATGGTGAATTTTGAGGATGATCTCAGATTTAGGTGAGTGCATCCACTGTTTTATGATTGAGTGAGTTTGTTAGTGATAATTGCTGATCATGATATCAGCAGTCTTGCAGTCAGTTCTTGCTGTATTTTAGCATGAAAGGTAATAGTGTGCTTAGTGGGTAATACATGTGCTTCAGTTTTTGCAATAATAATATGAAGCAAGCAACAGTAGTAATATTATGTTATTATCTCATTTTGTCAAATTTATTGACATTGAGCAGACCAGTTATGATTTATATCTTGCCTCATCTTGTTTTAGCATGTTTATGCAGAAAAGTCCCACTCAGTACAATGTAATTGTACGTAGATGTTATTCCTTATTTTGTTTATTATAGATGTGTACGTGCTTCTAGTCCTTGATTATACTCCATGCTTAAAGACACCCAATAACCGTGTAACTTGTCAAATCTTAAAGCTGGGTAAGTGTACATGAGCTGGTAGAATTGCGTTCACCATGTACTACTGACTGATTCGGGAGTTATGTGGCGTAGGCAGTAATATTGGTGCTCTTGGTCATAATCGCTTGAACAATATATCATTGTCTTCTTGTGACTACAGCCCATCTCTGCCTAGATGACAGCCTAGAGAGCGGGACCTCGATCCACAAAGTGTTTGTAACGTTACAACCTGTCGTAACTCTATAGTTTTTTCATAGGCTTACAAATGTCGTAGTGCTACGAAAGTTTTGCGCATCGGGACCCTTGGTTACTGGGTCTCCTTTTCAAACTGCGACATGGTTACTGGGTCTCCTTGTCAAACTGCGACATGGTTGCTGGGTCTCCTTGTCAAACTGTGACATGGTTACTGGGTCTCCTTGTCAAACTGTGAAATGGTTACTGGGTCTCCTTGTCAAACTGTGACATGGTTGCTGGGTCTCCTTGTCAAACTGTGACATGGTTACTGGGTCTCCTTGTCAAAGTGCGACATGGTTACTGGGTCTCCTTGTCAAACTGACATGGTTACTGAATGTGATAACAAATTTGGCCAGTTACCGTAGACACTGGTCGGCTTATCGATAGGTTACACTTTCATCAAACTTTTTTTCAGGGTTTGAAAACATTGTATCGCTTCATGTGAACAAACAACAGAAGATGACTTTGTCAGTAAAGACATCAAATTCTAGTTTGTTTTTGCTAGGCAGTGTCTTATATGCAGGGATTAAGATTAACGTGTGTATTTGTCTCGTATACAGAGCCAGAAATAGCAATCAGCTGTGCACACGTTCCCCCGCGACCTACCTGTAATTTAGTTAAAACATACGCAGTAATATAAGTAGATGAATTCTGTTGCAGTGATCGGAACAATACAGTATCTGAACTATTATTGTATAAAGAGAAATATATTTTAGGTAATAATCAGGGTAATAATCATCGCAGTTCATCCCCATTTGAACTCACGTCATGTGACCATCATGATATCAGAATGATATCACCATCATTTGACTACATCTGTTGATCAGGCTTGACCAGTGGCTAAGCGTTTGGAATTATAACACTGATTAAATTACCAGACAATCAGAATATAAAATAATCAAGTTTCTACAATGTGAATATACTGTTACTCACTTACTTGCTAGGTGATATACAGTTTACTGCTTTATTCGATGTTATAACAATCAGACAGTAGTCAGTGTTATACGACCAGAGTTCATTTCTTTGTTATTCCAGTCCTCATGAAAGACAAAGAAAATATTATGTCAGTCAAATATATCACTAGTCTAAGATGGGGATTGGACTTGTTTTCCAACAATCCTGTGGAGAAATTTCATGTCTGTGAAATACCACCTACCATATCTCAAGCTTGAAGAATTGATGAATTGATTTCAAGTATTTCCATGGACTGTGTCTCCATATGAATGTAACAATATGTCATATATTTCATATACCCGGTATCCATAGGAACAGGTATCAGTATTAATTTTTAATTTTCTGGCGTAAGCCATGCTCAGTAATACTCATGATTAGTACAATGTTTCATAGCTTGCCAAAGTAAATATGTAATCACTGTTTTCTGATATTTATGCAGCTGATTTTAACCACATTTTAATGCATTTTGTTGTTGTTGATATCTCCATGGGTGTGTTTTAACCTAGTTTTCAAATGCAGCAAATAAATTTACACAAATTTTCCTATGCCTGTGTTATTTGTGAGACCAGCCTGCAACAAAGTGGGCACTATAGACTTTGCTCATGACATCAGCCACTGGTTGTGTGGTCCAGGTTCAGTTGGTTACATCCCCATGATGGAGATGGAATACTGCTCCAGTGTCAAGACACAACCCAGTGAGTGAATTTAGTCAGTCAACAGCCGTACAGTTACCATCACAGCACAGCATAATGATTCCTGAAACTGGCTGTTGGGTTGAGGCTCTGAACATCACTTGTCAGAGTGAGTGAGTGAAATGTTTACTGCCACTTGGAACAGCATTATATTTACTAAAGCTTTGTCTATTGTGGCAATTGTAGGGCCATGGGACATTTTTTTAAGTTATTTATGACAGGCTACTGGTAACCCTGACCCTCAACAAAACATTCAAGTGAAGTGGTGAATGTGGTGGAGTGTGGTCCTGTGCATAGAGCTCAGGTCACAATTCAGTTGAGCACAGAGAGTCCTTTGATGGTTGACCCTGTTTTGCAGCTTGATTCCTACGAGTTTCTAGGACTTCAGTCCTGCCCCTAGTCTGTCATATAGACCCTGAAGCAAACATATCCAAGAAAGCACTCGCAAGTGTAAAATTGTGGCATATCACGATTTTCACAGCTTCAGGGTCTCGGAAAATGAAGAAAGTCTAAGGGCTCCTTTTCATTATTTATTTTTCTTACTATGAACTTTTTCCCCCTGTAAAATATGTTCATTTCAGAGACTAGTTGTTAGTCTATCCTGCCCCACAACGAAGCACATGTGATATAGTATGACCAGAAATTATTGAGAATTTTAGGAATATGTTTAATTGGATTTCTAGTATAAACAACCTTGACCAGCTATCAAGTGCTTGGTTTCATTCAAGAGAGACAACTCCGTTAATCCTTTTTCATTAGTTTGTGAAGAGTTATCCCCCTTTGTTTACTTGCTAGCAGACGACATTTTCAGTGATCCTCAGTATGGATGATTTAGAGAAGAGGAAGTTGATTTTAGAGTATTATAACAGGGACATCAGATCAGCTAAAGTGATTTCAAGTAGAACAGGCATCCCTTTGCCCACTGTTTATCGTGTTTTGAAAAATATTGCAAATGGATATGGCATTGAGCACCAGGGAGGCGCAGGTAGGACCAGAAAATTGACTGTCGGTGACAGGAGGCAGCTTGGTATTCTTGTTTTTAAAAACAAACGAAGGAGTTTAGAAAACTTAAGACTGGATATGATTGATAGAGGAACTGTGGCTGTCTGTAAGGAGACAATTAGAACTGAGCTGCATGCAATGGGTTGGCAGAAAAGTCGAGGAATTCCATCACCGATCATGAAACCTGAACAAAAGGCGAAGGTTGAACTGGTGCTTACAGCATAGAAATTTTAACTGGGACAATGTGATTTTCTCAGATGAAAGTTCTGTGTGGCTGTTACCTAATACCTGAAATTCTAGACCAAACAAACTGCAAAACCTTTGTATCAGCGCCCAAAGTACAGTCCGAAATTTAACGTGTGGGGTGGCATATCTGTGTTAGGGGCAACGCCCCTCTGTGTTTTGAAGGGAATATGAACAGTGAGCGGTACACAGATATTCTCGAGGGACATTTAACTTCCATCTGCCACGTGTTCTATGGAAATTTTGGGATTTTCCAGCAGGACAACGACCCAAAACATCGTTCAAAGCATTCACAGGCCTGGTTTCGGACCCAAAATATGACATTATTAGATTGGCCAAGCTATAGCCCTGACCTAAATCCAATAGAAAATGTTTGGGGACTTATGAAGGAAAGTGTCAATAAGAAAAATCTGACAAATATTGCTGAAATGAAAGAAGAGGTGGTCCGATATTGGGACAGCATGGACCACGACTTTCTAACTTCTTTGATCAGTATTATGCCCCGCCGCATTGAAGCCTGCATTGCTGCCCATGGTGACTTGACAAAATACTAACTGTTCACCTGTCTTTGAATCTGGAGTTGTGTTCTGCTAATATTCACATTTAATACGTGAGTAATGAGTGAACATTTAAAAAAAAAATACAATCTTAAATTCTCAATAATTTCTGGTTGTACTGTACATGTGGTCTCACCTCAGGCAAGTAAGTTTGTTCAAAATTGCCTCTGTCCACCCAGGAGAAAATGGGTACCCTGTGGGGTAAGTCATGTGACTATAACCTTCAAGCGCCTCACAGGCAGCTTGGGTTATCCGGGGTACTAATGATCCTGCGCTATGAGCATGCTGTCGGTGTGGATTTAGCGCAATATAAATTGGTTTAATTATTATTTAAGAGCCAATACTAGGAAGCGGATTAGAGCAAAGGTCAAAGTCAACAGAAGAATATTCTGTAGATCAGAACACGGTGGCAGCCTCCATCTATAACTCTGTCTAAATATATATATATAGCGCTAGTCTAAATGTATCACACCACGGCCACACTGAATCAATAGTTGGAGCATTGTAAAATCACGTATATTACTATCTGCACACACCGATGTTGACTGAAACTCATTTCTTTATTCACACAGCTGAAAGTCAGAAGGAATATGTTTTTTTGTTATTTTTGGCTTAACGCAGCAATATTCCAGCTTTATGACGGCAGTAGGAATTTTGTGTATAGCGGTAATGAAATGTAAACCTTAGTGACTTCAAGTGTAACCATGGATTTACACTCTTCAAATAAAGCTGAGAGGGTACGTAAGTCCCATTGCATTCAAAGTATTTTTCATTCTCCGAATTGTAATAGTAGCATATTTGTTTCTTTAATGTATGGCTAATTTGCTAAACAATCACCAACACTTGAAGGTAGGATGTAAATCCAGCTAGGTTCCATGCAGGTAGCAAAAGTACTGTAAGTCACCATGGACCCTATATGTGGTGATCTACCTTCAGTAGCTGGTGATCCATAGGCCGTTTTAATAGTGTACTGTTCACTTTAATAATATCGTCTTATGATAACGTGCTAGTTTTACCTAAATATCAGTGATGCATTAGTAGTTTTACTGTTCTTCGACAACAGGTTTTTAAATTTCTAATTTTATCGATTTTTAATATGATAATTAATTGTCCTCGTCACGATAGAGCTGAAATATTGCCGAATATTAACTCACTCACTCACTCTTCGAAAAAAAGAAACGCACAGGCGTTTTCAGCAGTTCATTTTGGATATATTTTGACAGCAATTGTCATTAATACAATTCCTGTGTGGGGAACTGGCGACGCGTTTGGTTCAGCGATGAATCGCGTTTCCTCCTGCTACGACGGAATCGGAGACAAACTGTGTCTATCGACGTCAACACGAACGTTTTGCGCCGAATATAAACTGCGTTCGACAGGTGGACAGATCTGGTGGAGCAAGCGTCATGGTATGGGGGAAAATGTCCTACACGGGTAGATCAGAGCTAGTTGTGGGTCAAAGCAATCTTACAGATTGCGCTACATCGACTAAATCCTGCAACCTCACCTCCTCCCACCTTTTAACCGCCAGAGGGAGCTGTTTCAAAACGACAACGCTCGACCCCATGCACGTAAACGTCAACAACGACAACGCTCTTTCCATTCTTGTCTTCTAATGTTCCATGTATAGTAAGGTCAATATTGTTGTTGAAAAGTATGGCTACCCTTCTTGAGTTTGATTTAAAAAGAGGGGCGGTGGGGTAGCCTCGTGGTTAAAGCGTCCGTTCGTCACGCCGAAACCCGAGTTCGATTCCCCATATGGGTACAATGTGTGTCGCCCATTTCTGGTGTCCCCCGCCGTGATATTGCTAAACGCGGCGTAAAACTAAACTCACTCACTCACTTAAAAGGTGCAATTATACTTTGTAAACCCCATTCATTTGTCATTTTGTCTACATCTTCCTTAGCTACATGAAATTCTTGCAAACAAATATCAGAAAGTGATATTTTTCTGTATGTTCATTACCTCCTTTTTATTCCGAGTATCAGCTGATCCCCTACAATTAGCTGAAATCATCCTATAAATATTACTAATAATCGTTACAGGCAAATATATTTAAGTTTCATACATATCTCATGACAGAAGAATATAGCTGTTGGTGGTATGGTGCTATAGCCTGCTAATACATTTGTAGGTAGCTGTGGGAATAAAAAACATGAGATACATGTAATTCAGCTGTATAGTACAGATGGGCATGTAAATATATGGCATACTGTTCTACTTAGTCAATATCCCTGCTTGACCCTCTTTGGGTCATGTGACTTGTTTATGACCTCGGTCATAATGGTGGAACATATTAGTATTGTCCCTGCTAGCAAGGTTTTGGAAGTTTTAAAGTATGAAGACCTCATCGATATCGTTGAAACTTCGTTCAAAAGGTTTTCTTCACGTCCAGAGTCGGGAGTCTGCCAACCAGCGAGGAGCGTCATTTTAGTCCCACCGAAAAAAAGGGTTCGTAGAGGTCACCTCATACATATTAAATTAAGAGCCGCGCGGGACGTGGATTAGAGAGGTTAGATAGCCATGGATTGGGATACGTTTGAGCGATGACAATGGGTTGCTAAAAGGGAAACTAATAAATCGCAACAGCACAAAACCATTCTTTAATGAAACCAAGTAAAGATAATTTAATGATTCCCAATACTTATAAAGTCCTCAATGCGTTTCTAAAATGGGCTCACAAAATATGATTTTGAATATGTCTGCCATGGCCGCCATGTCATGAAAATATGATTTTATCTCGGCTCTAGCTAGGCTAATAACTAAGATATTTATGCGTTTGAAATGTAAGGCAAACTTAATTTTTGTGTGGAATGGCATTTAAATAATGTGTTATGGGTATGTGTTTTCAAGTCTGTAACATTTGATCTGATGAGAGTGACTACATTTATAATATCTTCTCTAACACTTCAGGTTACAAAATGTTGTTCCATGCATTCTCTGTTTGATTTGGAAAATGTTGCACTAGTATCATACCAAGGTTACACAAAATGGAAAGTTTAAATTTAAACTTGGATATGGAAGTTTTTCCAGGAATGTGATGAAAATGCTTAAAAATTGATTTAGAAAAGTAAAAAGTCCTGGCTGGGCAGGGTACTCCAGGGGCGTAGGAACGGGGTGGGGGCTGGGGCCCCGCCACACACACACACACTTTTTCAAGACGAAACCATATCTACCTTACCATAACTATAATTTCATTTATTTTTTCAATACGTTTCATAAATTAGCAGTGTACCTACGCCGCTCTGCCCCCGAGCGCCCCTGCCCCAAAACCATATTCAAAACCGTACTCACTCACTCACTTGCCAGAATATTCTATGGGTCAGAACACGAAGGCAGCCTCTAATACCTCTGTCTAAATTATAGCGCTAGTCTAAATATAGCACACCATGGCCTGAGCTGAATTAATATGTATCACAGTTGAAACATTGTATAATCACGTATCTATATATAAAACTATCTCGTCATTAACACATCGATGTTGACTGAAACATAATTTATCCAGACAGCTGAAAGCCAGAAGGAATTTGCGTATAGCCATAGTGAAACGTAAACTTCAAGTGTAACCATGGATACTGAAAATGTTTAATTAACCACGTGCCAAGATCAGTTACAGATCCATGCCCAAACTTTACACATACGCGTACGCGCACGGGCACACATACAAACACGCACGTGTATACGCACATACGCACACACCTACAAGCAGGAACACATGTACACAAAAAACTAAATACATATGAACGATTGACTTTCTGCTTCTCACTTTCTGTTGCTATAAAAATATTCAATTACATTTGTTCGTCATATTTAACCAATCCTTTTCAAACGGTATTTTCATTTGAGAAATAGATTTTGGTTCCAGTGTTTCATCATGTACATAATATGTTTCCATGAAAACAGCTTAAAGGTTTGTATCGCAGCGATAAGGATTAAATTCGTGTACTTAAACACCATGTACTTGCATGACACAGGTTGGCATGAAGTGCGTTATTACCGTGTATTAACAGCTGTGTAATATATGTAAAGGGAAGAACAAGAACAGATTACGTTATGTCTTTTTGATGTTGCCGCGTATATTTAAATAACCTCTGTTGAACAGGGAGAATGGCGTTATGTATATTGTACAATGTCGTTTTGTAAAATACTGGTTAAAACTTGCGTTATGTGTCAATAAAGACTATCAAACGAAGCTTATGACATGTTACTCTATTGCTATACAACTTATATTTCTATTGTCGTAATCTTCTATTTTCACATGTTTTGGGGTATGTTTGGTTGTCTCAAGGTGTTGGTCATATTTCAGCTTTCCTTCAAATGTTTAAGAATGTTGCAGTTAATATGTATTTACAGTCATAAAATGGTATTGTACAAGAAAGTTCTAGACATATATAGACAATACAAAAGCCTATTAGAACCAGAAAAGTATCTCACTCTATTAACAAATAAAAAACATAATGTTAAGAATCTTAAAATCAAAACTTTACGAGGGAATGTGGTTGGGAATTGAATTAAGTCAGCGAATATGTCTATATATTACATCCATGTACATTTTATGTAATTCATGTTCGATGTAAATTGTATTATACTATGTGTAGATATATGGGTCAATGACCTTCAACAACTTTACTTAAACAACACCTTTTGGGTGTTCTCAAATTACCGTGATTACATACAGGTACAACTTGTACCAGTCACGAAACTGAAGAAAACCTGCACGTATCTTTTTATTAGTGCAGTTTTAATAAAACTAAGTTCGATTTTTTGGTAGCATTTTCCACATTTCACATTACTTGGCTTTTAGCCCAAACTCACCCTGCTTGACCCTCGCGTTTGTGTCATGTGATCTCGGTCATAATGGTGGAACATATTAGTATTGTCCCTGCTGGCAAGGTTTTGGAAGTTTTAAAGTATGAAGACCTCATCGATATCGTTGAAACTTCGTTCAAAAGGTTTTCTTCACGTCCAGAGTCGGGAGTCTGCCAACCAGCGAGGGTCCGTCATGTTATTAAGAGCCGCGTGGGGCGTGGTTTAACAGGGTCCGTTGTGGTCATTTGTTATGACAGAGCCGCGTAGGGCGTGGTTCAGAGAGGTTTTGTAAAAAGTCATATAATGAAAAGGAGCCCTGAAGCGTTAGAGAATATTTCTAAGGCACTTTATAATATATGCGGTGACAAGGGGGTGTACAACACAGTTCTTTGATGAAACCAAGTAAAGGTCAATTAACAAAAAACATTCCCAAATCTAATACTTCTATGGGACCGTTTATATATGGCAAGGGGATATGATGATGATTTCAAAGTGTGTGCGTGCGTGCGTGGGTAATGTCACCAATTTTCTTCTGGGGAGGTGGAGGGGGTGTCATCAATTTTCTACACATGGGGAGGGGGAGGTGTCAGCAATTTTGTACATGACATGCAGGTGTGTGTTGGGTAGGGGTGGGGGTCACTTGCTTTGTACAATGAATTTTGGGGGGTTGGGGTTGTGTGTCATTGACATTGTACATGCTTCTCATATATATATATCATCAATAAATTATGAACAGTCCCTAAAGTCCACAATTTATATGTGTTTCTAAAATAGGCTCACAAAGCATGATTTTGAAGACCCATGGCAGTCATGCCATGAAAATATGATTTTAGCTAATAACTAAGATATTTCTGCATATTAAATGTAATAGTGCCAACTTAATTACCAAGGTTACAACAAATACAGAGTTTAAGTATAAGCTTGGAAATGGAAGTTCTTCCAGGAAATAATGTGATGGAAATGCTTTTATTGCTTGAGGCAATTAGGTAAAAGTCATGTTCATTACCACACTATTTACATACAACATGTTGCATCTCATGTTTGATATACTGATGTTGAAGCAGAATGAAACAGCTTGATGAACAGAATAATACACATATGAGTTTTGAGGACTTTCTTGGCTTGATTAATGAGAGGGAAGTTGACAGACTACAAAGTAGACACAAGTTAATGTTTCTCATGAACTGTTCAGTGACATTTCTGTATATATCCAAATACTGTTGTAAAGGAGGTGATGGTAGTAGCTTGTATCTTTAATGATTGCTACTAAAGTACTGTATATGTTATCCATATATTGTGTAATTTTGTCAACCGTGTGCACTGCCAGCTTCAAGCACATGGCAGATGTATGCTGAGTTTAGTGTATTTAGTTAGCAAAAATGAAAACTGCAGATTGACAATAAAAAAGTAAGTTTCCCCTGAAATAATATACTGGACAAAATAAGTTAGGGATATTGGTATATTTATGATTGATATTTTATCAGTGTGTCAATGAATAAATAGATCATTATTCATTATTTCAAAATTTATATATATCCCTAACTATTTTCGTCCAGTATATATGCCACCATAGTACCTTAAAATGCATGCATTATGACACCATTGATAATTGATAGAGGTTTTTCCATCAAGTTTTACTAAGTTTTCTGTTTCAATCAGTGTCAATATGTTTTAACTCAAAACATGAATTCGCTGTTTATTACAACAGATATTTTGGAATTATGCCTGGCTACAGTCAACAGGATGAAGCTATGGCAGTGAAGCTGATCACCTACTTTCCCATGAATACAGATGTGCGGACCTTCCATGGTTCTATACTGATGTTTGATGCCAACACTGGAATACCGAAAACTGTAGGTTGTACATCATGATGAATATGTTAGACTACCTTGTAACTGACAGTATATGTGATCTACACATCTGCTAGTTGCTGGGCAGAGTAGTGTCCCTTAGATGAATAAATAATGGACCTCCCAACACTGTGGCTTGGATCATTTGGCCACACATTTTGTTAGGTTATAAATCCACTGACTCAAAAAATTTGAAATGTAAAAACAAAAAATTGAAAAAATGGACAGCAGTGTAATCGGTTGACCAGAATTAAGTTAAATGGAAAAATAAATTCTTTGCTGTTGCTGTTGCCTTGCTCCAAGGCTGTACTGAATGCTAAGCCCATGGATGTATAGAAATTCTTTACAGAGGGAAGTCTTGATAAGCAGTCAGTCAGTGACTGCCTAGATAAGGGTGAAGACACACACCTTGATAATGCTCACAGACTTTTACTTTACTATTTATGTTTTGAAGATAATGGATGGGGAGTTAATCACGACTATGAGGACGGGAGCAGCATCGGCTGTGGCTACCAAGGTATGTTTTAATTCAGAGTAAACCCTTATGTTTTCATCCTTGCTAAAAACTGAAATTTTTTTGGGTAGTGGGGCTTATCACATTTGAACCATCACAGTTTTGTTTTAATATTTTGGAAAATATTTGAATATCAATGCTAACAGTAATTCTCACAACTGTCTGTTTCTGCAGACATTTTGGACTGATACTACATATCCAGATGAGCACAGTGCCTGTGGCAATATCTATAAAAATTGGCATCTTACTACTATTTCTATTGACTTTATTTGGTGATGGGGTCACAGGCCCTCAATGCACAGAGTATTACACATCAGAATATTACAGAAACACAGGAAGCGCCTGCAAAATCAGAGACACAGATGACAATAGAGGCAATTACTGTCAATGGCAAAAAAATCAACAAGCGGAGTGATCATGGTGATAGAAACTTATTCTGCAATTTAATGCAAGAAATGTGTACTTTCCAAGATTAGTTATTATTTCATTGTGAGATAACAGCAGCTGCTTAAACTTGTCGAGAGATGGAAATTCCCAGTAATATTTAGGGGTCAGATATTTTCTGAGATCGTCGTAAAATACACATTCTAAGGAGGAATAATTAAATTGGAATGTTACTAATAAGGTTTGTTTTTTGTCTGCACCATTTGTAACTATGTGCTTGTGGGTTTCACCAAAGAGGTTCACTTCCACGATATGGGACATTGATGTCTTCACTCGGTCTGGGGGCCGTGGGGTGGCCTATTGGTTAAGCATTCACTCGTCATGCCGAAGACCCGCCAGCCCGGTTCGATTCCCCACATGGGTACAATGTGTGAAACCCATTTCTGGTTTCCCCTGCCATGATGTTGCTGGAATATTGCTAAAAGCAGCGTAAAGCTAAACTCACTCACTCACTCACTCACTTGGTCTTACAAACTGTGATAATACTGTAATACTATAATACTGGTGGGATTGTGTGTTGCAGTACCTGTCTCCCCCCCGAACTCCACGACTCTCGCCATCCTTGGTGCGGGTGTCCAGGCCAGGTCTCACTTCCACGCCCTTACTCAAGTCAGAACATTCAGCCAGGTAAAGATGCTCATGTTTCAGGTCTTGGTATTTGATGCAGGATTTTACCAGATTAGCATAAAAACTTACGTTGGACACGATGACATGCAATATCTGCTCCACTGTATCAAAAGAAGTATGGCTTTTTTCAGCCATTAAAACATATTCATTTGCAACATGCACTGTAGCTATATACTGATTGTTCCCCTGATCAGAAACACTAAGTTCAGACTGTGCTTGCCTGATCAATGTTCACATCCTCAATACATCGCAAATGTTCTTTCAAACAAAGAAATCCCTATCTGTAGTTTGTTATAATGCATATAATGCACAATTATAGATGTCCATTTTGATGACCTTAGGTCAGATTAAGATGCGCTACTTTCCTGATAGTCATCTATTGATAAATTTCTTGTGCTTCAGTCAACTCAAGAACACTCGGTAGACACTTTATGTATTTAGTGCTGACAAAAGTTACTAGATCTGACCTACTTTGCATTATAATTAAATATCAGTTAGCAGTATAATGTTTCTTATGTCACTGTTGTTGATTAATAATGCACCACTGTGATACTAGACAATCACAGTATATGCTTTGATGTGATGCTTAAATGGTGGGACTATAGGGAGTGTGAAAAAACAGATAACTGTTCTTATGTCTGTCATATACCATTTTCCTTATTATCCTTATTAGTTGGTTCAAAACATCATACAAAGCATTATAGGATCAGTTGTATGGGAAATAACATATGTTGAAATATCCGTATTTTGCATACTTAAAGGCACAAAAGTGGTATGATTGTTTTCGTGTCATCTCAGTTTGGCATTAGACAAGACGTGACAGATAAAACCTGAATACGTTCCGGATACTAGTAGGTTGTCACTCACTAACTAACTCACTCACCAGATGAGACTGTGGAACTGGCGAAGGGAAAGTGCAGATATTCTGGCTGCTGAGATCGGAGGCACAGTCTGTGATACTGTAGAGGAGGCAGTTCGTGATGCTGATGTCATTGTCACGGTTACCTTGTCACATACGCCGGTCCTGAAGAAAGCATGGGTTAAACTTGGGGCCCACATCAATGGTAGGAGAATCGTGTTGTTAACATATTACTTAATATAATTTTGAACATTGCTTTAGTTAAATATATATTCTATACACTCAAGATTTATTGAAGGAAAATATACTAGGCACATAAAGAAACTGCATAAAAAAAATTAAAATCTAAATTTATCAAACCTGTGTAGACACATGGGTCAGTGGGTTCGTCCTTGAGACGTGCAATACGTTGTTGCACGTGCATTCCGGGAAAGAGAAACAGAGCAAATGAATGCCACACAATACTGTCACTTTGGAAAGCTCAACCCCTGCCCTTGCGATTGTTCAAAAAATTAAACGGCTATTGAAACGCATAGCATGCCAGGGCTCACGTCTGCACAACGTCATGAGGCCATTGGGATGGTCCGTGGGGGAATGTCTCAACGACAAGTGGCTGCACATTTCCACTGCCACCGGAACACCATTTCTGCACTGGTGAGACGCTACCAGAACACAAATGACGTCATCGAATGGCCACGTTCTGGACGTCCACATGTAACAACGCCAAGACAGGACAAATGGATAAGGGTGACCCATTTTCGCCACAGGTTTCAGACTGCAGTTATGACTGCCCGAACCATCCTAGGACTTCGCCGTATCCACCCCAACACAGTTCGACAACGTTTACGTCATCTTGGGATCAGACCATGACGTCCCGCCATACGGCCTATCCTGACACAACGTCATCAAAAAGCTCGCCGAATGTGGTGCCGAAATCATGTCTGCAGACCCTTGTTTTGGTGGAGAAATGTTGTTTTTACAGATGAGTCCAGGTTTAACATTTCCCATAGTGATGGACGTCAACGTGCCTATAGACGCATGGGAGAAAGTTAGCACAAGCCTGTGTCTTGGAGAGGAATCGCTTTGGTGGTGGTTCCGTGATGATTTGGGGTGGAATAACAGCACGCCAAAGAACTCCTTTGGTGATTGTTCAGGGCAACTTAACTGGTGTTGGCTACAGGGATCAGATTCTTTGACCTGTGGCAATTCCTTTTTCTGCAATGTCATGGCCCTGGGTTAACATTCCAACAGGACAATGCCAGCCCTCATACGGCAAGGGTTGCTATGGATTTCTTGCAACATCACAACGTTGACTTACTGCCTTGGCCTGCAAATTCACCGGATCTCTCCGCGATAGAGCATGTTTGGGACGAGATGGATCGATGTGTTCCTCATCCGCCAGATAACGTCCTTGACCTTGCAACAGAACTTGAAAGAATCTGGCGTGACATCCCACAAGCCTTCCTTGCAGGCTTGATAGGCTCTATGCGTCGTCGATGCACTGCTGTTCACAATGCTGATGGTGGACATACCCGTTATTGAGCTTGTCACATGGTCGTTTGACCCCTGTCCCGCTTGTGGACTCGTGACGTCATTGTGATTGACTTTTCAATTGAAATTCTCCCGACTTGTTATAGTCTCATGATCCTTCCATTAAAGTTTATATGTACCTTTGACATTGTTATCGTACTTATCAACTGGGATAATATTTTGACAATGCACAGTTTCTTTATGTGGCTAGTGTATATCCTTAAACCTGTTGCTGTACAGGGTTGCCTCCAATAGGCTTCAATGATTGATGAACCACATACTTTATTTTAATCCATGTTGTGAATGTTGTGCCCGATGTTGTGAATGTTGTGCCCGATGTTGTGAATGTTTTGTCCGATGTTGTGAATGTTGTGTCTGATGTTGTGAATGTTGTGGGCAATGCTGTTACAGCTGTGGGTGCCTGCCGAGCAGATCGCCAGGAGCTAGAGTCAGACCTGATGCGCCACAGTGTGGTATATGCCGACAGCTACGAGGGAGGCTACAAGGAGAGTGGCGACATTATCCTGTCTAAGGTAATTTGTGTTGTAACGGGGCACTTGTTTAATGTTGAAGGGTACATTACAAGATACACGATCAGTGATGTTATCATGTGATGCCCTCTACTGTTGTTCGTGTTCACAGGTAGAGATCTATGCAGAACTAGGGGAGGTAATTCTTGGGAAGAAGGAAGCCCACATAGACAAAACAACAGTCTTTAAATCTCTTGGTGAGTTGAGATTTGTATGTAAACTATATGCCCCATTTCTTTCATTTATCCAGTTATTACTTGTGATGGTGGGTGAATTGACAAAGAATTTACATCAAAAGACACTTGTTTTTCATGGACTGTTTTGGGATTGTAATATTATAAGGTTTATCTCCCTCCAATCTGAGTCTTTGTTGAAGACAACTTCTGCATTCTCTTTGATGAAAATAGGAACTGGCAAACAGTTTAGCACAGGTATTGTTGACATTTGATGAAACAGTATACTATACATAATTTCTCACCTGTTTCTGCTCTGACAACTTTAGTTTACCTCCTGAATGCCCCTGTCTGTGTCTTTAGTAAAAGCAATACTAGCCTCATAAGCCCAGTCAGATTGTAAAAATATTCTCTGAATTTGGCCCGCACACTTTGCAAAAGAATGAAGAAAAGATATATAAGGCCAGACCAATTTTATTTCTTGCTTTACGCATCTGCAAGTTGTATTTTTTCAAGAATAAGGAAAAAAAATATAATGAATTTTCCCTGCTCAAAAATTATAATCCTAATGTTTTTCTTGGCCAGAAATGTAAAGTTATCAGAAAATATTTTTTGATTGTTTTTAGCTCCGTATACACTTCATAAATTGCCAAAAGTAAAATACTTTTAGTATTTAAAAGGAATATTACTTAATGACTCGTGATTTAAAAAAAAAATGTTTTCCCTCCTGCCTTTAGGTATTCTGAGGAAAAAAATTCGTTAAACAGGAAACATTATTGGTCTGGCCTAAAGTCAGTTCAACTTCCAACTCTACTTTCATATACGATGTTCATGTAAATAGGTCTGGTTATATTATGTCTTGTTTTATATTGTACAAGTCATGTCTTATTCTACCCCTATAGGAGGGTGTGCCCTCTTGTTCCACCTGGTGGATCTACCCCTATAGGAGGGTGTGATCTGCTTTTCAGCTAAATGGCACAGGGTGTGTTATCATGCTCTGATAGTGTGGATCGTTGTTCAGGATTTCAACCTGTAATTTCTGTATTCATTCATTTACAGGTAACTGTGATAGAGCTAGAAGTTTGCTTTATTGATAATTATTTTGGAAAATTGGAATTTATATAATATTGTGCCAAACATCTGCAACTGGATAAAGAACATATTGCAAATCAGGATTAAATGACTTTCTTTGCAGTCAAAGTACAATACTTGCCATTGTACTTCAGGTCTCGGCATTCAAGATGTTGTCTCAGCCAAACTGGTGATGGATAAAATAGAGGAACAGACAGCTTAAGCCTGGGATGCAGCGAGGGACCTCAGCCCCGGGCAGTTTCACACAGATATCTGAGGGATTTGACTACTATCTTAGGTCTTACACACTAAAGATAGTTGTAGCACTCAGATAATTTTGTAATTCAGAGCCCTGGGATCTGTTTCACTGAGTGGTCTGATGGATACGACAATCTTACCTCCTGTGTACACTTTGTTACACCACCCTTGGATCTATCTCTCACTGTGATCTGATGGATACGACAATCTTACCTCCTGTTTACGCTTATTTACGCTACCCTTGGATCTATCTCTCACAGTGATCTGATGGATACAACAATCTTACCTCCTGTATACACTTCGTTACACTACCCTTGGATCTATCTCTCACAGTGATCTGATGGATACGACAATCTTACCTCCTGTACACGCTTCGTTACACTGCCCTTGGATCTATCTCTAACAGTGATATGATGGATACGACAATCTTACCTCCTGTATACGCTACCCTTGGATCTATCTCTCACAGTGATCTGATGGATACGACCATGTTACCTCCTGTACACGCTTCGTTACACTGCCCTTGGATCTATCTCTAACAGTGGTCTGATGGATACGACAATCTTACCTCCTGTATACACTACCCTTGGATCTATCTCTCACAGTGATCTGATGGATACGACAATCTTACCTCCTGTATACACTTCGTTACACTGCCCTTGGATCTATCTCTCACAGTGATCTGATGGATACGACAATCTTACCTCCTGTATACGCTTCATTACACTACCCCTGGATCTATCTCTCACAGTGATCTGATGGATGCGACAATCTTACCTCCTGTATACGCTTCGTTACACTACCCCTGGATCTATCTCTCACAGTGGTCTGATGGATACAACAATCTTACCTCCTTTATACACTTCGTTACACTACCCTTGGATCTATCTCTTACAGTGATCTGATGGATACGACAATCTTACCTCCTGTATACACTTCGTTACACTACCCTTGGATCTATCTCTCACTGTGATCTGATGAATACGACAATCTTACCTCCTGAATATGCTTTGTTACACTACCCTTGTATCTATCTCTCACTGTGATCTGATGGATACAACAGTCTTACCTCCTGTATACGCTTCGTTACACTACCCTTGGATCTATCTCTCACAGTGATCTGATGGATACGACAATCTTACCTCCTGTATACACTTCGTTACACTACCCTTGGATCTATCTCTAACTGTGATCTGATGGATACGACAATCTTACCTCCTGTATACACTTCGTTACACTACCCTTGGATCTATCTCTAACTGTGATCTGATGAATACGACAATCTTACCTCCTGTATATGCTTCGTTACACTACCCTTGTATCTATCACTCACTGTGATCTGATGGATACAACAATCTAACCTCCTGTATGTATAATCTTACCTCCTGTAAGCTACACTGCCCCTGGTTCTATCTCTCACAGTGATCTGATGGATACGACAATCTTACCTCCTGTATATGCTTCGTTACACTACCCTTGGATCTATTAACAGTGATATGATGGATACGACAATCTTACCTCCTGTATACGCTTCGTTACACTGCCCTTGGATCTATCTCTCACAGTGGTCTGATGGATACGACAATCTTACCTCCTGTATACGCTTCGTTACACTACCCTTGGATCTATATCTCACAGTGATCTGATCGATACGACCATGTTACCTCCTGTATACGCGTCGTTACACTACCCTTGGATCTATATCTCACTGTGATCTGATGGATATGACAATCTTACCTCCTGTATACGCTTCGTTACACTACCCTTGGATCTATCTCTCACAGTGGTCTGATGGATACGACAATCTTACCTCCTGTATACGCTTCGTTACACTGCCCTTGGATCTATCTCTCACAGTGGTCTGATGGATACGACAATCTTACCTCCTGTATACGCTTCATTACACTACCCTTGGATCTATATCTCACAGTGATCTGATGGATACGACCATGTTACCTCCTGTATACGCTTCGTTACACTACCCTTGGATCTATCTCTCACAGTGGTCTGATGGATACGACAATCTTACCTCCTTTATACGCTTCGTTACACTACCCTTGGATCTATCTCTCACTGTGATCTAAGGGCTACGACCATCTTACCTTCCATATACCTCTAAGGTATATGACAGTCACTCACACCTATCACACATACCTCTGATGTATGAGTCAGACCTGTGACACAGAGGTCTGAGGTATATGACAGTCACTCACACCTGTGACACAGGTGTCAGAGGTATATGACAGTCACTCACACCTGTCACACAGGTGTCTGAGGTATGTGACGGTCACTCACACCTGTCACACAGGTGTCTAAGGTATATGACAGTCACTCACACCTGTCACAGGTGTCTGAGGTATGTGACGGTCACTCACACCTGTCACACAGGTGTCTGAGGTATGTGACGGTCACTCACACCTGTCACACAGGTGTCTGAGGTGTATGACAGTCACTCACACCTGTCACACATACCTCTGAGGTATGAGTCAGACCTGTGACACAGGTGTCTGAGGTATATGACAGTCACTCACACCTGTCACACAGGTGTCTGAGGTATATGAGTATATGACAGTCACTCACACCTGTCACACAGGTGTCTTAAGGTTTATGACAGTCACTGACATCTGTCACACAGGTGTCTGTGGTATATGACAGTCACTCACACCTGTCACACAGGTGTCTGAGGTATATGAGTATATGACAGTCACTGACATCTGTCACACAGAGGTTTGAGGTATATGACGGTCACTCACACCTGTCACACAGGTGTCTGAGGTTTATGACAGTCACTCACACCTGTCACACAGAGGTCTGAGGTATATGACAGTCACCCACACCTAGTGCCATTGTTATATGTCAACCAGCACAGTCTCACCTTTTATATATTGCCATTGTATTTGTACTGTCCTTGATTGTGTACAACCACTCAATTTTGTACTGCCATTGTGATTCCTATACAGTAATTTTCAAAGAATGGTAAAAAGTGAATAACATTTGTTTGTTGTTTGTTGGTTTCATTCCAACTTCTTTACATACAGATTTTTGGTTAACTTTTTGTTTTGAGTTGGAAATTGACATGAAACAATGTTTATTTACATGTCTCAGCATATCTATATTTTACAGATTCATGTCACAATGTATTTATTTCATCAGGTACATCACAGTGTATTTACATTATCCCAGATGTGAGAGTACCTATGTATTTTTTATTTCCTCTGGTACTATTTACAGTACCGTATATGACCGTCTATAAGCCGAATATATATGTTTCCCCCGATACTTGACTCAGAAAAGCTATATTTCATTTATCTGCCGACATTTTTTTATATACACAAGTACTGTTAATCCCTGACTGGTGTATATCAAACATCTATGTCAAGATGTTGTGTCAGTATCTTTATTACTGTTAATCCCTGACTGGGAGTATATCAAACATCTATGTCAAGATGTTGTGTCAGAATCTTTATTACTGTTAACTCCTGACTGGTGTATATCAAACATCTATGTCAAGATGTTTAGGATATTATCGAACTTTGCACATACAGATGAATTGTACAGTATTTTGGGGGAAGTTATGTTTACACATGTTAAACTGTATCAGCCAAATATACGGAAGAAATAAATTGCATGTGAAGTATTTTTTTTTATATAGATGTTATTTGTGCTTGATTTAAGATGTGATCAGCCCCATTACAGTTCCCATCTGATAGTCTCACCTAACCTGGGATATATTAGTCTTAAACAACCAGCAATGAAGTGAGTGGCCCCATTAGGGAGCTGGATTAGAACAGGCCCCACCACTCCACTGCTGGTTAGAAGAGGTGACCATTGTGAATCTTGTTGTCAGACTCAGTGGTTTGGTTGATCGCATGTCATCATTCTGATATCACCCACTGGTTCATCTGTCTAAACTCAGTTTGTTACAGACCAAATGAAACAGAGAGAGCACTGCTGCAGCAACACATGTGGATTTAGTTGTGAATGTTAGTTATTGTCATCACCGTGTATGAGGGTCACATGATGGCTGCCAGTGGTTGGGAACATCCGTGTATACTCCATCTGTGGGGCTTCAGAGTAAGAATATAAATCCCAGAAATCTCAAATTGTCTGAGATGTGACAAAATGGATCTGGTGGCCATAAGTTTACTTAACGGTCACTGATTGCATGTCATCGTCCTCGCAGTCAGGATTGATGACGCATTACAAACTATTATCATATTGCCGAGTGCAGCGTTAAACAAAAACAAAATAACACTGAACACCCTCGGGGTAAGTGTTTAAGAGGTACAACATTGCTTGAAACATTATTTCAGTTTATGGCAGTGCGTCACATTGTCACACTAACTGACTGACAGACTGTGTTTGGTTTTACGCCGCTTTTAGCAATATTCCAGCAATATCACGGCAGGGGACACCAGAAATGGGCTTCACACATTGTACCCATGTGGGGATTTGAACCCGGGTCTTCGGCGTGATGAGCCAACGCTTTAACCACTCGGCTACCCCACCGCCCCTTGTCACACTAAGGGACAGTTCATAATGTATGGCTAGTGTGTGTGTGTGTGATGACTGTTATGGAGAAGCATGTACAATGTGAGATTTTTCATTTCCCCAAATATCCAAGTGATGAAGGTAAGGTTAGGCATCAGAAGGTCTCCCAGAGGTAGGTCATCTACATATTTCTATCTCAAGAACAACAGATCTAGGTCTATCAAAGAAACATTTATTCCTGACGGTAAACAGATTATTTTGTAGACAGTAACAATACATGGCCATAACATTGTACAGCTTCCTTCCTTTACGAGTATTAAAATGTACGTTTACTGATGCTGCAGCAGTTCAGATGAACTTAACGACACACTACATTTGATATACAAGGGATATGGTGTATCCAGCATGATGATTGAAACAATGTTCAGTGGTGACACTTTGATGATATTTACTTGAGTGAGATCAAGTCGTACAAAAAGTGTTTCAGCTGACCACAAGTACACTGTCAGTAATTTTGGTCATGGTGTATCTGGGGAAATACCTTCCATATTAGAACATATTGTATTCTCCAGTGTGTATATGATACATAGTGCATGGTATTGTTGTTATTCAGAGAGTCTTTAGTTAATATAGTAATAAGTAGAGAAAGTGAGTGAAGCAATATGTAGTTGAGAGCGTCTTGAAGAGAGGTGCTTCTGTCTGGAGTGTACAGATGGACAACAGCAGCCTAGGCAATCTTCAGTCCCGCAATCCCACGCTTCCAGAGACTGTAAGGGAAGTACAGTGTAAGGTATTTATTCCCTATACACATTAACAAAGCACAGAACAATCCGAATGTCACAGTTTCCATGTTCACACCTAATTTTCCAAACTCAACAAAAATATATTCAATTTCCCTATGTGAATCAAAGAATGTTGTTCCAAGACACACAACATTATTCCATGATTGTTGACTCTAAAAACACTGGGTGATGGCATGATCACAAGTCCATCTGGAGAATTATACTCCAGTCTTCAGTGTGATAACAAAGTGCCATATCCATCAGGACACTCCACGGCCACCATTATCTACAGGTATGGTGATATGATTTCATGCCCATTAGAATCTCATTGGTGGCTCTCTGACAAGGGTTATTACCACAGCATCATGGCTGATTAGTTTGTAGTTTAACGCTGCACTCAACAATATTCCAGTTATATGGCGGTGGTCTGTAAATAATCGTGTCTGAACCAGACAATCCAATGATAAACAGCACAGGCATTGATCTACGCAATTGGGATACGATGACACGTGCCAACCAAGTCAGAGAGCCTGACAACCCGAAACCGTTAGTCGCCTCTTACAACAAGCATGAGTTACTGAAGACCAATTCCAACCCGGATCTTCATGGGTCATCATGACACATACAGGAATGTTTTACTTGCAGTCTTTGCAGATGAATACTATTTGGACTTCTTTTTCAGAGAGATCGTCCTTGGGGTACATATTATGCATTTTCCGGCTGTAAAATGTCCTGTGACAGTTGTATCAATGTTTTTTGAATAAAAAGATTGTACAATAAATAAACTCTTTTATTTATTATACGGACCCTACCTCACGGAGTTACCTCCCTTAGCGCATGCGCACCAACTGGGTAGGCTCCTAGACCCGTATCATCATTCCTTCTGCTGTCACGGCCCTGAACAGACGTTCGTTGTGATTACCTTTCATGAGCCGTACGGCGCTGTATTTTAAGATGTCTGAGACACCACCTGTATGTTTGGTTTTTATTTGTCTAAAACAGTAAAAACCTTACAGTGGTTGTTTCATAATTGTGACTTTGTATAAGTACTATCAAAATACGCAAACTTTCCCGTGGTTTACGCAAGTTTGCTCTGCCATGGCGGGAAGTTTTAGCGTGCCGCGTGGTCGTAATATTGCGTTTTAAAACCAACTATTACTTTCCGTGGTTACTTTTACGTATTTTTCAATGTTTTCTACGTGTTTCTCTGCTTCTGGCCACAAGTTAACTAACATGTTTACGTGTTTGTTTCAGGCTTTTACCTGTTGTTCGGTCTGTGGGGGAAGTATTCCCCGGGCTGACAGTCACTCCCAATGCGTGGCCTGTCTGGAGAAGACGGGCCATGTGGCTGATACATGTTCAATTTGTCTGGCCTTTTCCCCCCGGGCACAGAAGAGGCGGGCGGCCGACACCCTGTTTTACCGCGAGATGCGTGAGGCGGGAGGGGACCTGACGCAGGTTCCCCCGTCAAAATCTAAACGGGCGTCCAAAAAAGGAAAAAAATCCCGTGGCCCTTCCCCCTCTCCTACCACTTCGAGTGGTTTTGACATGTCTCTAATGGAGTCGATGTTTCAGAAGCAGATGGACTCAATGAAGTCCTTCGTTCGGGAGTCGGTTGGAGGTCTCCGCCAGGAGTTCCTCGCCCACTCCGGACGGGGGGCGGAGAGTCCGGGGGTGGGATCGCCGGCCTCGGCTAGATCCCTCAGCCTTGAGGCGTCTGTCGATCCGTTGCCTCTGGCTTCGGGTCCGGACGCCTCGGCTGCTCCGGAGAGGGAGGTGCTCCCAGTCCCCCTCTCGGAGCTTGCGCTTGGGCCGTTGAGTATTCCTGGTATTCCGGTCCCTGCGCACACCCGCCCCATGAGAGCGGAGGCACCAGTTCTGCCTGGCCTGCCTCCTGCGTCTCGGGACCGGGGTCCACGCACGCCGGCTGGCGCTGACGTGGAGCAGTCGGTCTGTTCCTCCCTTCCTGTGGTGCCCAGCGCTAGGCAGTCCACCGGGTCGGGGTTAGGGTCCTCTTACGGAGGAGACCCAGCCTCTGACTCGGGCTCGGACGCCGAGGCAATGGAGCTCGGGGAGGTCGAGGAGCATGACGGCAGCTTCCGTTTTGCTTCGGCCTTGCGGGAGGTCCGGCAGAGAATTGCCGAGGGCCTACCCCAGGCCGCGGTGCCTGCTGGTTGCGTGGACTCGACTGAGTTCCGCTTGCCTGGTGAGGCGTTTGCCCCTAGGCAACCCTCACAGACGCAGCTCCGCATTCTGCCATCGTTGGTCGCGGACGTGGTCGATCCCCTCTTGTCTGATTCCCGAGTCAGGTTTGACTTACCTGAACTTCGCGGCGGCGCTACCAGCTTGGGGAGGATTCCCTGTTCGCCGTTACCGATCGTGGACGAGTGTGTTTTCACTTCCGCCGCCCTGGGGAGGCTCGGCTTCCTCCGAGCAGCTCCGGCTGCTCGGCAAGGCGCCTCACTCCACCTTTGCCCTCGCTGGTATCCCTGCGCACGCGTACCGACCTACGAGGAGGTCTACCGAACGCGATGCAGCAGGTGCGGTGGTGGTCCATGAGGCCTACCTCTCCTCGATACACAGAGGTCGGCCCTGGAGGCGGAGGGGCATGCTGGCGGCGATGTCGCCGCGATGTCGTGCTACTCCGTCAGCTGTCGGAAGTTCAGGCTCACCTCGCGAGCGACTCTTTGCGGTCTGCTGCGTCGACGGTGATGTGCGCAGTCATGGGGATGCGCAGGCTGTGGCTGTCGACGTCTAGGTACTCGGCAGCAACACAGCAGACCTTGCTGGCTCTCCCTTTCCGTCTGGGAGCCGACCCTCTTTCCCGGGCACAGCAGGTCATACGGAGGCTGCCGCTGCAGCTACCTCCTTCAAGGATTCTAAGGCCTTGTTGGAGCACCCGCGGGTGTCTCGGCCCCAGCTCCGTGCCACCTTCCTCCGCCGGGGTGCAGCCTACACCGAAGTCTGCCGGCTGGCCCGCCGCTGGTAGGGTAGGCGGAGGAGTAGGTCCGCCAAGGGTAGGGGCAAGGAGCAGTCCTCGACTAGCTCCCAGCCTTTTCAGCAGGCGGGAGGTCTGCCCCGATCTCCGTTAACCCAACAGGCTGCCGCTCAAGCCGTGTGTCACACCCAGTCAGCTCCGCTACTAGGGTCCGACGACGCAGCTCCTACCCCATATCAGTGGGAGGCGCTCTCTCTATTCCTGCGGAATGGGAGAAGGCTACCAACAATGCTTGGGTGCTGGCCACGGTCAGCATAGGCCATCTCCCACTGTGGAGGCGAGGTCCGCCCGACTTCACCGGGCATACGACGCACTCGGTGCCGTCATGCCAAGCCAGGGCGGACATATTGCGCGACGAAGTTCAGGCTCTGCTGGACAAGTCCGCAATCGGCGCATTCCACCGGAGAGAGGAACAGGCGGGATTTTACTCCACGTACTTCCTCGCCCCGAAGAAAGACGGCGGGTTCCGTCCGATTCTCAACCTCAAGGGGTTGAATCGCGATGCTCGAAGTACCATCCTTCAAGATGGAGACACTGCGCCGGTGATCTCATCTGTTCAGCCCGGCGATTGGCTCACGTCAATCGACCTAAAGGATCGCGATTCTGCATGTACCCATACATCCCTCGTTCAAGCAGTACCTCCGGTTCTCTTACGACGGGATGTATTACCAATTCAGGGTGCTCCCCCTTCGCATATCGACTGCCCCAAGGGTGTTCACCAAGCTCATGTTAGTCCCAGCTACCCTAGCTCGCCGCAAAGGAAGGCGTTGTTACCCTTACCTAGGCGACTGGTTGCTCGGAGCACTAACACAGCCAGCGAAGTCAAGATGCTACTCACACAGTGATAGACATTCTAACTTCGACTGGGGTGGATCATCAACCTCAAGAAATCCGACCTGGTACCCACCCAGGACTTGGTTTTTCTTGAGCCGATTCCAAAGCGAACAAGGATCTCGTTTCCTTGTCGCCCGACCGGGTCACCAGAGTTCGGGAGATGGTATCTTCATTCCTCTCCCAGCCCCAGGCACCAGCACGGACTTGGCTCCGTCTACTGGGCCATATGGCGGCGACGATCTCTGTAGTGTGGCGGGCGCGGTTGAGGATCGTCCCATACAGCAAGCTTTGGCTGGGCTGTGGACTCACCGCGAGGATCTGGAGCGCAGTCTCACAGTCCCCAGTGGTTGACACCTCACCTTCAGTGGTGGACAAATGTCGGGAATCTCACCAGGGGTTCCCCTTGGAAATCCGACGCCAGCTCTCACAGTTCAGACAGATGCGTCCCTCACGGGCTGGGGCGTTCTGGGCAGTCTGTCGGCTTCCGGACTCTGGTCGAAGCCGGCTCACCTTCACATCAACGTGTTGGAGCTGAGAGCTGTGCGGTTGGTATTCGAGCGCTTCAGAGAGCATGTCCGTGGCCAGGTAGTCCGTCTTCAGTTAGACAACCAGGCGGCCATGTCGTACATCCTGAAGCAGGGAGGCACGGTGTCCCCAGCGCTCCTCCGGAAGCGTGGGACTTTCTCCTCTGGAGCGACCAATACGATTGTCAGGTACTCCCTGTTTATCTCCGGGGCTGGAGAGCGTCGCGAGCAGATCGCTCTCGCCGGATCCTGGCCCGCGACAGTGGATGCTCGACAGGCAGATATTCACAGTAATCTCCCAGTTGTGCGGGTGCGTTCGAGGTGGATCTGTTTGCGTCGGCGGGGCGCATCAGACACCCGATGTTCTGCTCTCGGATACCGGACCAGAGGCGTTGGCTGCGGCGCCTTCCTGCTGGATTGGACGGGCAAAGTGCTCTGGGCGTGCCCGCCGCTACCACTCATTCCCGTGTCCTTTCACAGCTGTCCACCCAGCCAGCTCGGCTACTTGTGCTACTGGCACGCTTTGGCCGTCACAGAGCTGGTTTCGGTAATTCTCAGGTTTCTGGCTCAGCCTCCTGTTCTATTACCTTTGCGACCGGACATTCTCACTCAGAACGGAGCGCCCCACCCAAATCCACGGATTCAGTGGGTGGCTTGGCCTCTGTCAGGTCTAACCTCGAGGCACGCGAATTCCTGCAGCAGTTGCAGACACAATTCTGGCTTCGGGCGGATTCGACAAGCGTTCAGTATGAGGATAGGTGGTCCCGCTATGCGCGCTGGTGTTCAGATAGGGCATTGCAGATCCCTTTTGGGCGGATTTAGTCCGAGTATTGGAGTTTTTGCAAGCTCGTTTGGAAGAAGGCCTGGCGGCCGACCATTCGTGGCTACTCCACCGCTATTTCCACTTTTCACACCCCTGTCGATGGTGCTCTTCTGGGGCAGCACCCTCTCGCGTCTGGCGCTTTCTAGCTGGGCTGAACGGATTCGACCTGCTCTCAGGCGAACCAGTCCACCTTGGGATTTGTCGATCGTGCTCGATTGGCTGTCGGTCCCACTTTCTCACACCTATCGGCTATTTCCATTCAGTTGTTGACCTGGAAAGCTGTGTTTCTGGTGGCGGTAACATCTGGTCGAAGAGTCGGCGATATACATGCTATGTCGTCCGACCCGGCGCTGACTGTGTTTCACACGGATCGTGTCAGCATTCGCCTCCCAGATACTTACCGACCGAAGGTCGATCACGCTTTCCATGTGACAGCTCCTATCGAACTTCCTACTCTTACCCAGCCTTCCACATCGGGGACCACTCCTCACGAGCACTCACCCGTTGGATGTCCGTAAGGCGCTCAAAGTCTATATCAAAGCGAACGCAGGGGATCGTACGGGTACCCAGCTGTTCTGTTGTTACGGTGGCGGGAAGGCTGGTCTGCCAGCGAGCAAGCAAACTTTGTCTCGCTGGCTTGTTTCTGTATTTGTGCCGCTTATCAGGCTAAGGGCAAGCCTCCCCTGAGGGGTTGAAGGCTCACTTTCGGTCAGGGCAGTAGCATCAAAAGCTTTGCAGCGGCACTCCCCATTGAAGAGATCTGCTCTGCGCTATTTGGAGCGGCCAAGCACTTTTATCGCCATTATCAGCTCGATACACATTCACGCAATCGCATGCGAGCTTTGGTCGCACCGTTCTCTCCAGTGGACAGTGTCCTGCCACCCTGACCAAGTGAGTCTTGGTTTATTGGTTTGTGTTGGCGCTACTGTACAATGATTCCATTATTGACATGTCTGCTCACGAGCACTCAGAGAACCTGTACCCCTTTCGATTCTCTAAGGAGTTCACGATATCGTTAGTGAGTGGTATTTTTGTTTTCCCCCACGGTGCTCTCCGCGAAGAAGCCACTTAGTGGGTCGGATTTCACTGACATTCGCACTCGTGCAATGTCTCATTATGCTAGAGGTCGTCTTTGAGCACAAATCCTCCCTGTCAGTTCCCCTCCCATAATGCCTCTCGCGAAGCGAAACTGGGTCAGTGACAGGTGAGTGTTATGGCGTCTGTTCAATTTTTTCCATGATCATGATCGCTATATTTTGTGTGTGCTTGGACAGAATTCCCTCCTCCCTGGCCTCCGGTCTTTGGGAGTCTGTGTTTATGCATAATATGTACCCCAAGGACGATCTCTCTGAAAAGAATTTTCCAAACCTGCAGAGGTTTTCAATTCTTGAAGAGAGTCGATCCTTGGGTAGGGGCCTCCCCCTCCCGCCAATTCTGTTCACTGATAAGAATTCAGCAGAAGGAATGATGATACGGGTCTAGGAGCCTACCCAGTTGGTGCGCATGCGCTAAGGGAGGTAACTCCGTGAGGTAGGGTCCGTATAATAAATAAAAGAGTTTATTTATTGTACAATCTTTTTATTCAAAAAACATTGATACAACTGTCACAGGACATTTTACAGCCGGAAAATGCATAATATGTACCCCAAGGACGACTCTCTTCAAAGAATTGAAAACCTCTGCAGGTTTGGAAAAGTTTTCCTGTTCGACATCCATTATAATAATACTTTAGATAAATAAAGTCCTTGACAATGATCATGTACCTATCAGTTGTTAGAGGTCAGAGGTTAAGGTTACAAATACAGATACACAAGTGCCTCCCACTGTCATAAAATACAACAAAACATTTTCTAGTATCACTGGTTTGTTTGTGGACTTCTAGAGCTGGCTGATGCCACTCTGTAATAACATGGCATACCTTCAAGTCCCAGATGATGATGTTGCCGTCCACACCTGATGTGGAGATCTTGGTACAGTCGGACTTGGTCCCAGCAAAGATGCTCACTTGGCTGTGGGGACAGAAAATGAGGCTCCACATACAATAAGTAATACATATACACTTACTACAACAGGGAATACGGCTCCTTATCCAGTAGCAGTGAATACATTCACATGTGCTACAACAGGGAATACAACTCCTTATCCTGTAGCAGTGAATGTATTCACATGTGCTACAACAGGGAATAAGACTCCTTATACAGTAGCACTGAATACATTCACATGTGCTACAACAGGGAATACGGCTTTATACAGTAGCAGTGAATACATTCACATGTGCTACAACAAGGAATACGGCTCCTTATCCAGTAGCAGTGAATACATTCACATGTGCTACAACAGGGACTAAGACTCCTTATACAATAGCAGTGAATACATTCACATGCGCTACAACAGGGAATATGGCTCCTTCTCCAGCAGCAATGAATACATTCACATGTGCTACAACAGGGAATATGGCTTTATACAGTAGCACTGAATACATTCACATGTGCTACAACAGGGAATACGGCTTTATACAGTAGCAGTGAATACATTCACATGTGCTACAACAGGGAATACGTCTCCTTATGCAGTAGCAGTGAATACATTCACATGTGCTACAACAGGGAATACGGCTCCTTCTCCAGCAGCAGCGAAGACATTCACATGTGCTACAACAGGGAATATGGCTTTATACAGTAGCAGTGAAGACATTCACATGTGCTACAACAGGGAATACGGCTCCTTATACAGTAGCAGTGAATACATTCACATGTGCTACAACAGGGAATACGGCTTCTTATGCAGTAGCAGTGAATACATTCACATGTGCTACAACAGGGAATACGGCTCCTTATACAGTCGTAGTGAATACATTCACATGTGCTACAACAGAGGAGGCATCTACATGTAAGACCACAACAAATTGGATTTGAGAAAATGCCATTCAGGCAATGAAAATCTAATGTACTGATGTATATGTTTTCATAGTAAATAACAGCCTCTTGAATAAAACCATGAAATATGTACATGTAAAGGACTGAGCTTATCAAGAACTGGGTCTGCGTCAGTCTGTTCAGTGCATATAATATATCAGACTACAGAGAAAACTCATAAGGAGCTTACGCTGGGACTACTACACATAATCCTTGTAATGAAAACAAATGGAAGAAGATGAACCAGATGTATGAAGTTATGTTTAATTTCTTGTATTCTAGATACTAGGATTGTGTACATCATTCTGGTACCCAGCGGCGAGTGTGACTAACTTACATGATGGTGTTCTGGTACCCAGCAGCGAGTGTGACTAACTTACATGATGGTGTTCTGGTACCCATCAGCGAGTGTGACTAACTTACGTGATGGTGTTCTGGTACCCAGCAGCGAGTGTGACTAACTTACGTGATGGTGTTCTGGTACCCAGCAGCAAGTGTGACTAACTTACGTGATGGTGTTCTGGTGCTGAGTCTTCAAGTCGCTAGAGAAGTCGTCAGTTGTAGCCTTCTTCTCTAAATTCTTGAAGCGGTTCATAGCACTGAAACAAAGAACAATGGGCTTGGAACACAATCCTAATAAGTGCTATTTACAATTTGGGCACTATTACACAAAAGGGTGGAACAGTGTTGCAAGCGATACACATCACACAGTTAAGTTTCGTAACTGTACTACTGTTATACCACTGATGTAACACCAGGGGTGACTACTGAGAGGGAGACAACTATTGCGATAGCGACACTCTATTGCAACATACCATTGCGATAGTGATAGTCTATTGCGACCAAATATTGCAATAGTTTTTTTCTCCATGAATTGTCTCATTTGAAGACATTTTCCCAAATGAATGTATAGTTTACATGAAATAAAAACAAGCTGAAGTGGTTTCAGTCTCTTCTAAAAGTGACAAGAACTTGAATTTCCGGATCAAGTAAACAGTTATAACATAACCTCAATGAAGCTGCAAGTCTGCAGGAGGGGATAACTCTAAATCAATGTGAACAAATCTGGTACTTCCTGTATCAATGGAAGTCAATAACTAAACTATCGATAGTTACATATACTATCGATGCATCGAAAGTTTTTCCTTTCTACCATCGATTAATTGCTATCGGAGACTCAACAATTGCAATCCATCGATAGTTTGATGCATCATTACAGCCCTTCTTAACACAGTGTATTCTATTTAGCATCCGCTCCATTTCAGCTGTATTGATACGTTAACAAGATTGGCAGAGATGTACATTTGTTGTCTGGGTTGTTTCATTGGTCATGTTATATACTGAACGGACCAGTATGCATGCCTCTACTTGCCATGAAAGTATGACAGCAGCCCTTATTAATATTGTATCAAATAATATGGTGATACAGCAGAAAACATGCCACATCGTTTGGCTGATGGTGTTATCTGTGTCCATCAATGAGTGTTCATCACTCACTGTGTCCATCCATTAGTCACTGTGTCCATCCATCAGTCACTGCATCCATCCATCAGTCATTGTGTCCATCTATCAGTCATTGTGTCCATCCATCAGTCACTGTGTCCATCCATCAGTCATTGTGTCCATCCATCAGTCACTGTGTCCATCCATCAGTCACTGTGTCCATCCATCAGTCACTGTGTCCATCCATCAGTCATTGTGTCCATCCATCAGTAACTGTGTCACTGTGTCCATCCATCATCAGTCAGTCACTGTGTCCACTGTGTCCATCCATCATCAGTCATCAGTCTGTCCATCCATCAGTCATTGTGTCCATCCATCAGTCACTGCATCCATCCATCCATCAGTCAGTCACTGTGTCCATCCATCAGTCATTGTGTCCATCCATCAGTCATTGTGTCCATCCATCAGTCATTGTGTCCATCCATCAGTCAATGTGTCCATCCATCAGTCACTGTGTCCATCCATCAGTCATTGTGTCCATCCATCAGATACTGTGTCCATCCATCAGTCATTGTGTCCATCCATCCATCAGTGTCCATCCATCAGTCACTGTGTCCATCCATCAGTCATTGTGTCCATCCATCAGTCAATGAGTCAATCTATCAGTTATTGTGTCCAGCCATCAGTCATTGTGTCCAGCCATCAGTCATTGTGTCCAGCCATCTGTCTGTTTTCAGCTCCTCCGTAACTGGCAGTACCACAATTTCTTTTAAGATTAGTAAAGTCTGGTTATCTAGACATGCTGACGTCTGTCTTGTACTGCTACTAAACATCCAAACTAAGACATCAATAACTCCTTCCTTCTCATACACAATAAAAGGGTAATTCATGCCAAGTTTATCAATCTATACCAGTTATACACCTTGAGTGTATGAATGTTAACCTGAACTGTCCTGTGATTCTGGGGCCATTGATCAACTGTTCTTTCATCATGCATGGATATATACACACTGGCTCCAGTAACAGGGGCCTTAGATTGTCCTAGAATTATCCTCGTGCTGGAACTCATGCATCTCAAAGGTCAGAACCTCTCACAGGTTAAGTGCAATACATGCAATGGTCCAGACCGTCATGAAACAAAGATTCATAAATCTTTTGCATTAATTAGATCTTGTGCTTTAATAATCCTTGATCTCCTTTTGTAAGTTGTTGGATGTAAGTTAGTCTGCAGCTATCTAATTAGTAACATCTATGGACAAAGTGACCAGCACAACTGGTCAACATTCGTGGACATATGATGCCATTCAACATGGCCACCAGTAGCAGACAGCAGACAAAGTTAATTCTTGAACTTTTTTCAAAGCAAAGTTAGTTTGAGGCTATCTAATTAGTAATATCTACGAACAAAGTGACCGGCACAACTGGTCAACATTACTGTACATATGATGCATTCAACATGGCTGTCAGTAGCAGACGACATACGCCATGCAAGATGGCCTACTTGATGATTGACACAGGAGTCTCATCTTCCTCCTCCTGATCAGATCCTGCCTCCGTCTCACAAGGCTCAGGAACCTCCACACTGTGAGAACAGCTGACATGTTGCATACTTTGTCATACAAGTGCTATAGGACAACTGCTTCAGCTATTTATACTATTACCTAATTTTCCATATTCATTACATCAGTAACTGTAACAAAGTTATTCAGACAAAAAAATGACTGAAGGTGCAACTTCATTACTATGTGGTGGAAAAACAATCATTACCTCAGACCTATTGGCACACATAGACAATGCTGGTCTAAAGATGTTGAGATAAAAAATCAGATATCCAGGACTGGAATACAGTCTATAAGTTATATCATCCTGAGAATCATCTGATGTATGCATGGAGTGTTATAACTCCCGTATTGATAACAGGTATAGAGATCAAGTCTGAAACTCTGATTCTCTTTTCATAGGAGAGGTAGATAAGATCTATAAAACAATCATTCTCAAGGTATTATTACATTTAGAGTTGACCTCAGAAGGGAGGATGTTAGAAGTTACCCAGTACATTTATTAAAGTTTCAATATATCCAGTTTGTTGTTTAACACTGCACTAAGCAATATTCCAGCTATGGCAACCAGTAAACAATGAGGTCTGGATCAGACAAACCAGTGATTGTATAGTAAGGTGTCCACACTGTCTGGATACAATGCACACCATCAAACAAGTCATCGAGTCTGACCAGTACAGTTGCCCCATCTGACAAGCATGACCAACTCCAGACCACAACCCTAGTGGTTCCATGTAGGAACTTCGTGACCCGTGTAGCTACCTAATTTGGCCGGACTCCTTCTCCTGAGGGATGTCCAACTTGCTGACAGCATTCAGTTTGCCGCTGTCAGTGTAGGTGAACAGCATCGGGTTGCAGTCGTACTCCTATGTAACAACATGAAACAACATGTACATGCCATTGATGAGGAGCATGTCTAATCGGCATGATCTATTAAACCCTTTTTAATGGAATTTAGTGAAAATGAAAAGTGGAAAAACAAAACCTGAAAAGCAGTGTTTGTAGTTGTCAACTCAAAACCATGGATCGATCAGTTTATTCACAGATCAAATAACTTGTTAAACTGAAGCCATGGATCTATCAAAGATCAAATTAGTTGCTTAACTTGATGATGGAACAAATATTTATCCCAGATGAGTAGTTGCCGTGTTTCCCCTATTCCATGCAGTATCCCAGCAACCCCCCTCGTAACACCAACCGGCTGCACTAGAAGACAAATACTTACTGCGCACACAATGCTGTTCTCTGTCACCCAGGTGATGCTCATGAAGGGAAGGAAGTTCTCCTTGATACACACCAGTCTGGAATACACATCAGGTAACATCAACATCAGCATCAACATCAACTTCACTGTACCATACATAGGGTAAAACACATTCAAAGCCAATATGTTTATGGGATTAAAATCAAATCTAGGGTTGTAAATTTTATCAACATCAATGTCAAAATTTAAGACATCCTGAACATCCACTTTACTGTGCCATGTATTACAACACATGTATGACAACAAGATTACATTGGTTCATTCCACAAAGCTGTCTCATCACTACAATAGCTGTAAGTTGTATTGTTCTTCTATAGTGAAGAATGTTACAATAATCATAGCCTTAATAACTCTTTGTGGACCCAGTCTAACAGTCTAGTGTACTAACTTGTTGTCTAGTCATCATACTCACTCCGATCCTTTGTTAGAATCCACGACAGAGATGCTGGAGTCATGTCCGACCCAAGCGAGGCGATCACCACTTGGGGAGAAGGAGACAGAGTGCACCCAGCCACCTGTCAGACACAGGCACAGGGTTACCATAGTAACAGCACACACAACACAAGGGTGATAACATCTCCATAACAACCCATGGTAAGCCTGATATGGTTATTATACAATGTTGACTAGTCTCAAACAACACTTCATACTTCCCTTGAATGTGTACTGAGAAAGTGTAATCCCAAATATAACATGTTGCATCTTACTGTCTTTATTTGGAAAATCTTTGGAAACAAAAACATCTACTATATGTGTCTTACTTTCACCATGTCTCTGTTACAATGGTGTAACATTTGAAAATCGTAAAACATAAAAGGTCGTTCTCAAACTATCTCTCATTTTCTGACATCATATCAAGAAATATAAAACTCAAGTTAAAAAAATCAGAAGCAGTGACAAAATCTTTTCAGGTGTGAGAGTAGCAATAAAAGCTGAGGAAATAACAACTGACAATGTATACTGATAATTCTCTTTGTTGTTGAACACGAGTGGGTGAGTTGGGCTAACACAGTATAGAACAGGATTCCAGTTATATCACGGCGAGTCAGCATGGTGAATGACTGACTGACTGACTGACTGAGTTTGGTTTTACGCCGCTTTTAGCAATATTCCAGCAATATCACTGCGGGGGGACACCAGAAATGGGCTTCACTCATTGTACCCATGTGGGGATTCGAACCTGGGTCTTCAGCGTGATGAGCCAACGCTTTAACCACTAGACTACCCCACTGCCCAGCATGGTGAATGAGGAAAGCCCCAAGTGATGCAGGCCTCAGACATTTACCACTTTGGTGAAACAAATAAGCACTGATAGGTTCCTGGCAAAGCTAGAAACATAATCTGGGAAACTAGAGATTTCATGATCATTGGTTTCTGGTGTGCCCAAGGGAGATAACTCTGCACATAAACAGGAAGCAGTTAAGAGCAGGGAGATGCTTGGCAGTATTTGTTCTCACTGAAGGAAATGACCCCAACATGGATCATCTTAAACAGACAATTAATTTGTGTGAATACATGCTGTTAGCTCATGCAGTGTTTGAATTAGGAAAGTGCACCAGTAAATGTTTATGCAGAGAGGTCAGCATTGTACACTTTTTTATTTATGTAATACTGAGGTGTGATTTCACAGACAGAAGCAGCAGGAATGGTGTCCTATCAACATTATACTGAGAGTGTCAATGTGACTATCATTCCCTGTAGTACGAGTATATGCGGTTTATCAATCAGTTCTTGGCTAGGTCAATAGAAAGGAGCGAGCAATATGCAAATATATTGAAAGTGATTGTAATATAAAATAGCCCAACTTACTACCAGTCTCTGCAATGAATATCCCAAAAATAAAATTAAGTGTGGAAAAAAGTTAACAAACCAAAACAAAAAAACACATCAAAATCACATGCATCCAATTAATATTTGTCTTCATATGATAACACCCATTGATATAGACACACAGAGAAGTCATTGTCTCTCTTTGCCAGCAACAATGACCCTTAATATTCTTGTCAACTCTAAACTCAACCATCCTTATTGCTTTGAATGTATAACAAGAAGTAGCATTTTATTCGGAACTGGTTATTTATTAGAGGTGAGGTGAGGTGAAATTGGGTTTAACGTCGTGCTTGAGAATATTTCGCTCATATGACGACGTGCATGCGTGTGTATGTGTATGTGCGGCTGCTTGTACTAGCCCAGACTGAAGCTGGTTTTATAGTGCTAGCGAAGCATGAATACCCCACTCAGACACATTATACTGACTCCGAGCCGACCAGTCCTTGTTGAACCCATTAATGCCGAGCGCCAGGCAGGGACCAACAAGTACCATATTTTAACGTCTTTTGGTATGACGCGGTCAGGGATCGAACCCGTGACCTTCCGCTCTCCGGGCGGACGCTCTAACCACTACAGCAGGGAGACGGTCCTATTTATTAGAGAGGGGTAAGGGGAGTGTAAGGGGGAGGGGTGAAATTGGTCTTAGGATGGTCTCTCCACTACCACATCCTCACAAGAAATATTTTATCTAGTATTCCAACTATGTGACAGCAACTTGTAAATAATTCAGTCAAAACCACTGACTGATATAATGAGCACTGCTCAGTAGTTAGGACATGATGACTAAGTCACTGACCACCTGCCTCACTAAGTCCAATCCAGTGACCAGCACAAATTGTCTGATTCTATCCTGGAATCCTCATAGGGCGTACAGCTAGTGAGTAGAGGATGTTTGTACACACTGCTTTCAGCAATGTAACAGCAATATCACACACTGTGCCCATGTGGGGAATCAAACCAGGTCTCATGTAACAAGGGAACACTTGAACCACTAGGCTACCCTACTACCCTTTTCCAACAGGTGTGAGAAATTCAAACATTGTCAGACTTGCTGAAGTAAAGCAGGTAGGACAGGTTTGAAGCCTATTGCCGTATATCTGCATTCTACTTGTACTACAACTGTCTGTCCTGGATCTTGATTTGTATGCTGTATATTAACTGACTTTCAATGCGGACACTGTGATACTTTGTATTTGTAAGAGTTAATGTCGTACTTCAATTTTAACAATGTTCAAGGGGCATTGTGATTTTAACCATATTCTAAAAAATCAGTAAACAGAGATGTATCACTATATAACAGGAACACGTAGCATATTTTGGATTTTTTGTCCAGTGCTGTGAGTATCAGACATATTTTTATTCTGAGTATGTTTCATGTTGTAGTAATGATATTCTATATTTGTAACCTAGACCTCAGTCATATCACCGATCACCAAACACATGCGTTGACACACAGAGGCATGCATGTTGTAAAGAGTTTTACCTCCTCCATTAGAGAACTCGGCCAAGTTGGTCCCCCAGGGCATCTTCGTCCCCCAGGAGCACGGGCCTGGCTTCTTGTCCACCTCCTTGATGTAGCCAGAGAACACCCTGGAAAGCAGTTGTCAGGTAAAGTGTACACTCTTGTAATATTAAAGCAGTTGTCAGGTAAAGTGCACACTCTTGTAAGATTAAAGGAGTTGACAGGTAAAGTGTACTCTCTTGTAAGATTAAAGCAGTTGTTAGGTAAGGTCAACACTCTTGTAAGATTAAAGCAGTTGTTAATCTCTGCACATGTAACTTATTACGATAATGAATGAAAAGTTAGGGATCAAGTACCCAGACAAACATGACAGAGATACTAGTCTCTGAAATGTTGCACTGAAAAAATATAGACGTTAAAATCCAAAAGTCAACCCATTAAACTGGATTTAAAGAGATTGTAGCAATATGACTATTGAAAGTCTATGCTAAGAGAGATATCAGAGCCCGTCCCACCGTCCTTGGACGTTCTATTTTTGTGAAGGACGGTCTATTAAATATGTAAGGCCGTCCTTTGGTCGGGGGGAAATATTTGAAACAAATAAACTTAACTGAACTGGTTTGAACTTCGTCTTAGCAATCATGTTCTTTCTCGTTTTCCTTTCAACATTTGCTGATTTTGTATTGTTTCAGTTTTTGGGACTGGCTGTGTTTGCTCAGGACTGGTCACTTTTGTGGACAGCCAGTCCTTGGACAGGTCACATTTCAAAACTATTTTATACACTGCCTTTATGATCACTTGTGGAACAAGTCTTTAGACATTTGTAGATGCCATACATTACTTACAAGTACTGACTACCTATTATCATGATCATGGCACACAGCCTTGTGTCCATCAGAGCAATACTTGACAGGTAAAGTGTACTCTCTTGTAAGATTAAAGCAGTTGTTAGGTAAGGTCAACACTCTTGTAAGATTAAAGCAGTTGTTAATCTCTGCACATGTAACTTATTACGATAATGAATGAAAAGTTAGGGATCAAGTACCCAGACAAACATGACAGAGATACTAGTCTCTGAAATGTTGCACTGAAAAAATATAGACGTTAAAATCCAAAAGTCAACCCATTAAACTGGATTTAAAGAGATTGTAGCAATATGACTATTGAAAGTCTATGCTAAGAGAGATATCAGAGCCCGTCCCACCGTCCTTGACGTTCTATTTTTGTGAAGGACGGTCTATTAAATATGTAAGGCCGTCCTTTGGTCGGGGGGAAATATTTGAAACAAATAAACTTAACTGAACTGGTTTGAACTTCGTCTTAGCAATCATGTTCTTTCTCGTTTTCCTTTCAACATTTGCTGATTTTGTATTGTTTCAGTTTTTGGGACTGGCTGTGTTTGCTCAGGACTGGTCACTTTTGTGGACAGCCAGTCCTTGGACAGGTCACATTTCAAAACTATTTTATACACTGCCTTTATGATCACTTGTGGAACAAGTCTTTAGACATTTGTAGATGCCATACATTACTTACAAGTACTGACTACCTATTATCATGATCATGGCACACAGCCTTGTGTCCATCAGAGCAATACTGAAGGAAAGAGTCTTTGGGTTAAGATCTAAACCTACCTATGATTATTCATAGTTCACTGGTGCATGTTGATGATCTCCTGATCTGCTGGGCCAGTTCCCATCTTGTAATCTCATGCAATACACAGATTATCCCATCACATCACTTTTACTGGTGTGCTCTAAATGGCCACGTCACCTCAAGCCTTATGTCTTGGCATGCACATCCTGCAGCTTGTAAAATCCATCACACGTTTAACAACACAGATAACTCATTAATACTTGAACTGCGGTTACCATGGTTAGATAAAAGTAAATGTGTTACCTGGCTTTGAAGTCGGAGGAGCCGGCAGCGATCAGCACATTGTTGGCATGCCAGTCCAAGCTGAGGAAGTCAAACAGATAGTCAATCATACATGTCTATCAGACAGGTCTATCAGACAAGTCAATCATACATGTCTGTCAGACAAGTCAAACATACATTTCTGTCAGACAGGTCAATCATACATGTCTGTCAGACAGATCAATACATGTCTATCAGACAGGTCAATCATACATGTCTGTCAGACAGGTCAATCATACATTTGTGTCAGACAGTCAATCATACATTTGTGTCAGACAGGTCAATCATACATTTGTGTCAGACAGGTCAATCATACAAGTCTATCAGACAGGTCAATCATACATGTCTATCAGACAAGTCAATCATACATGATTGACATACAAATCAATCATACATGTCTGTCAGACAGGTCAATCATACATGTCTATCAGACAGGTCAATCATACATGTCTGTCAGACAGGTCAATCATACATTTCTGTCAGACAGGTCAATCATACATTTGTGTCCGACAGGTCAATCATACATGTCTATCAGACAAGTCAATCATACATGATTGACATACAAATCAATCATACATGTCTGTCAGACAAATCAATCATACATGTCTATCAGACATTTCAATCAAACATGATTGACAGACAAGTCAATCATACATGTCTATCAGATAATTCAATCATACATGCCTGACAGACAAGTCAATCATACACATCATGATAAGTCCATCACACATGTAGTTTTGACAAAAGATCCTACATATCTGTCAGACCATATGGACAAGAAACTGCAACAAGCACATTAAAATAATACAGTAACTGATTTCATAGAATTCTAACAACAACAAAAATTAAATTCTTCCTCACTTCGGGTATGTCTTGAATTATAATTTGTCAAACAAGTAATTACACTGGTCATCAAGTTTACCAGTAATCATTTGGATAAATATAGATAAGGAAATCAAATAATTCCAAAGCATTTGATTGGTCATCTATATCCACCTACCATGTGACAGTGGACCTGATTGGCTTCTTGATGTGCTTGCTGACCCACCAGTTGTTGTCCTCCTCGTAGTACGACACAGAGATGAGACGAGCACCGCTACCCACGGCAAACTTGTTCTCTGGGGAGGAAGGTCATATAGCAGAGAGTTCACCACCACTTCCACTGTATATCAGTTGTATCAATAAAGGATGTATACAGACCCTACGATCGGCAGATGAAAGGTGACACAGCTACAGAAGACTGAAGGATCATCATGAATTAGTCGAAAAATGTTCTAATATACGTATAAGACAATGACCACATGCCTGTAGTACAACAATATGCACATTACTACCTACACCAAACTTCCAAGCCATCAGTCCTGACACTTGGTGGGTGAACTCACATGCAAGATATACAGCACAAAAGAACCATATTTCAAAGATTGTAAAATATTGTACAACAGAGTGCAGGGAATATCGTTATAACTGAAGAACCCTACAACCTACACTTGCCAAAGAATTGCTGACCTGCATGAGTGTTTAGATCTTTGATTCAGGATCATTATGAGAGTCTATTAATAAGGTAGAATTACATATGTTACATAGAATTACTAAACTTGAGTGTCAAAATACCATGTGAAAGTTCCCCCCTACTCACCTTGTGGTGACCACTTGACACAAGTGGCAGCCCGGTTGATCCTCAGAATCACCAGCATCGGCTTCCATTTCCCGTTACTCTCCAAGCTCCACACATAAGCATTACGATCCTGGAGCAGAGATAAATGCCATGTTTGCATACGAAGTTTTACATGATGCCAAATTCCTCTGTATTTTGTGAAAACATTGTGTAAAATACTCCCAGGGTGCCGTTGTACAAAGTGATCTTTGAGCTAAGGTGACCGTAACTCCCATACCTTAACATAGACTTAAGGTCACCTTATCGCTAAGGTTGTTTTGTACAACGGCACCCAGAAGATTTTCAAACAAGTCAAATGACTCCCCAAAACATGTACTATGAGTATTTTTCAAAGTCTATGAAAATCTCAATAACAACCACACCTTAAAATGTTCAGTACTATGAAGTTAATGACATGATCATATTTACAAACATATTGTATACCTGCTTGAAAAAACAAATTACGACAGGTATCTTTTTTCCCCAAGCACTAACAAGTTTAAAGATGAAAGTTGTAGTGGAATAAATAGTCTTATACAGTTATAAGCAGCAATTATATATATCATTGCTGAAAACAGCCTTGTAGTCAAATATCTGAGAAGTTTTACATGAAATCTCTAAGAGTGGATATTGTGCTGCCAAACCAAAACCCCTCAGAATCCTTTATGCCACCTGTGCTCTAATGAACATCCAGTCCATGATGACATTTATGAATGGGGCTAAAGCGCACTTTACTGGGCGCAGCCCTCATGGCTCGCTGCGGGGCAATTATCGTGCTATAGCGCTACTGCGCTGTCTCGATATATTGCGGTAATTGCTCCGTCTCCCTTCACTGACAGTCAACCATCCTCAGGGTTGAGGGTTAGGTGCCATTTCTGATCCTTAGAGAGCTGACACATCTTTAGAGTCAAACATCCCTTTACGATCCTTAGGGTTAAGGTATAGGGTTAGGGTATGGCACCCTTTCCGATCCTTAGGGTTGGAAGTGGGGTAAGGTTTGGGAACCCTTCAGATTCCTTAGGGTTAGGGACCCTTTCTGATCCTTATTTAGGGTGAGACCTTACAAGTTACATTGGGGCAGTGTAATCCTATTATATCCAAATGAAACACATTACGCCTCATCTGGAACTCGTCAGTTCAGTCCAAGAAACAATGTCGCGAAAAGAAATCAATGGGAAGGACGTGGCACAGTGAGGCAGAAGCACAATGGTTTGTTTTCATATTTGCGCTTCCGTCTCACCTCTGTGCTAATGACCCGTCAAACGAGCACTCATTAACTGTGATAGCGCTCATGGTCCCAAGGTTGAGCGTCTACTAATTAACGAAGTCAGTAATCCTAGGAAGCGCATTCAAGCCTCTGCAGCGGTAATAAATCTGAAAAAGTGCGCCTGGTAAAGTGCACTACTCCAATGAACGGTAGCCTGAACCTTTCTGCAGGAATGAGGACAAAAACATGGTACTCACTGCTCCACATGTAACGATGCGGTTGCTGTTGGGAGCCCAGTCAATGCCGGTGACTCGCTGACCATGTTCGGTCAGTGTATCGGCCAACTGCCACTTGGTGCCAGCCTGCTTGTAAATCTTCACCTCAGGACTTTTCTGTGACAAGACCAGGCCTGGAGAAACAATGTCACATGGATAGATCAATGTGTGAACTGACTGGTGTGTCTTGAGAGGCTCAATATGAGTCATGAGCAGATCAATGTGAGTCATGAGTGGATCAGTGTGTCATGAGTGGATCAATGAACTTCATGAGTGGATCAGTGTGTGTGTGATGAGTGGATCAATGAACTTTATGAGTGGATCAATGTGTGTGATGAATGGATAAATGTGTGTGATGAGTGGATCAATGTGAGTCACGAGTCGATCAATGTGTGTGATGAGTAGATCAATGTGAGTCATGAGTGGATCAATTCATGTGAAATGGCTGGAATGAGTGTCATGAGTGGATCAATCTGTGAAATGAATAGATCAGTATGTGAAATGGCTGGAATGTGTGTCATGATTGGATCAATCTGTGAAATGAATAGATCAGTATGTGAAATGGCTGGAATGTGTGTCATGACAGAATCAATGTGTGATATAAGGTGATCAATGGGTGTGATCACTGGTTCCATACGTGACATGATCAAGGTGTGGCATGACTGGCTAATGGTGGTGCAACACTATGAAGTTTCCAGATTGAGATTCTCTTGTGCATTGGTATAAAGTTGAAAGATTTATGGATCCTGGTACAAAACCTTGGGTTGCTGGGGCACCTGTTCCCTGAACAGTACAACATAGTTGTGTACAACCATTCTCTTTGTGTACAACCATAAAAAAAACAACATGAACATGCTTATTATGTTTATAAAATCATCGAATGGAATTTGTCACATCAACTTCAAGTACATAAAAATGTATACCTTTGCGATCGCCGCTGAAGGCATGGCATGTCACAGGATCCATTCCAAAGTTGTGTTTTTCAGACATGGTTGCTTTTTCTTAACAATGGTTTATGAAATCTGAAATAACAAAATCATCAGACCTATCATTGATCTTGCTAATAGTATGCATATTGAGCCTTTGCTGCATACAATTAAAATCTACACTACTGTCAACGGTCAAAGATGCTCGAGCATAACATTATAAATGCTCAGTATTATTCTAGCTTTATAGCGATAGTTTGTAAATTATGTAAACAATCAAGTCTGGACTAAACTGTCCAATATTTGAACACTGATCTATACAACAGGGCTACAATGACATGCATTAACCGAATCACTGAGCCCGACAACCTGATGGTGTTGTCACCTTTTACACCCAGATCTCAATAAGACCATCATTGCCTACAATGCTTAAAGCTCCACGCCAGACAATTATTGTTGATAACTTTTTTTATACGTTTCAAACCCCAAAATATTGTGCCTATTAACGATTTTTAAATATTACATCTCCCTAATCGATATGTCTTAGATCTATAAGCAACTTATCATCATGATCATGCAGATAAGGACAGTCAGGAAACTTCCTCAACACCAGGAAGGGCGAAGTGAGTAAGGTGTTAACCTGGCACAAGCGACGTTGAAGTCCAAGCAATGGACGATCATTTTGACTTATTTAGCTTCTTTTTTGGTCATAACATTTGAGAATTAAAAGTGATCTGGCAACACAAGAATACAAATATCTAAATGAGTAGATGTCTCAATTACAGAATCGAGACCAAGACTGAGGAACACCGCCATTGTGAAGTTTATCGAGACTAGTCACCGTCCGAAATTGTGACCACTTTGATCTAGCTTGAAACCTCTTTGAATGATGAGAATATTTCTTTTCAAATGAGATCGATCTGCTCTACAAGTACATGAAATGCTTAGTTATGCTTACCTCTCAATATATGAAGAAAATAGAGAATCCGCGGACTGGTCAGTCTACACGAATCCCCTTTGCACGAGTAAGAAACAGGAAGTAAACCACGCCTTCACGTGATGTCCTCACTTGAGTTGCACTAACTGGGATTCTGTCTTTCTACGCGAATAAAAGCATTAAGGATGCCGCGCAAACTAACAGTGTAACCAGTTTTTTTGCAAACTCACACTTGTCAAAGTTTTGATAGACTTTTAATTTGTAGGATAGTTTTGCGAATTCATTTGATATTCTAATGGAAAGACAACGCATTTTGTATCCTAATATAAAGGAATTTGATAAACATCGTCAAGGTACATTAAGTTCTCAAATATATTGTGCCATAGAAAAATATATTTTTATCATAAACTTTATTCGAACCAGAGAATATATGCTTTTTATGAATACAATTATGGATAAAGTTTCAAATATATATATATATATATATATATATATATCCATTGATCACCTTATATCACTCATTGATTCTGTCATGACAAATATTCCAGCCATTTCACATACTGATCTATGTATATATACATGTATATAATTACAGTAATTACTGTAAATATATAAAGATGAACCCAAACCTCAACAGAAACACATTGTCTGTTGGTTTTCCTTGAATCTTTTCCAAGTGTCTTTCAGTCTCTATCCAATGCCCCATGGACATATAACGAGTCCTTCGGTAAAAAAGTTGCTCACCCATATGAGTGTTTATTTCTTATTTGATTATTTGCTCCGGAAACGCATTTTTCACGAAATCAGTGTGTAAATATCTTGATGGGACACAATATAATAGATTATTACAGCGACCTTCCATTTCATGTGCGCATTAAAACTAGCGCGATACACGCCCATCTTGTGAGAACATCAGGCTCATGTTTTCTTCAGCCAATAATGCGTTATTTTCGTTATCTAGACATCAAGGAAGAACGATAATGAAATAAACTTACCGTATTTTTAAACTCCAAGGGAATGATTATTGAGATAGATGCCCGGCAGTATCAACATTATTGTGAGCTGGCACAAAGCTCTCCGAACTGCAGTCGGTTTGGTTGCGCTAGATATATCTGTAGAATGTGCTTAAGGTACTGGTCAGTGCCACTGACCGATATAATCGTTGGAGCCGCCGAAATATAACCCGTCTCCATAGCAACGCTCATTTCACTGCATAGCACTCTTCTCGGGGTCTATAGTGTCGGCGTCAGCAGCATAAACATCCCAGACGCTATATGCTAATCACACCAGACATTTGTTGCAAGAACATATATGTAGATAACTGTTCATAGAAAAGGACTGTGATTAGGGTTCATAACACGCACAGGGGCGTGTCACTCTTAGAACCACCGTTAGAAAGATGTATAGGTATGTAGACCCTACCCTAGTTCTATATACCTATATGTCTTTCTAACGCTGTTTCTAAGCGTGACACGCCCCTGTGATAACACGCGGAGCGGGACTCTAGATAGAGGCCTGTAGGGTTCATAACACACGGAGCGGGACTCTAGATAGAGGCCTGTAGGGTTCATAACACGCGGAGCGGGACTCTAGATAGAGGTCTGTAGGGTTCATAACACGCGTAGCGGGACTCTAGATAGAGGCCTGTAGGGTTCATAACACGCGGAGCGGGACTCTAGATAGAGGCCTGTAGGGTTCATAACACGCAGAGCGGGACTCTAGATAGAGGCCTGTAGGGTTCATAACATGTGGAGCGAGACTCTAGATAGAGGCCTGTAGGGTTCATAACACACGGAGCGGGACTCTAGATAGAGGCCTGTAGGGTTCATAACACGCGGAGCGGGACTCTAGATAGAGGCCTGTAGGGTTCATAACACGTGGAGCGGGACTCTAGATAGAGGCCTGTAGGGTTTATAACACGTGGAGCGGGACTCTAGATAGAGGCCTGTAGGGTTTATAACACGCGGAGCGGGACTCTAGATAGAGGTCTGTAGGGTTCATAACACGCAGAGCGGGACTCTAGATAGTGGTCTGTAGGGTTCATAACACGCGGAGCGGGACTCTAGATAGAGGCCTGTAGGGTTCATAACACACGGAGCGGGACTCTAGATAGAGGCCTGTAGGGTTCATAACACGCGGAGCGGGACTCTAGATAGAGGCCTGTAGGGTTCATAACACGCAGAGCGGGACTCTAGATAGAGGCCTGTAGGGTTTTATAACACGTGGGCAGGACTCTAGATAGAGGCCTGTAGGGTTCATAACACGCGGAGCGGGACTCTAGATAGAGGTCTGTAGGGTTCATAACACGCAGAGCGGGACTCTAGATAGTGGTCTGTAGGGTTCATAACACGCTGAGCGGGACTCTAGATAGAGGCCTGTAGGGTTCATAACACACGGAGCGGGACTCTAGATAGAGGCCTGTAGGGTTCATAACACACGGAGCGGGACTCTAGATAGAGGCCTGTAGGGTTCATAGCACGCGGAGGCCTGTAGGGTTAATAACACGCGGAGCGGGACTCTAGATAGAGGCCTGTAGGGTTCATAACACGTGGAGCGGGACTCTAGATAGAGGCCTGTAGGGTTCATAGCACGCGGAGGCCTGTAGGGTTAATAACACGCGGAGCGGGACTCTAGATAGAGGCCTGTAGGGTTCATAACACGTGGAGCGGGACTCTAGATAGAGGCCTGTAGGGTTCATAGCACGCGGAGGCCTGTAGGGTTCATAACACGCGGAGCGGGACTCTAGATAGAGGCCTGTAGGGTTCATAGCACGCGGAGGCCTGTAGGGTTCATAACACGCGGAACGGGACTCTAGATAGAGGCCTGTAGGGTTCATAGCACGCGGAGCGGGACTCTAGATAGAGGCCTGTAGGGTTCATAACACGTGGAGCGGGACTCTAGATAGAGGCCTGTAGGGTTCATAGCACGCGGGCAGGACTCTAGATAGAGGCCTGTAGGGTACATAACACGCGGAGCGGGACTCTAGATAGAGGCCTGTAGGGTTCATAGCACGCGGAGGCCTGTAGGGTTCATAACACTTGGAGCGGGACTCTAGATAGAGGCCTGTAGGGTTCATAGCACGCGGAGCGGGACTCTAGATAGAGGCCTGTAGGGTTCATAACACGCGGAGCGGGACTCTAGATAGAGGCCTGTAGGGTTCATAGCACGCGGAGGCCTGTAGGGTTCATAACACGCGGAGCGGGACTCTAGATAGAGGCCTGTAGGGTTCATAACACGCGGAGCGGGACTCTAGATAGAGGCCTGTAGGGTTCATAGCACACGGAGGCCTGTAGGGTACATAACACGCGTAGCGGGACTCTAGATAGAGGCCTGTAGGGTACATAACACGCGGAGCGGGACTCTAGATAGAGGCCTGTAGGGTTCATAACACGTGGAGGCAGGACTCTAGATAGAGGCCTGTAGGGTTCATAACACGTGGAGGCGGGACTCTAGATAGAGGCCTGTAGGGTTCATAACACACGGAGCGGGACTCTAGATAGAGGCCTGTAGGGTTCATAACACGTGGAGCAGGACTCTAGATAGAGGCCTGTAGGGTTTATAACACGCGGAGCGGGACTCTAGATAGAGGCCTGTAGGGTTCATAACACGCGGAGCGGGACTCTAGATAGAGGCCTGTAGGGTTTATAACACGCTGAGCGGGACTCTAGATAGAGGCCTGTAGGGTTCATAACACACGGAGCGGGACTCTAGATAGAGGCCTGTAGGGTTCATAACACGCTGAGCGGGACTCTAGATAGAGGCCTGTAGGGTTCATAACACACGGAGCGGGACTCTAGATAGAGGCCTGTAGGGTTCATAACACACGGAGCGGGACTCTAGATAGAGGCCTGTAGGGTTCATAGCACGCGGAGGCCTGTAGGGTTCATAACACGCGGAGCGGGACTCTAGATAGAGGCCTGTAGGGTTCATAGCACGCGGAGCGGGACTCTAGATAGAGGCCTGTAGGGTTCATAATACGTGGAGCGGGACTCTAGATAGAGGCCTGTAGGGTTCATAGCACGCGGAGGCCTGTAGGGTTCATAACACGCGGAGCGGGACTCTAGATAGAGGCCTGTAGGGTTCATAGCACGCGGAGCGGGATTCTAGATAGAGGCCTGTAGGGTACATAACACGCGGAGCGGGACTCTAGATAGAGGCCTGTAGGGTTCATAGCACGCGGAGGCCTGTAGGGTTCATAACACGCGGAGCGGGACTCTAGATAGAGGCCTGTAGGGTTCATAACACGCGGAGCGGGACTCTAGATAGAGGCCTGTAGGGTTCATAGCACACGGAGGCCTGTAGGGTACATAACACGCGTAGCGGGACTCGAGATAGAGGCCTGTAGGGTTCATAGCACGCGGAGGCCTGTAGGGTTCATAACACACGGAGCGGGACTCTAGATAGAGGCCTGTAGGGTACATAACACGCGGAGCGGGACTCTAGATAGAGGCCTGTAGGGTTCATAGCACGCGGAGGCCTGTAGGGTTAATAACACGCGGAGCCGGACTCTAGATAGAGGCCTGTAGGGTTCATAACACGTGGAGCAGGACTCTAGATAGAGGCCTGTAGGGTTCATAGCACGCCGGAGGCCTGTAGGGTTCATAACACGCGGAGCGGACTCTAGATAGAGGCCTGTAGGGTTCATAGCACGCGGAGGCCTGTAGGGTTCATAACACGCGGAACGGGACTCTAGATAGAGGCCTGTAGGGTTCATAGCACGCGTGAGCTGGACTCTAGATAGAGGCCTGTAGGGTTCATAACACGTGGAGCAGGACTCTAGATAGAGGCCTGTAGGGTTCATAGCACGCGGAGGCCTGTAGGGTTCATAACACGCGGAGCGGGACTCTAGATAGAGGCCTGTAGGGTTCATAGCACGCGGAGCGGGACTCTAGATAGAGGCCTGTAGGGTACATAACACGCGGAGCGGGACTCTAGATAGAGGCCTGTAGGGTTCATAGCACGCGGAGGCCTGTAGGGTTCATAACACGCATGAGCGGGACTCTAGATAGAGGCCTGTAGGGTTCATAACACGCGGAGCGGGACTCTAGATAGAGGCCTGTAAGGTTCATAGCACACGGAGGCCTGTAGGGTACATAACACGCGTAGCGGGACTCTAGATAGAGGCCTGTAGGGTTCATAGCACGCGGAGGCCTGTAGGGTTCATAACACACGGAGCGGGACTCTAGATAGAGGCCTGTAGGGTACATAACACGCGGAGCGGGACTCTAGATAGAGGCCTGTAGGGTTCATAACACGCGGAGCGGACTCTAGATAGAGGCCTGTAGGGTTCATAACACGTGGAGCAGGACTCTAGATAGAGGCCTGTAGGGTTCATAACACACGGAGCAGGACTCTAGATAGAGGCCTGTAGGGTTCATAACACGTGGAGCGGGACTCTAGATAGAGGCCTGTAGGGTTTATAACACGCGGAGCGGGACTCTAGATAGAGGCCTGTAGGGTTCATAACACGCGGAGCGGGACTCTAGATAGAGGCCTGTAGGGTTTATAACACGCAGAGCGGGACTCTAGAGATAGAGGCCTGTAGGGTTCATAACACACGGAGCGGGACTCTAGATAGAGGCCTGTAGGGTTCATAACACGCGGAGCGGGACTCTAGATAGAGGCCTGTAGGGTTCATAACACGCTGAGCGGGACTCTAGATAGAGGCCTGTAGGGTTCATAACACACGGAGCGGGACTCTAGATAGAGGCCTGTAGGGTTCATAACACACGGAGCGGGACTCTAGATAGAGGCCTGTAGGGTTCATAGCACGCGGAGGCCTGTAGGGTTAATAACACGCGGAGCGGGACTCTAGATAGAGGCCTGTAGGGTTCATAACACGTGGAGCGGGACTCTAGATAGAGGCCTGTAGGGTTCATAGCACGCGGAGGCCTGTAGGGTTCATAACACGCGGAGCGGGACTCTAGATAGAGGCCTGTAGGGTTCATAGCACGCGGAGCAGGACTCTAGATAGAGGCCTGTAGGGTTCATAACACGTGGAGCGGGACTCTAGATAGAGGCCTGTAGGGTTCATAGCACGCGGAGGCCTGTAGGGTTCATAACACGCGGAGCGGGACTCTAGATAGAGGCCTGTAGGGTTCATAACACGCGGAGCGGGACTCTAGATAGAGGCCTGTAGGGTTCATAGCACACGGAGGCCTGTAGGGTACATAACACGCGTAGCGGGACTCTAGATAGAGGCCTGTAGGGTTCATAGCACGCGGAGGCCTGTAGGGTTCATAACACACGGAGCGGGACTCTAGATAGAGGCCTGTAGGGTACATAACACGCGGAGCGGGACTCTAGATAGAGGCCTGTAGGGTTCATAACACGCGGAGCGGGACTCTAGATAGAGGCCTGTAGGGTTCATAACACGTGGAGCGGGACTCTAGATAGAGGCCTGTAGGGTTCATAACACACGGAGCGGGACTCTAGATAGAGGCCTGTAGGGTTCATAACACGTGGAGCGGGACTCTAGATAGAGGCCTGTAGGGTTTATAACACGCGGAGCGGGACTCTAGATAGAGGCCTGTAGGGTTCATAACACGCGGAGCGGGACTCTAGATAGAGGCCTGTAGGGTTTTAACACGCAGAGCGGGACTCTAGATAGAGGCCTGTAGGGTTCATAACACGCGGAGCGGGACTCTAGATAGAGGCCTGTAGGGTTCATAACACACGGAGCGGGACTCTAGATAGAGGCCTGTAGGGTTCATAACACGCGGAGCGGGACTCTAGATAGAGGCCTGTAGGATTCATAGCACGCGGAGCGGGACTCTAGATAGAGGCCTGCACATGAAAAATATACTGAACATCATTGAAAACGCACCACTTATAAAAGTTCAGATTATTAAAAGAACGTGTAAGGAATTGATATTTTTTGAGTGGATAATAACAGATGTACGACTGACAAAAACAACAACACAGAAAAGACGCTCATTCATTGAAATGTTCCACAGTCAGAAAGGATCAAACACACGTGGGGTCAAATCGAAAAGTCAATATCGCGTGTGACCGCCATTTGCATTGACACATGCAGTTCAACGTCTCCTCATTGAGTCAATAGGCGTCTGCATAGAATTCTCGAGGATGGCATTCCACTTCTGCAGTAGTGCAGCCTCAAGCTCCCGGATGTTTCGCATCTTTTGTCGCCGCGAAGGACTTTGACCAATTTCGTCCCACAAGTGCTCCATGGGGGATACATCTGGCGACTGTGCTGGCCAATGAATAACCTGGATGTGTTGCTGGGCCAGATACTGCATGGAAAGGCTTGTTGTGTGTGCCCGTGCGTTGTCCTGTTGAAAAGTATGGACATCTTGGTGGTGATTGAAGACAGATACGATGTGATTCTGAATAATCTGCTAACGGTAATAAAGGGCATTAACTCTCCCTTGACAGACATGAAGGCAGTCCTGTGATAGTAATTTATTCCACCCCAGACCATGACACTCCCACCACCCTAAGGTCTGTCTGAACCACACACTCATCAGCATAACGTTCAGCACGTCTACGCCAAACACGTAATCGGCCGTCAGCATTACGTAGATGAAGACGTGACTCGTCAGTGACTACCACACCAAGCCATTGTTGTAACCTTTACTGAAAATGCTTGCTAGCCCATTGTATACGCTCAGTCAGAATTGATCCAACGTAAGGACGTCGAGCATGGAGCCCTGTAGCGTGTATAGACGGCGTCGCATGGAGTCAGCGCTGATGACCCCCACGTCAGCCTTGAACTAGTGCAGCAGTCCTGGCAGTCGGCAGTGTTCAATAACTGATATGGACATGGTCAATATGGCGATCCTGATGGAGCGTCGTAACACGTTGTTGCCAAGGTCATTGAAGGTCACGGGTGCTGCCTGTCTACTGATGTCGTCTATGAAGCCTAACGGTGGTGGAGTGGCCAAGTCCAAGTTGTCGAGCAATATCCCTGCTGCTGGTGCCAACCTGAATCATGCCTAGTGCACGTTCTCTTTCGTGAGGTGTTAACCTCGGCATCTCTGTCCTCGTTTCACAATCGTTAGTGAAGCAATGAGAATCGGTTCTGATACACCTGCTTTTAATGTCACAGTCAGTATGATTTCAGAATGAAATTCGCGCTTTTTTCATGGCGTGGCTGCATATTGATGCATTTTGGAATTAAGAGTCATACTGTGGACAGGAATTTGTTTCTAAAGCATTTTTTCAACTGGACATGCCCTTCGACTTCATGTTAGTTATATTCATTGATCATTGTCATGCTGAAATCCATCTTGATGAAAATATGGACAATTTTAGACTGGTGCGTTTTCAATGATGTTCAGTATATTTAACAACAAATTGTGTGAACTACATGTATATAGCGTCAGTGGTCCTTTGGATGAAGGGTACTCTGCAGGACACAGCTTTGAGTTACTTAACTGATAATCTGTGTCTCCTTGTGACTCTTCACGTATTCTCTAAGATTCGCTTATGCATTATGTTAGGTAAACTCTCTTTACTGGTGAGTGAGTGAGTGAGTATGGTTTTACGCCACTTTTAGCAATATTCCAGCAATATCAAGGCGGGGGACACCAGATTAGGTTTTACACATTGTACTGGTTAGTGTATTTGCGTAGGTGGGAAATGAAAAATTATAATGGACAAATATAAGTAATCAAATAATTTGCTATGCATGTTTTATTAACAGGTCACAGAAACAGTATGTACAGGACATCGTAGCCCTTTGTACTTCGCCCATCGTTTACATTGTGTGCGTACAGAGTTTGTACCTTTGATCAATAAACAAGACATATTGTGATTGTAAATCATTTTATTTCATGCGTAAAGTGCCAGTGATAGCTTAGGTGTGTGGCAGGGTACAGCATGTGGAACTCTCATGAAATATCCGCGATTTAATCAAGTGAGTTCTGAAGACACTGTAAGTAACAATACCAATCGATCCGTTGGACTGTATATGCAATCGCACTGGATCAGACAAACCAGAGGTTGACACATAATCAGCTCATATAGCTTTCCCTGTCAGTGATATATTTCTCAACGCTCCTCGGCAGCCGTTGTGACCATCCGATTCTCAGTCTCATTACAATCGGATCTTGTTTCTCCAAACTTGATTTGTGGTAGCGAGAACTAAGATCTGGGTATTACACATGTATATGAATGAGATTGATCCAGTGGGCATTCGGAATGCCAGAACAGTTATATGAAGACTGATAATCGGCGTCACACAGGCATATTTGTAGGAGGTTCAAGGAATTAGACTGTCGAGTATAGAAAAGAATTATTTCACTTAGTAGTGAGTGAGTGAGTTTTACACCGCACTCAGCAATATTCCAGCTTTATGGCGGGGGTCTGTAAATAACTGAGTCTGGACCAGACAATCCAGTGATCAACAGCATGAGCATCGACCTGCGCAATGGGGAACCGATGACATGTGGATTTGGGGTCATTATGAACATTTCAGATATTTGGAATTGTTACAACACCAACCTTTACTGGCCTTCTTCTCACTCTGGGACTGTGATCCTTCATGCAGACAACCTTCAGAATACATATGAATACTGGTAGAACAAAGTTCTCTAAGGTACGAGTAGGTATTTGTAACACATTTATTTCGTGCTGAATTAAAACTGCCAAATTAATCAGGAGTCCAGGCTTATCAAAGATTCAAATGAGTGAGTGCGTGAGTTTAGTTTTACGCCACACTCACCAATATTCCAGCTATATGGCGGGGGTCTGTAAATAATTGATTCTGGACCAGACAATCCAGTGATCAACAGCATGAGCATCGACCTGCGCAATAGGGAACCGATGACATGTGGCAATTAAGCCAGCGAGCCTGACCACCAGATCCCGTTAGTCGCCTCTTACGACAAGCATGGGTTACTGAAGGTTCATTCTAACCCGGACCTTCACGTACGTATTTCACTTAGGGAAACGATGATATGCTAACATATATGATGAAATGTGGTGCTTGTATTCGTTAGAAGGTGATAAAATACATGGAATCTCTTAGAGTAAGTACTATTTCGATTTGACCAATAGGAGCCCACCACAACAAACTTTCATGTCATACACATGGCTTGAACTTCCTTGTCAAAGTAGACGTTCAGACGTCGTAAAAATGATTCCGTGGCGCGGCGAAGTCGTTTTGATGTTATTGCTGCCGCTGTGTGCCTTGTCGGAGGATGACAACGAGCGAGTAAAGATACCGTCGCTATGTGAAGGTAGTTTTGATGGTCAGGGAGATGTTACTGACAGTTACCCTGTTACCTTTTTTGTTTACTTTGAAAATTGCTCTTCATGAATGTCCTCTCTTGTGAACAAATGTAAATGTTGGCAATTATATTTGAAAATCTGTTAAAGAAACGTGTATTACGTCTTCTCTAAGTAATTTTATCCTTCGTTTACGATTAGTGTATTGTGGAAATTCGCACAAGCAAATACGTTTTGGGTCATTTTAGTAGTAATTATATCTTCTTCCTTCCGACAGCACATGTCCGTTTTCTTTTCCGCGTTGTCGGTAATACAATAGCAGTATTGTAAAATGTCATCTTTCTCACTTTTCACCATGTTCCTACTGTGTTTTAAACCATACTGACCTTTGATTGGTTCACTAAAGTTTATCACTTATTTCATGGACTGAATCTATATAATTGCTATTATTTCAAGCAGATTCTCTTTGTTGTTATATCATTACATGTAAGGCAATAAATGCATTTTACATAATGATTTTTTCCAGTATGCAAGTTTTTGACAGTGGAGTTAAAAGACCGACTTCATGAAACTGGCAAGTCGAAAGAGGTTCTTAAGACAGGTCAAGGTCTGGTCAGTAAGAGGAAAATCAAGTATCAGACATCGTAAGTGTTACCAGGAAGGTGAAACTGGGAAAATAACAACTGAAAGCACTGTTTAACTTGTCTGTATGCTGATCTCAAGTTTTCCTTAATTGTTTAAAAACTTGTGTGCATCATCCAGGTAGTGTAATAGTAAGGCATGCAGTGTTAGTTTAATAGTAAAGTATAGATGTCATAATTTGCTTCTATATTAAAGCATACCCTGCTTTCTCAATAGTAAGTTATCTTGTGTTTGTACAGATATAGAGCTTAATATTATTCAGCAGTAAAGTATTTAGTGTTTGTTTTTTATAGTACACCTGTGAAGATCCGGGTTAGAATTGATCTTCAGTAACTCATGCCATCGTATCCCAAATGTGTAGATCGATGATCATGCTTTTGATCGCTGGATTATCTGGTCCATACTCCATTATTTACAGACAGCTGCCATATAGCTGGAATATTGCTGAGTGCGTTGTAAAACTAAACTCACTGTTTTTACAGTAAACCATAATGACACAGTGTTGTTTCTGTGGTATCGCAGTTTCAGTTTACAACAGGTTTCACTAACAGAAATTATGCATGGTTGAGTATGCTATACCATTAATGACAAGGTCATTCTGCAGCCTATCTGACATTTGAAGTTTGACATTCCCTGTTATCCAAGGAATATACCCACGTAAATAATGTCTCTTCTTCGGTTTCATTAGTTGAATGTAACAGACATGCAACAACATCTAATGCAATCAAGAGAGGGTTATGCATTCATTTATTTCCAGAGAGCTGCGTTTGATTGAAGCTCTGCAGGAGCCTCATGTATGTGAGAAGATCTTAGAGTACAACATCCATGCAGAGAAGGAGGGCAGTAAGCGGTATGCCAAGGGAAGGAGCGAGACGATGGAGACACTGCATGGCCTGGTGTAAGTGGTGATAGTGATTGGTTACCTCTGGCTGACAAGGACCTTCTTGGTGTTCAGTTCTCAACAGTCTCATGCAGTAGTGAAAACTTAGCATTTCTAGTGTAATTACTGAGGAATGTATTGCTTGGTTTATTCAACACTGCTTAATGATGTACAGATAAACAATTTCAAAGAGATTATAAGAACACATTAATAGGTCCAAAATGATTTCTGATTAAGAGTAATGAATTTGTATCTTGCCTGTACTGAAAGTGTGACTTTCGTATAAGTTTCTAAATCTACTCTGAGGTCATACAGTCTCAGGTGATGAAACTTAATGCCCCTATTTCCCAAAATACGGGTCTCTTTTAAACTTGTCTATTTGAAATATATATGCAGTAAGTTTGTAGTATTCCCAATATGTAATAGCTGTCAAATGAAGTTTGTCACTTACACAGTTATTAATGAAGAATTTATATTTCAAATATACACTCAATTCAGCTGGTTACGAAGTCTGATGTATAGAAACTGTTAATGTCAGGGATGAGGGCAATTCTCAACCAAGTTTGGGACAAGTAGCATCATTTGTTCTTTGCTGTGTGTTCTTGTAGTGCCAAGGGTGTGAAGGTGGAACTGGGGATGCCCTATGAGATGTGGGACAAACCATCAGCAGAGGTCACTCACATGCAGAGAAAGGTAGGTCAAGATCACCTGTAATATCAATCACTGGTTTTGTCTGGTCCACTATCATATAGCTATATAGCAGTTGGATGCATCATCACCCTTAGATGTACCATCAAATTATAACATTTTACTATTCATCTTCCAATATAGTGTTTTATAAAATACTAATGTATATCTTTGTATTGATACAAATCATCACTTGGCACAACAGAACATTTCATGCACCAATCTTAAGTTAATCACTACACACATCATCGGGTGTTCTGCATTCAGCTGCTGATATAGTCTTAAGCTGACTTCTCAGTACAGAGGTTGTATGTTTCAGTGTTTCTCTATTGTGGAGGATTATGAGGATGACATAGAGACCTGGTACTACCATCATCAGGACCGCGACTTGACACAGTATCTGTGCGAGGAGAGGGTGCTCAATAAAGCTGATACAGGTATTAGTGATGCACCCTTCTCACAGACTTGTTTGACACATGTTATTGTGTCCCATTTTATTATTATTATTTGTGTAGATCGATGCGCATGCTGTTGATCACTGGATTATCTGGTCCAGAATCAATTATTTACAGACCTCCGCCATATAGCTGGAATATTGGTGAGTGTGGCGTAAAACTAAACTCACGCACTCACTCATTTGAATCTTTGATAAGCCTGGACTCCTGATTAATTTGGCAGTTTTAATTCAGCACGAAATAGATGTGTTACAAATACCTACTCGTACCTTAGAGAACTTTGTTCTACCAGTATTCATATGTATTCTGAAGGTTGTCTGGATGAAGGATCACAGTCCCATAGTGAGAAGAAGGCCAGTAAAGGTTGGTGTTGTAACAATTCCAAATATCTGAAATGTTCATAATGACCCCAAATCCATAATTATTGTGGGTATCTAGTTACACTATTTGCTTGCAGAACTACCTGTTGACACATTTAGATGTCTTAATATTGTCTTTCCAAGGACATGATACAAATAATCATTTCTGACATATAGTACATATATATCACCATATGTGACATACTATATGTATGTGATATACGATGCAAATAAAGCATATTATGTGACAAACAATACATGTATGAGTATATATCATACATGACAGAAGATTCTGGTACATATATATCATCATAGGTAAAAACAGATGCATATACATCATGTAAGACATACAATACATGTGTTTTGTGTCATCCAATAGTGGATTTATTTTGATTCAAGATTAAATCAAATCAGTGTGTGAAGAAACAATAATGTTAATTTCTAATTTCAGGAAACCTGAAGGGTGACACTGGTTCAACTGATAACCTGTCTGATGAGGTTCCTGTAGTCAGTGATGATGACCATGATGAACTTTGACCTTAGCCCCCCTCCCAATCATTCATGATTTCATTCATCTTGAACCATTTTCCGTGAGCTGTCCTTGGCGAGTGTTTGTGAGAGAGTTAACAGGGGTTCAAGGGAAATGGTGCAGAGTAAAGATGGAAGTACACTTAAACTTCCTTTCCCCAAAACACGAACATTGCTTTAAGAAAAGATGTGTAATTTGTGATGCCTGCAGAATTGTCAGTAGTACTGTGGTTGGATACTGGCATTCAGTTGCCAACAAACTACTGAGTGAGTGAGTGAGTGAGTGAGCGAGCGAGCAGCAACAGAGGTCTCTCTTTTTGAAGATCTTAATCAGCTTAAGAGGTTAACATTGTTTGAAATGCAATGCTTCTTATTTTTTGTAAGAGTGTTGATCTGCTTTAATAATGCGTTTTCCTTTGTTGTCTTAAGTTTCAGCAAGATGTATTTCAGTTTTCAACATGTAATTATATGTGATGGTATCCATGTACTGGTCAGTTCCTACTCTAGGTCCCCTGCTGTTGGTAGTGCGCTGTGTATTAAACTCATATATCCCTAGGAGTCCAAAGATGAAGCTTGACGTCACCTTTCGGTGGCCTACTGACACCAGCAGTGTAATGTTGTGTTAGGTAGTTGTACTGAAGCAGTCTCATCACAGGTCAAGGTCATTCATTCTGTAATTCAGCCATTAGGTCATCTAACCCTGCAAGTATTACCGACTATTGTGTCCACATTTCATCTACTCCAGCAAGGCAGTGCAGGATATTTATTGGGCGCAAACGGGGCAGGCGCTTCAGGAACATCTTTGGTCACTATGTTTGGGGACAGATAATTTCTTGGATGGGACTCCCATGAAGGTCAGGATTGGTCTTCAGCAGGCCATGCTTGTAAGAGGCTCTTCATGACAATCACTGGATTCTCTGGTCCAGACTCACTATTTACAGACCACTGTCACATGGCTGGCATATTGCTGAGTGTGACAAACAAACCTAGTCATCGGTGTGGGTTGTTTTTGCAGCAAGATATGATGTTTACCGAATTAAATATGTTCAGAAAGAAATGTTGACTGAGAATTTGAAGAAGACCATCCACAAGTTATAAAAATGTCTAAGTAACTTTAACTTGGCAAAACTAAAATACTCTCCTAGTTTGCAGAGTAAACAGCCATTGATTGATAGCCAGCTCCAATATGACGTGCCATATATATATATCGACATTCCATCAAACTTCATTCTGTCTTCACATGCTCTTTGCCTATATTCCCATTTGCCAATGACTCACCTGATTTAACAAGAACTGGAGCCTTGCAATGAAGCATTTATAACAATTTTACAAAGAACATGATTTTGTACATTGAAGATCTACATGCAGTGCATTTATGTTTTTCACCAGTGTGCCATATTGAAAGGATGTCATGGATGTGCAGATATATATTGATGTTAAAGATCTATGTGTATTAAATTTTACAAGTTGTTTGGCTGTTCCTGTTTTCAATAACTCTAAATCATAAACAAACCAGTCTCATTTCACTTATCAGTGAATTAGTGAGTTGGTTTTCAAGCTGTATTTCAGTTTTATCACTGCACATCAGCTTGATGTGGGACAGTCCCTGTGTGGTGCAGGTCTTAGCTGCTTGCCACTTTAGGGAAATCCCCATGCACGAGTACAGTGCAGAGAACCTAGATAATCAGGGGGGACTCGGACTCCGTTCTTTGACCACCATCAGTATATGAAGCTCATGATATCCTCGGTGCAGATGTAATTATTTATCAACATTGTAGCTTGCTCTCCTCGAACACTGGAAAGTCTGCTCGATGTCTGTTGAAGGTAAAGAGTGGCAGTTTTAGTCATAGAAAGTTTCAAGGCAAACTGGACAGAGTGCATTTCTACAGTGAAGTTCATAACATAGCGTATTGTGCACAAGTGTTGTGATAAACCAGTGTTTTTGTTGCCTCCAGCAATATCATGGAGTGGGACATCATAAATAGGCTTCAGTGTACCAGTGTGGGGAATCAAACCTGGACCTTGGTGTATTCATCAAAAGCTTTAACCATGAGATCCCGTTCCAATATTAACTCAGATTGGTATTAAGAGTTTGTTTAGTTACCATGGTTTCAGTCGGTTTCTCATGATGCTTGAATGTATATGCAACACAGCGGAGGAGGAATGACATAAGACTTCCTTGTATCACCACCAGAGGACAAGGCTGTGGATCCTTCACAGTGGTCTATCACGTACACAGAGACAAACTGCACGTCACTTTACATGGTTTATTACATCAAGATCCAAAATTATTTTCATCTCCTGTGCAAAACTGTATGAACAAGCAACACATGACTGGTACCTCTCTGTACAATGTGGCCAAGTGATGAGACAGTGCAACGTGTACATTCTTTGGTTCTCAACATTGGCCTAAGTCAGCTCACACTACCATTGCATGGTTAGTAACAGAACAATAAGGAGCATGTTGCTGAAAAAGTACTTATGCATAGTGAATGCCATGTTCAGAGATTCGTCAAGTTCACATCATCATGTTTATTTGTACAATCAGGCATGCTGTATATACTATTAAAGTTAAAGAACACTTGATTCTTTCTTTAATGTTTTACAGCTGGTCGGTCATGGCATGAAAGACTTACTAGTGTAATATGAAAGAAATCAAGGTTCCTTAACTTCTTTTGAACAGTGTAATTTGTCAGTAAAAACTACTTATTGATGTCTTCTTTTCAGTGAGAATTTTAATACATAGATATCAATCTACTTCCTGTAAGGAAAGCTATGTCATTCAACACCATGTCCTCTCCCCACCCTTCTCTCCAGGCTTATTGATCAGTGTTAAGTACTCCAGAATTTCAATCAATACATATGGCACAATACATGTCATGTCATTGTAATGGGACTTTTCATGATTTCTTCAATCATGCAAGTCAAAAGATGTGTTTGCAGAGTGTTGGATGTCTCAAAGCTATTGAGAAAATAGATTACAACTTTGTGTCCCATGTTGTGTTTGCACTTGTGTCTCCCATACACTTTTGATGATGTACGCTACTACCTGGCGTGGATGTCTCATGTTGTGCATCTTGTCTTCATCCCAAGAAAGTGTGCAAGGGACATGCTGCATGTAGTTGTCTCCCTTCAGATACATAATGGTCCTACACACATGTTGAGTCATAGAGAAGCATTCTACACACTTCATTCAGAAAATATTATCTCTGAGGTGACTACATCAGAAGAAAATAATCTTGAGAATATTTACAATTCTTTTTAAAGGTGGCACAAATCAATCATTAGATAATCATCCATTTTGTTTTCAAACTGGTAATTTTATTCCTCATTTACTCCAAAAAAATGAACCAAAAGGAATAAATAAAAAAATAAATGAGGTATGATTGTTTGTTTCTCAAAGGGAAGATAACTGGGATGACATCTAATGATAAATCAATGTTTTCTATTAGTTTGTTAGTACTGTTCATACTTGTTTGGGTCATCGTAACTTTCATCTCACATCTGGAATCATACATGCATTCACATTAAAACATACTATGCAATATGTATTTATTGTTCAAACAGAATTCTGACTAAGATGTAAAGTGAAGGTGTACAGATAACAACAGATGAACTAACCTAACCTTATGGACTAGTGCATACTGCCTTTAGTTACTTAGCACCCAACGCAATCCTTCAACTGATAAATATTGTCATATTCAATCCCTTTGCAAAATATACAAACATGCAGGGCAATGTTCTGTCAAACATTTTTACATGAGGTCTGTTTCAAACTTCTTGTAACTGTTAACTTTAAACATTTTTCAGCTCAAATTCAACCATCTATCATTCTGAAAGAAGACAGACAAAGGAGTACAATAAATGTAAACTCACTCTTAAACCTTGAAATATCTATGTACTCTCAACCGGGCATCATATGGATAAATACAGACATATAGCAACCTGTGGCTGCAGATTATTTTGCGGAAAATGTCAAAATCACTCATACTGAGGCAATTTGGTTTGATCTGTTGAGATTTTAGTGAAATCCAATATATTATTATTATCTGGCCAAACGAAATCCTTGGTTCTGAACACATTCCTGGATGACAGCATGTCCTTTCTGGCCCCCCCAAATAATCACACTGGCCACTATACAGAACATAAAGGAAACCGATTTCCATGTCATCCCCAAGAATCTCTGGATCATCTAGCAAGCAGCAAATTGAGCAAGTAAGCCTCCTTCCTTACTAATACTGTTTATGAAATACTTATCATTAAAACCACAGGTTGAATTATTAGGATTATATTAGGATTCTTCATTTGAAGAAACATGTAGAACAACACACAGTGTGGAGCGGACATAGCCGAAGATCCACACCCTGGAGAACAGACGAGTGTTCCTTTGTTACCTTACCAGTTGTCAGTACTTGTAACGTCACTACAGTTCACTTAGGGACTGGTCATTTATTATAGGGATGGTGGGGGCAGTGAGATTAGTGAGGGGGATCCAGACAAACATTACAGAAAAAGGAGGGGATTTGGGAGAGCAAAATATTTTCAAGCATAAAATAATGACATGGGACTAGTATTTATTATGTGGAAATAATATGAAACTATATAAAAAATGTTACCTGGTACATGTATTGGGAGCAGGATGGCGGTCGGGAGACGGCATGAACAAATGTTCCATCTCACAATATTTTAGCATTATTCCAGCAATATTACGGCAGGGGACACCAGAAATGGGCTTCACACATTGTAATCATGTGGGGAATCGATCCTGGGTCTTCAGCGTGACACGACAATACGGCTACCCCACCATTTAGAAGGGAATGTCAGCAAAATATGATACAGTCACCACTACTTCCAAATAACATATCACCAGTCCCTTGGACTCTATTTTAATGAAACTGCTGCAAGTGTTTTCAGCATCTTGAAAGGGAATAGCCCTCCTGAATACTTCCTCAGTTATCTCCCTTCACGAATAATTCAAACCTTTACATTTTCACATTTTTACGTTTTCGCTGGCAAATCCCTATAGGAAGATTTATCAGTCCTATTAAAACAACAGTGATACTGATTCTACCAAAAACCGATTCAACAAATATTTAAAAAGCAACATTAATTAACAGTTCATGTTGTTTATGCTTTCAATGGTTTTATGAAGATTTCATATAAAGCTATGAAAAAAAATAACTTCAGATATCAGCTCCTATAGATAAAATATGTTTTTGTACATCCTCATGAATTAGGCAACTTAAAAACAAGTCAATCACAAAAAGCTTCATCTGAACATGGAACAATGAATTTGTACATATGCAAAATGTCTGGCAGCAGTACGATTCATTTCCTTGGTGTTTTCACGACATTAAAATGACTGCACTGTAAAACATTTGGATGAATATTCTACAAGTAAAATGTTATGGGATGTATTGAGGTGTCACTTCTCAAGGTCGCTGAAACCTTGGCTGACCAGGCGGACGGGGAAATCGCTGACCTCCATCGGGACCAAATCTGGGGTTGAATGGAGGACGGGAACAAGGACCGCGAGGACCGAACCGGGGACGATTCTGATTCCAGCCACCTGGAGGACCACCAAAATCTTGTGGATTTCTAGGCCTAAATGATCTGGGACCACCTTGGCCTAAGTTAGGCGGAGGGCCTCTATTTCCTCCCTGGGGAAATCTTGGTCCTCCTTGCTGGTGACGAGGCTCAAAGGGATGACGCATACCTTGGTTCCCATGGGAACCTGGCCCACCATGCTGATTTGAAGGATGGCCTCGACTTTGAGCTTCACCACCATAGTGATTGTCAGATCCGTACTGATTACTAGAGGATGTGCTCTCTCCTCTCATTTTGGGTCTCTCTCTCTCAAATTTGGAACTTTGGTTTGGAAACTGGTCTTGTTCGTATTGGCTGTTCTTCCATGAACTGTTAGGAGGTGGTCTATTAAAGTCCATTTGTGCAAATTTATTTGGAGAGTCATTAGCACTAGGGATGTTATTAATATGTTGCTCAATTTTCTCTTCTGAATACTGTTGCTGATCACTCAGATCACTACCTGGCTCAAGTTTGACCTCTGCTGAAAGGATATCAGGAGTTTCTATAAGAGAAGGTGTATCTGTGTTACCAGGAGGATCTATGCTTGGCGTATCCCATTTGCTCTTTCTCCGCCTGACTCTTTCTCCGTTTGCTCCACTCTTTGAGCCATCTTTACTTCTACCACCAGCTGCATCATATGGCTTCATTCCTGTAGCTGCCTTGTCTGAGGAGAAATCGTCAGGTCGGAAAGGCTGACCCCTCTCAAATCTGTCCCTCTCTGGTTCCTGAGGTGGTGGAGGTGGAGGGCCACTGAAGTGTTTGAAGTTTTCCCGACCCGAATCCCTACGAGAATCAGCACTATTTCCTCTATTGTATGAAGAACTATCTGATCGACTATCTCGATTTCTGTCTCCGGAGCCTGGGCCACCATATGAAGGAGGTCCGCCGAATCCACCAATTCTACCAAAATTATCTGAAGAACCTTCTTGCTGCCTACCAAAGCTGGATCCAGCATAGCCGCCTGAGTGTCCTGAATGGCCATAGTTCCTGTCCTGACCTGACTGGCCCTGCTGACTATAGTTCCTGGAATTCTGTTGGCTAAAGTTCTTTGACTCTTGGTGACTCTTTCGGGACTCATTTTGTCCACTCTGTCTTGATTCATGACTGCCATAGTTTCTGGACTCCTGTTGCCCTCCATAGCCTCCTTGGTGACTTCCATAACTACTCTGATGACCACCCAAGCCACTTTGTTGACCACCAAAACCTCCTGGTGCATTTTGCTGATTACCAAAACTTCTTCCACTTCCAGAACCACCAAATCCCCTTGCACTGTCTTGTGCATTGTTGCTTCTTGTCCGTACTGATCATCACCACTGTGTTGCCAAGGTTTCCTGTCAGCTGGTTCTCTATTCGGCCAGTTCTGTTGTCCATCACTGCCATACGGCGGCCAACCCTGAGAACCTCCTCTCCCTTCTGGTGGATAAGCACTGTTCTGACGTGGCTGATCTCCAGAAGGTGGGAACATCTCATTCAAGTCCTGAGGAGGCAATGTTGGTGTTCCTCTGGAGTCCCCAAACTGCTGCTGGGACCAGCCGTACTGTCCAGGGTCCCACTTGATTTCTTCTTTCACTGGAAGTTTGTCTGCCCAAGCTCCTGCTCCAACCCCTGCAGCAGCTGCTGCTGCTGCTGCTTGTGCAGTAGGATCCTCCTCTCCTCCTCCATACTGCTTAATGAAATCAAGGGCACTGCCAGATTCCTGCTTGCTTCTCTTGTTGGGGGGTTCATCAAAGCCTCTCTGGTACCCTCCCCGTGACTTGTATGACCTGTCCTGTCTCCCACTGTCATACCCTTGGTGCTGCTGGTCTTGGTATCTGCCCTGTCCTTGCCGGGGTGAATGGTTTCGAGGGGGGGGATTATCTCCTGATCTGAAGTTGTGCTGCAAAAGATACATAATGCAAAATTCGAAATATGAAAGATGACTCATCATCAAATAGAGGAGTACAAAGTAAGGATAAGAGATATATGGTTGAACAATTACATTATTTACAATGAGGAGCGACAATACGATGAGCATTATCCTTACTCAGTACTGTAACTTTTAAAAGCCTCTGAAAGAAGTCATTCAAATAAAGACGTAATTTTACATTCATTCAAATAAGAATTCTAGCACGACATTGTGTGATACTCGATTCTGATTGGCTGAGAGCTCATCAAAGACCGTACTTAAATGGCAATTTAAGACTGCTAATTAAAGTGACCGATCCACCGCGGATGAATACAATGAACTCGTTGACCCTATTGTTTGTAAACATACATGTCGGACATCGGCAATTCTACTTTGGCAGCATCTTTGGTATTTTTGAAGTAAAAAGCGAATGGTTTGAAGAAGAATTTCTTGACCCTAATCCCAGTGAAGAAACTACGAAGCTGGATAATCTGTCAACAGTGCAAAAGCGGCGGTATATTCAAACCACGTCCTGATCTAGTGGGCATGACGTCGGCCCACACGTCCTAACCTGACCGCTTCTGTCCCGGCCGTAATGCCCAGTCCTTCCAGTCTTTTCCAAATTGGGAATAGTAGGGTGGTTATCAACAATTATTTCCGTGAATAAAACTAGCGGCGACTAAACTAAACGAGTTCACGGCTTGAATTGGGGCATGTCGATTGTCATACAGTGGGGGAGATCAATAATTCGCTTGAGAAAAATCAAATAATTGTACTTGCTCAAAGTATAAACTGTATTTTTTTTAAATATCTATGCTACTTGTTACAAATACAAGCATACTGGTTCCTGAAATAAAGCATTTATGTTGTTGAAAATGTCTATCTTGTTCATTATACAACCTGTCCCTCAACGGGACAATTCCAAGCGATTTCCAGGAAAAAGGCCAACTCATGCCTTGTGTTCTTGCGCGCCAAACAGTTCGGTTTTAAAACGCTTATAAGTCGTGCTAGAATGAAGATAAAGGTACTCTGTTTTCAATTTTGTTGCACTTTATCGTTGATTTAAGACAGCTAAATGTTTCATTTAAACCCTCACGCGTTAAGTCAACCATAAATTGAAAACAGAGTACCTTTATCTTCTAAGTATCATCAGGGAACATATCACTGACTGACTGAGTTTGGTTTTACACCGCTTTTAGCAATATTCCAGCAATATCACGGTGCGGGACACCAGAAATGGGCTTCACTCATTGTACCCACGTGGGGATTCGAACCCGGGTCTTCGGCGTGACGAGCCAACGCTTTAACCACTAGACTACCCCACCGCCCCCGGGAACATATCAAATATGTACTGTGCTCATTACTGCAGACCGAATCTGGCTCTCAGCATACTTTTCAGTAGATTTTAGGGTTATTGGGTGAACTATTTTTCTATACAAAGAGATCTTAATAGACTGAGGCTCTGGACTGGTGTTTTAACTGGTCTAAAGTGTGGGGACTCTGGGGTATACATGGCTGTATGATCCATAGTTTATCATAAGAGCCTACTAAACAGAATCAGTCATAATATGGGCCCAGGCTGGTGCATTGCACTTTTCCAGAATGAGGGGTTATTTTTCAAGCTAAAATCTGGTTTCTCTAGCTCAGGTTTTATGGCAGGTGGTGTCAGTTCCTGATCTGTATAATGATACACGATGTCAAAGAATGATGGCACCAGTGAGCTCAGCTGATCCTCATCCCATGCAAATGGGCCTACGCAGCAGTGATAGTAAACCCAATATATACACAACAATAACAACAAGCATGGATAAAAATCGTCCATGAAACAAGCCCTATCTTTGTTATCACCTAATGATCTGCTGTAGAAAGTCCATATGCCTACCTGATTCCTGCTGTCATGTCTGAATACAGCCTCTCTGGGTGGACGCTTCTCCTGCCCCTCCTTGTTATACCTAGAAATGAATTACAAAATTGAAAACAATATTCAGAAGTAAGTTCGCCAGACATTTTTATCATCCTGTTGTGGGAGTCAATTAGTGCTGGTTATCACTCAATATGCAGATCAATAGTCCGAGCTCAGAAATAGATCAATAATCAATTGTAATTGTAAACCCCACCCCAAGACTCATTGGAATAACGGGACACAATCATAACATTGTACAAACGAAACAGGCACTGATTAAAACTATGATCAAGACGGTCGAGGATACTTCCTGTCGAGATGCATGCCAGTATGTTGTTTACATTGCATTTTCACGAGTCGGGAAACTGCATCAGTTGTTTATGTCTTGATTTAACAAACATAACAAAAAGAAACATACTTCCTAAAGTTTAATTTGCTGTTTAACTTTTTAAGAAGATCGACAAGACTCACGAGCCCATTGATAATTGCTGACTCAAGCCAATTTGATAGACTGACCAATTATTCTATCAACTGCTCCAGTACTAGAGTCAATTAACTTCAGGACAGGAACAGACAGTTTGACGGTAAAGGCATCATAATTGATGGCATTTGCAAGGAACAAGTTCACAAAGAGATCACAACTCTACTACTTTCGTAACTCTTGATAGTTTAACAATGACAGAGAACCATACAATAGATTCATGAATTCACAGTTGTCTGCCCTTTATATTGTTATCTAATGTTGTTGAATCTAAAAATATACTACTCACTGGTGAACGAGATTCACTATCTGGTCCTTGTTCAACTCCACAAAGTCAATCCTGTCAAACAGATTATCTCTGTCTTCAGGCAAGGTGAAGTTGGCTTTCATCTCCAGAACTGCCTCCTCAGGGACCACTTTGCCTGCAACCCAAGAGTGAGTGATTGAGTGAGTGGTTGAATGAGTAAGTGAAGGAGGGAGCAAACGAGTGAGACTTTTCTGTGTCTCATTGGGAATTATGAGAATTCTGAGAAATACTTCATTAAGGTCTCAGGCATGAATCAAGCCTATAGACAAGCAATCGCCTGTACCAATAGAAAGGGTTGCAAATTTTCAAAACACTGTGAATTGGTATATTTCTCTTATTCCATACTTATCCTGACAAACATTATGCCATACTATTTCTTGGTTATATCGTCAAATAGTGAAGAACATGTAGAAACACCCACCCACGTGTTCCGGTTACCCGTCATCTTTTCTTACAATCAATAGCTGGGCTAATACAGGCTACTGAATCAAGGTGGATGTTCTAAGTGGATGGTGGATGATGCTCCATCAGATACATTTTGAATTAACTCTGCAATCTCTGTGTATATAACTGAGCATCTTTCACTTCCATGATTTCACAAAGAAGAGTCAGAAATGATTTCACAATTTATGAAGTTCCTTGGTGACTTGAAGAAATGACTTCACACAACAGAGCCATGTAAGTCAAAGCATGGCTACAAAAACTCTGATTAACTGATCAATGATTAAACCTCAATATGGGAATAAAATGACAACATGGTCAGGATATAAACATAATATTACCATCTTCCACAGTCCTCTTGTGCGACCTGCAACAGTTCTGCATCATCTGGCTGAAGGACTGCAGATATTCTGTAGAATCCATTGAAATTTCTCATCTTCTTTTTCCTGGCAGATGGATACACATTTGTCTGGTCTAAGATGTAGTTCCTCTTTCTCTTCCCAGCTGAAAGAGCAGAAGCAAAACTGTAAGCAACACTCAGTTATCAAAGTGAGAACCTTTCAACATGATTTTAGCTGTAGCAATGATTGATGCCAGGTGAGTTACTGAGTCTCAAAACCTGATCAATATAGTCGCCTCACACGACCAGAGTAGGCTGCTCTATCTATCTATGAACGAATAAACAGACAACTGGAGCTGCATCAAGCCCAGACAACAGAAACGAACATCTGATTGTCTGAACAAGCCATCCTAGTACAGGTATGATGGCCAGATGACAATACATTACAGTTGATGTAAGTTATTATTGCAATTCTCTCCAAGCTCTGTGTCCCTATTGTGGTCACAGACTTGAAAGCACGGCATATATGCCATATACTAGACTAAAATAAGACTGAGGTGAGGTGAGGTGAAATTGGGTTTAACGTCATGCTTGCGAATATTTCGCTCATATGACGACGTGCATGTGTGTGTGTGTATGTGTAGCTGCTTGTACTAGCCCAGACTTAAGCGTGTTTTATAGTGCTAACCCACTGAGATACCATGCCGCAGTGAAGCATGAATACCCCACTCAGACACATTATACTGACTCCGAGCCGACCAGTCCTTGTTGTACCCATTAATGCCGAGCGCCAGGCAGGGACCAACAAGTACCATATTTTAACGTCTTTTGGTATGACACAGTCGGGGAGCAAACACACGACCTTCCGCTCTCCGGGCGGACGCTCTAACCACTACACCACAGAGGCAGTCCAATAAGACTGAGCATCAGTGACAGTAACCTAATGTCTGCTGATACTTTAAATCCAAGTCAATGTAAACCTCACCTATGGTGAAGAGTTTGTTGAGACATTGCGAGGCCTTGTTGATGAGGACTTCCCAGCGTCCATGATAGTTCCGCTTCCTTGGCAGGCCCATGACTCTCATCTTCTCTATCAGGGTATCTGTACCAATAATGTTGTATCGCTTCTCAGGATGGTTCTTGTACATGTTCAAGCCCCATGTTGTCTTCCCTGCACCTGGCAGTCCCACAATCATTATCATCTGAAAACAAACCATTTATAATCTGATTACAAGAATGTTCACATATATACATCACTGACATTTTACAACAGTTTCTGGAAACGCAGACAAACAATGTGCATTACATACAACTCCTATTGCAGTTCTGGATTATTTCAAATGGTTGCAAAGAACAAAGACACCATCATCAATAGCTGAACTTGTTGAAAAGCACTGTCTAAATCCAGCACTCATTTACACTGTATATTGTGACTTTTGTTATGTATCATTGTTTCCACTGATGAGCACTGAACCTACCAGAGCAAATCCTGCATGTCCAATATGCATCTCATTATTAATGAGAGCAAGAGACACTGATTTTGTTTTGCATAATTTCATGCTCACCTTAATTTCACTATTTACAGTATCACAGTATAAATTTATACATGTGCCTGAAGGATGTCTTGTATCTAGAAATGACTTTGTTGACCCTCACCTCACAATCAGAGATTTTCTCTGGTTCTTTCATACCCCTAACTCTATCAGCAATCTGCCCCATGTATTGATACAATGGAGGTGGTGGAAACCAAGGGTCAATCTGACCTAGATTCACTCGGAATCTGAAATAAAAGGGCATAAGAAACTAAGACATTACACACATCATATGGTTAACTTCTCATGATCAAGTTAAAGGATATTGCAGGTAGTTTGATGCTTAACACCACACACAGAACTATTCCAGCAACTAATATAGGTGTATGAAGTATGTAGTAATGAAGTCTAAACATGTTGTACCCATGCAAGGATTCGAACCCGAGTTGTCGGCATGACGAGCAAACACCTTACACACAAGGCTAGCCCATCGCCCTGACATGTAATTTGTAAACAATGAGGTCAGCAAGCCTCACCATCAGGTCCTTTAAGTTGCCTCTTAAATGCACAAAGATTTTCTAGGGATCTATTCTCAACATAGTAGCCATTGGGTGAACAAAGCAGGTAAATGTTTAAAATCACTGTTTTCTACCCAATGATTCCCCATATTAATAGTACATACTGAGTTATCTGAGGATTCAGATCTATGCAATTATTCAATCATATTGACATTACTCTTCTGGTGAAATGAATCCTGTATACACCAATTCTGAGAATAATGAATAAGGAAATATTTTGGTACTTACCGACAGTTTTTGGACAGAATGTGCGGGAACAGTGCCATGTCCTTATTGCCCACTGGATAGCTGTGAAGTGGGATAGCTACCCCAAAATATCGGCCATTCTTCATGTAGGAGATTTTTGCGGGACGATCATCTAAATCCAACATGGCACCAAGGACATCTCCAACCTCAAACTTTTCCCCATAATTTGAGAATTTATTATTTGTAGAAAATTTGCCAGTACCACCATAACCATATGACCAAGGTTCTTCTCCTAAAACAAACATATTAAAAATCATTGACATTGACAGTGAGTGAGTGAGTGAGTATGGTTTTACACTGTTTTTGCAGTATTTCAGCAACATCACAGCGGGGGACACCAGAAATGGGCGTCACATATTAAACTCATGAGGTGAATCGAACCTAGGTCTTCGGCGTGACGAGCAAATGCTTAAACCACTAGGCTAATCCACCGCCCCAACATGACTAACAAGGAAAGCACAGGCACATTAAGGTGTGACAGCCTTCAAATGTTGATTGTGAGCAATTATAACAGTAAGTTATTATTAAATTATGAACATTGTACTACATGAAAGTATATGGCTTTCATTGTTTCATGCCACAGTCAGTACAACCAGTAGTTAACATGTGCAATGATCCACGCTGTGGAGTACAATGACACACAATCAGTAAGGTCTCATATTGTAAACACTGAGTCTTCACCAGAGAACAAGCATGAAGTACATTGGGTCTGTTCTGACAAGGATGCCCAGAAGATCAGCAATGTCGGTAACATATTTAAACAGATGCATCATCACCCAAGGAGTGTAACCGGGGGTCATACCAAGTGGGCATAAACACTAAACACTGAATTGATATGTAACATCAGTTGAACTTACCTAACTGGAATGATGATGAATCTATTGACCAGCCAACTCGGACAATGTGAGGGTCAGTTTCATTGTGTTCTTCACCGAAGTCCACTGGCAGGTGCTCTGTAATGTGGACCTCAAAGAAACCTTTCCCCTTGCAGATACCGTGTGTTGCTCTTACCCCTGCCCAAGTGAAGCAAAAGCCACTGGGCTGGTTCAGTGTGTGGGCACCGTATCTGCAGACAAATGTTTTAAAAGATGAAGAATTCATGACTGGGACCATGCACCATTGGCTGATTTCCTAGCTTTAGAAGTTATTACAGGACTGTGTTTATGCGGCATGAAAGGTCCTTGCTTTGAGTGCCATTTGCCTGAGCAAATGCCAATAAAACGTTTTTCCTACATTCAGCACTTGTTCAGCCAATAATTTATTAAAAATATTCAAGTTAATATGGTCACAAACATTTTTATATCTAATTGCAATGCCAAAAAAATATTCCAGAAAGGATATCAGAGAATTTATGAATTCCCAAACTAGTAACCTCATCATTGCTTGTTATACCCACTTATTAAAACAGCAAATGAAATTGGGACACCTCACAAAGGAGGCCTTAGCAACAGATGATTACTGATGAACAGCTGCTCACACCTTTTCGTTACACTATTTAGTTAACATGCTTAGAGCCAATCAGGCTTAATGAGTTGTTCCAGGTTGTGCCATACAGAGCAATTCTTACCCATCATTGTCCATGACTATGTTGAGATCTGAGTTGAAGTCATCCAACACTGTGACAGATTCTGCTGAGACGGGTTGCTCCTCCTCTACAATGTCCTCAACAGGCATCGCAGGAACTGCCAGACCAGGGAAACTGTAACCATGGATACATTTAATAAGGTTATAGCAATGCAGGCTAAACCAAATCCATGAGACCTCTGCTGTGTAAATAAAGGTAAATGATTGCTATGTCGAAATTTGTGTGTGATTTTTTTTTTTTTGTGTGGGGTTTTTCATGGCATAAGTAACTTCCTATGAATGTACACGCTCCAACCAACAAACTTGACAGAACACTGACAGACAAACCTACAATGAACATGGTAACACAAGGGAATAGTATATTAACATGATTTTAAGTATGATCATGTTGATGCTTAGTATGACAAAATGAAGCTGGTAATGAGACTTGACGTCACATGTTATATTACTCTTCAGCAAAACATCTTCAAGAGGAAATAGCCTCCCCTGAGGTAATGTGACTTACAGAAGCATGAGGATTAATATAAATCCTAACAAAATAATGTTGCAGTTTCTATTAAACTTTAATTTCAAAATGGGGTATGTAGGCTATCATTCCCTTTTCTGTTTTCAAAAACATGAAAATATGTTAAAGAACAACAACATACTGTGAACTTAGTACTGATTGGCATATATATTCAGGTGCACTTTGTCTTTTGTCACAATATAGGGAGTACAACTGATACATTTTTCAAGAGCTAGAAGTAGAATGCTTTAATTACCATTGGTGAGACTAACAGATCCACCCCACTTCTTTTTGGCCTATAGAATTCATTCGCAGTTAGTAATACATGGTTTATTTCTTCTTGATTCTTACCCATGGTTAGCTCTGGCATCAACAAACTGTCTCTGGTCTGGTAAGGCAGCGAGAGCATTGAGACCTGGTGGTGCTTGTCTGGCTGCAAGGGGGATGCCCTGAGCCATGGTAGTAGACACTGGCGCCATGCCCCCTGCATGGGCGACAGCAACACCAGGAGGTATCATCTGTGGGATACCAGGATGTGGGGTCTGGATACCCTGGAGGGGCATCCCTGGCATCGCCACCATGAAGTGCTGAGGCATCATCATGGGGACAAACCCAGGATACTGATTCATACTTAAGTATCTGCTTCTTCTACAACATCACTACACTGAAAAAAAGTAGAATATCATTAACATTGAACCATCAATTAGTCTAAATTGGTCATTTCATTTACAAAATGAAAAACGTCCATGTGTAAATATATTAAGTTTAAATTAAACAGGTTTGAGAGACAAGATAATTAAAAATTTTAATATAAATTGTGTATTTATATACTTATCCTATCTCATGCGAGATAGTTTAAAAATAATTTCATTTGCCTCTTTTGATTTTAAATTAGTAAAATTGTCAGGTGTTTTTTTTATACAGACTGGTTGTATATTGATTCATAATCCTAATCACTGTTGTGAATGCAAAGTGGAATTCGTCTTATTCTTACTATTTATGAAAATAACTAGATCCAACAAAGCACATTCTTTAGTCATGTACTTGACTAAAGAAAAACCTAAGACGTAGCCAGGTCTTGCTTTGTATACCAGTCTATGAATAAAGTGAAGTCAATAATATGTGGGAACTAATGAAATAAATATGACAAATGCATCACTAAATTTATATGAGCATCGACCAACATCTTACACATGACACTGCATTACTACATTTATGCAATTATTGACATGATGCATAACAAAGGTAGAGTAGGCACCTTCTCTGGAAAGCAATATAACTGTGCCAGGGTTTTACATGACGTGTGATTCCTGCGTATTTGATGCACCAATTTTGTAAAAGACTCTCAAAATATTATCATACGAGTCAAGCTTGACGCAAGTTTTATGAGTTACCCTCACAATTCAGTTCAGAGTCAATAAAATCGATCTGATATGCAAACAATGATAGTTTTCGTGAGGTCTTCATTAATTTAGATATTTCTTTCAATTCATGTTAATAACTATGTTACAGTGAATATATCACAAGCCTGATTATTTGTTCAGTATAATGGAGTTTGTTATGACTGAACTGAACAGTGAAAAATATACTGTTTATTAACTAACATATGAATGAAAATACAACACAAAACAATAAAATCTTTGCCTTTTGATATACACACATAAATATTACGCAAAAATTTTAATGACTCCCAAATATTGAAACATGACTCCCAAAAATAAATACTGTGGGTCACCATGACTCTCTTTTTTCAAAGTAAAACCCTGACTGCTGGAGTTTGTAGAGAGAGCAATTTCTCTTGTTACTTTAAGTGCTGAATTTTTGCTTTGATCAAGTGTCAAGAAGTGAATTATAATCCAATGTTTGCTGTATGTAAACTACATTCATACACATTTCCATTCTGCATGACGACAAACTGTAAGCTCACACGATGCAGTGGTTAATCTAACATTCCAAACAATTAACACTTCGACTTTTATAGGGTCTTCCAGTTTGTTTTAGGTACATACGCGAGAAAAAGAGACAGAGCACTTATTACCTTGTGACACTGGGTAAATTTAATGGCACAATCCCTGATTTGGGATAAGTAAGATGAGTACATTTGGGAAGTAAACACTTTGCATTTAACGTTTATATGTGCAGATAGTTAAAGGAAATGGACATGATCTCAAAGTATGTATTTTGACCTTCCCAAAATAGGTTATACCGAGTAATAATGTTTATATGCAGAACAAAACCCATGTTAGTGATTCCGATCGAACAATTCTTAGTGAATAACATTCATCTTGTACCAGTTTCTCTCAAACTTGTGGCATTTTCCTTTCCGTAAGATGCAAGTAAAAGTTTTGTTTCTTCAAGCAATATATATCTTACGTTGCCCTGTCCGAATGGGATATCGGTTTCACATGCCGCATGGTCACAATGATTTTTTTGTAATTTCCATGTAATTGCAGAATGTAAGTATAAAAATACAACGTATTTCGCTATGCCCTTATTTAAGATATCGTTATTTTGTAAGGACAAAACAGGCTGGTTTTTAGGCATGGTGCGTATGAAACAAAACATCAACAGAAATAGAAAAATACATCAATAATCTCGAAAACATCTCACTAGTTTGAACAGGTTCCCCGTCAACAAAATGGCGTATGTACTTATTCTTACCGTTTCAGACTAGAGAGTTGGAAAGAACGATAACTCTGGTTTCGAGCGTCGTCTTCTTTTTCAAAGAAATTCAATCAGCGTTACGGTTCAAGCCCATTCTATTTCAAAAGCATGGCGTAAATAAATCTGAACACGAAATCATATTGTTTACGCGAGTTTTACTGGATATTTACATTATTTCATATTTCACATGTCTAAATCCATTGTCCTTTGCAGGGTGAAGAATGAGACTATCACGCCCTAATTGTCATCTACTTACGACCTAGGCTCTCTTCAGTTCCACCCTATTTGGAATCTGACATACTTGTAATAAAATACGGAAAATCTTTTGTTTGAAATTGTTGAGTTTTCTTTTACGCTTCACACATTCAGTCACATAACAACACAGTAGATTGCACAGTATAATCGAAATTCCTTTTTGTGTCAATACTATAATTGGTGCTTAATGAGAGTCTTCTGACATAATTACTAAGACCAATCTCATGGCGATGACTCAAAAACACAAGAATGTTGTTATTGTCTGTTTCTGTGTTTTAACTCGTTTTCTTAACGTTGTCAACAACTTATATCCAGACTATCAAGTGACTGATAACATGAGCAAAGATCTACAGTTCTAGTCTAGGATGTAATCCTTGAATACCATGTATGGTTTCTCCGCGGCAACATTGCTAGAAATACTGCTAAACATGGGCATAAAACACTACTCATTCTCAACATAGTGAAGGTCGTGGGTTCGATCCCCGACCGCGTCATAACAAAAGAAGTTAAAATATGGTACTTGTTGGTTCCTGCCTGGCGCTCGGCATTAATGGGTACAACAAGGACTGGTCGGCTCGGAGTCAGTATAAAGTGTCTGAGTGGGGTATTCATGCTTCACTGTGGCATGGTATCTCACTGAGCTAGCACTATAAAACCAGCTTAAGTCTGGGCTAGTACAAGCAGCCGCACATACACATACACACGCATGCACGTCGTCATATGAGCGAAATATTCTCAAGCACGACGTTAAACCCAATTTCACCTCACCTCACCTCAACATAGTGATGCTGCAATTCACAATAATGAGGACTTTGTAGAACATGTTATAACAAAAATAATTTGTATATACTTATAATGTACATAATACTCTTTAATTAGTGCTCGAATATTAGTCAGTATATTTGAAAATAACACTTAACGGCAAAATGTACGCAAACACAGAGAGCTGATGCGTTGTCGACGCATTCAGATACAACAGTTCTTTTAACAATGGATGTTTTGGTCAGATCAGGGTTTTTTCAAAGTAGCCGATATATAATGTTAAAAAATATGTTGTTTTTTAAATAAATGACCAGAATAGACCTGGTGTGTACATTTTTTTGCACGACAGTTTATATGAAGTACAATAACCTGTTTCCCTAAGTAAGACCTTATATGAAACCAGGGAGACTATATGTAGAGTATCCCTGATGAAACGTATGTATCAACATCTAAGTGAGCTAAGTACAAAGCGTGAGCTTTTGCATGATTTCACAATACTTGTGTAACCAAATTTCAGGTACCTATAATAGAATATGTGCAATTCTAACAGGCAAGCACGATATGAAATTATTCGTCTTGAATAATTTGTAAATTTTCATATTTGCTTAGATGCTTGTAGAGCTACTTGTTGGACATAGACCACACTAATCTGTTGGAACAAACAATCCTAGATAGACTGACGCAGACAAGAAAATATAGTTTGGCATGAAATGCATGTGGACCCGTTTTTTGTAAATATCTCTTCATCCAATGACCCAATCGATCTCAAACTGTGCAAGTGGATGTTTTGTCAGACAACCTAATCACATTGTAAATCACCGATTTTATGCATTTGTATTAAAGAATCTGTCTATGTAACTGTCAACAAAATCAACAGCAGAACGCAGAATGCTTGCAGAGGGAGGGAGCCAATGACCTGTAACAGCGGCAGTGTTGGGTCATAAAGGTCAACGTTCGTCAATGTAGGTCAGCTATGCACGTGACAGGTATGAAGAGGTGTTCATTTCTAGAAAATAGCCGGCGAATGACATCTCTGATGACCCTGATGTCAAAAGAATCTAACTTTGGATGCCTACCTTTTTGTACAAGGTTTTGTTTATTGGTTGTTGGTTTATTTTTCACAATTTTTAGCACGATGTTCTTTTTCATGCCAAGAGCAAAAGTTGTACGTTTCATGTAATCCGACACCTTATAAATCGGTTTGCTACGTTTGCTCTCTTTTTTAACAAAATTCAACACATTTCTAATTAAACGTTTAGCATCATCTGAATAAGCTTTCATGATGACAGCTAGAAGTAGTCAATGTGAATGATCCAAACGGTCTATCACTGTGCAGTGCACAGGTAACTATCATGAACTGCACGTGCATTGACCTTTATGACCCAACACTGCCGCTGTTACAGGTCATTGGCTCCCTCCCTCTGCAAGCATTCTGCGTTCTGCTGTTGATTTTGTTGACAGTTACATAGACAGATTCTTTAATACAAATGCATAAAATCGGTGATTTACAATGTGATTAGGTTGTCTGACAAAACATCCACTTGCACAGTTTGAGATCGATTGGGTCATTGGATGAAGAGATATTTACAAAAAACCGGGTCCACATGCATTTCATGCCAAACTATACATTCACTAAACTAAATCCACACCATCAGAGTTCGAACCAATAACAAAGCCAGGCTGACTCCAGCACATCTAACTCTCCCAGCTGCTTCCAGCCTGACGGCACACCTGACACAGGTATTTCATACTTAGGTCGCGATCCATAAAGCGTTCGTAACGTTGCGACCTGTCGTAATTCTATACGTTTATGGATGTCGTCGCGCTACGAACGCTTTGTGGATCGGGTCCCAGGTCTTACATGTCGACTGTTATCATTGTTTAAAAAAAACAAACAACACGTTTCAACTCAAATTTTACATGTTCTTGACTATCTAACTAAAATGAATACATCTTACAGATGGCGTCCTAGTTTAAAAATATCTGGTATTTGAATGTAGTCTGTTTGATAGTTGAGTGCGTGTTCTACGCCACTATTAGCCATATTCCAGCAACATACGGCAGGGGCCACTGAAATGGGCTTCACCTATTGTACCCGGTGGAATCCCATTAGACAAGCTCAGACCTAATATTTATCTGCTACATGCACAATATACCGATTTTGTAATGAAACCTGTTTTGCTCTTCATTAATGGAATGGTTATATGATAGTAAAAACATTACAAGTTGTTGTACTCCTGATGATCCTGGTTAGAATTTCTTTTCAGCAACCCATGCTTGTCGTAAGAAGCGACTAACGGGATCTGGTGGTCAGGCTCGCTGATTTGGTTGGCACATGGCATTGTATCTCAGTTGTGTAGATCGATGCTCATGTTGTTGATCACTGGATTGTCTCGTCCAGAGTTGATTATTTCCAGGTCGCAGCCATATAGCTGGGATATTGCTGAGAACGCCGATAAACAACAGCTAAACAAGTTGTGGCAGGTCGCCATAGCCTGAATCGGCTCATACAGTAACTCCATCAAAGGTGTCACGACACAGTTCGACATCTATAAACCATACTTCAATCCTTGGTTGACATCTTGTGGAAAGGATAACATAGTAAGCGTTTTGTGGAAAATAGATTTTATTTTGTATAGAAAATACAAACATACATTTAAACTTTCAAAATTAACACGATTCTTAAAGACAGCGGTGGCTTTTGGATTTCAGGAGTCAGTTTTCTTCTTCCATACTGCAGCTTCTAGAACACTACTTAATTATAACCCCAATATTGGTAGGCCGAATCACTGCACTGACGTTCTTTTTAACACACGAATATACAATATTTACTGTACATATGTTGCACAGTAAGTTCATTTTCAGTTGATTTAGCGGTTCCATTTGAGGCTGACTTGTGAAAACATTCATTGCTTGACACACATGTTTTAGGTACATGCCAGCTGCCCAACAAATACATGTTAAAATGCATGACAAAGAGACGGACGAAATATATGTCAATATATTACGCACTCAAAAATAATTAAATGCATTATTATTCAAAGTGTATAGTGCTATATATAAAGTATTTAAGCTAAAAAGGTGACATCTAACATTATGACAGAAAGTGACACCACCCATTTGTACACAATCATACTGATATGTTTTTAAGAGAGGCATGCATATTTGATACTTTGATATACATGTATAATCATACGGGGCACTTGGAATGGTAAAAGAATATGGTGGCTTTACAGAGACAGATTTAGTGTTAAGTAACCCACTTGCCGTGCACCGAGCAGTGAACATTTCCATCCCTAGATTTTGATATTATTACACTATCACTAAACTCAACTATTTAACAGATTTACTCTGAAATTAGCAACGTTGTAAGTTTTTTTATACAAAAATAACCATAAACCAAAACGTCTAGTTCATGCTCAGCAGTGTTACACAAGGGATCTTTCCCCTTGAATTCAATACCAATAATAACAAGTACCACAGCCATGTCCCCTATATTAGGAATGGAAATAAAAACGTGATTTATTGCTAGATATAATGAAAGACAACCGTTTAGAAATACTGAGGAAATAAAGCAGAATTAATATTGGAAATGAAAAGGAAATGAATTATGCAACTGACATTTTCATAAAACCATTGAAGAGAACATACACTCTGCATCTACATGTCACACAAAGCACTTGTTGACGGCGTTAGTACCCCTGTGACCAACCGCACTTTGAAGTTAGGTGTACAGTGTGCTCGTCAGCCACTGAAATGCAGAAATAAAGAAACATGTAAAGAAATAAACTACACATTAGTAGCTATATATAATTCATTTAATAGTCCGATATGTTGCTCTCTGGGCCATGTGGCCTTTGCCTTCAATAATAAATATAATTTCTGATGGGTTTTTGTTCCACAAACCTCTGTTATGGGTTATATTATTGGCTGCCACCTTAAGGACGATGTACTCTTGCCTGGAACTGATGCATACACATATCATGATGTCTCTATTCATAATGTGGTAAGGGGCGGTGGGGTAGCCTAATGGTTAAAGCGTTGGCTCGTCACGCCGAAGACCCGGGTTCGAATCCCCACATGGGCACAATGTGTGAAGCCCATTTCTGGTGTCCCCCGCCGTGATGTTGCTGGAATATTGCTGAAAGTGGCGTAAAACCAAACTCAGGCAGTCAGTCAGTCATAATGTGGTAATCTCACAGTACCTGGTTTAAGTCCATTGTAACTTTCTGATCCTTTGCATTGTCCTTGAATATATCTGAAAACAAATCACACAATATGTGAAGTTTTTACAAAATGCATCAGCATGTAATATCTTGATTCGAAAGAAGTTTTGAAGCCATCTTTCAGTTAAATATAATATAAAAACAGCAATACGTGATTTTGCATATGAAGCTATTCACAGTATAGTGGCAAGGTTTGTGGTGTATGTATATAGGAGGTAACTCAAAGAACAGTGACATAAACGTGACCACGTATAGCATGCTACTCACAGTACAGTGTCATGATTTTACAGAGGCTCTGGATGAAGTCATCCTCCCTGATAAGGCCATCACGCCCTCCGTATCTCCGCACCACCGCCTTCAGCACCTCAGACCGCACAACGAACCCTGGTGATACAAGAATCTCCTCAGACCACTGACCAAACACAATTAGATGAACATACAGAAACAACATCTGGATGATTACCCATCGTTAAAAACACAATACGCCAAATATCTGTTATTTAAAAGACAATAGATAGTTTAAAAGCAAAAGACGTTTATTCGATAATTAACTAAGTAACGACAAAAGAAAACAAAATTTCAAAAATAGACAACGGCTGTGCTAGATAAGAGTGCATGCTTCAATGTTACAACTTTCACGTACAAGAAACCCAAACTCCTACCACGAAAGATGCCAAACAAGCATAATAAACATCCAACAGTAACGCATCAGGAATTCAAATGATAAAAGGACACTAGGATATCAAGAAAGTAAACGAATTTGAAGTGAGTACCTACTAATTAAGTAAGAAACATTTATGTTCTCGTTACAAGGGCTTTCTTGTTCAGCATTTACTGATATGTTTTCTACTTACCGACTTTCTTGTAAAGCTCTCCCAACTCGTAAGAGTCTATTGACTTCGTGTTATCCACATCAAAGGATTTAAAGGCTCTCTGAAATGGAGGTGACAGTATCTTCATCAAACGTAATAGCTTCCAGCCTGCATTTAAATAAACTGTTATAACAATATACACTGACTAGGTGATATGAAACGCCGTTTGTAATATTTACTGACATTATTACATAGTCAATAATTCAGATACTATTGCTACTTGATAGTTTGTGGGTAGAGTTGAATTATATGAATCATATTCTAAAATACTTATCGTCTAACAGATACAGTATATCATGTACAATGAATCCCCATGAACTTTAAAGTACACATGATTAAACAGAATTCTTCTCGGCAAGCCGCAACTGTGGTCAGTTATCGACAATAGACTCGAACTCTACAGACCTTCATATACATGTATTTTCAATCGCCTTCGGAACTTCGAGTTCGGGTTTCAATGTTTCAGTTTCAAAAGTTTTGTTACACATCGACTTACCGTCCATAGTTTGACAGTGTCCCAGGACTTTCTTGCCTTTGCCAGATCCAACATCCCCTCAACTTCAAACTGACCACGTTAAGGAAAAGTGAAACGTTCAGTCTTATAGAATAATACTCTAATGCCTTTTCAGGAGAGTGTACCATAAATGTACATCGTGGTAAGGTCTTGGCTGTTATAGTGTGAAAATTACAACTGAAATGCTGGTAGTTACAAATAGTGGTTTATCAAGCAAACAAGAAACCAGTGTCTGCAACCTGTGTACATTAAACTGCTTCATGGTGCAGTGTTTGCATGATAGTAAACAGTAGTGTTGGGAATTGGTTGGAATTTCACAATTGATGATTGCTTTATTACCAACGAACAATCATCGGATAAAATTGGTTAGTGTCATTTTTCTGATTTTCCTATCCAGGTTGTTATTGTAGATATGCTACTTTAAAGTGATGACTAATGTATCATGAACATAAACTTCCCGGAGTCTTCAAGAAATATTCAGTCATGATATATATTTCAGTTAGTGAAGTGAGTTTGCGAAGAATTAAACAGGTTTTCAGGCTCTGACAACTTCGAAGATATGTTACATAGTCAAGTATTTTAAAGACTAAAACAGTAGTTCCAAAATCGTTTGTGTTCGATTATGAGAAAATGTGATCGATTCTTGGTCGTTTGGTCACTGCGACCAATCTTCGATTATTTCAATTAATCGGAACACCACTAGTAAACAGTCAGTGCAGGGAAGGGTGGGCACGACCCCAGTTTTCCAATGAACCATATATGCAAGTGTTTATCCAAAACAGGAAACTGAGTTTAGGAACAACCAATGGAATGTAACAGGACAAATAAAGATGTTATGTTGCGTACATTGGCGTGCCTACAGTTAGATCAGGTGTACATTCAGACAATTCCAACGAATCTGTGTTTGTTAAACTTAATATGATTATGTTAACAACTTCCGCCACATTCGGTAGAGCCATTTCTTCAGAGTATTATCTGTTTCACAGTGACCAACGTTGAGTGTCGTCTAAAATTAATCTTACAAAGAAAATGCAGAAAATGATGTTTGGAGAAATTGAAAGTTAAGGAACGTAGCAAGCAAGATTTGTAACCCCTGTTTCATTTCTACAGTATTAGTTGCGATGTATTTATTGTATCGGTGCAAACGTAATTGGAAACCAACCTAAATGAGTTTTACATTTTCAAAGAAGTCACTTTAAACCATTGGTCATTCGTTTTAGACAGAAGCATTACTTGAGACCGCCAGTCCTTACATTCAGCGTGTGTATTCAATATGAATTTAATATGGGCTGTTTAATATAAGTTAAGAATAGCAATATTTAAACTAGTGTATCTGTTTCACGCAAAAATACCTAAACCCATCTTCAGTCATAGTCAAAGCTTTATCGTTTGTTCACAAGGATACATCGTGTAAGGCGATGAGGCAGCGACATGTCTCTAGGCTGTAGCCGTCGCTGGCTCCATACTCTGAAATATAACAAGCGTTCATTCATATAGTCTGTCTCACAGTACCTCAAATACCTCAAACACATCTTTACCCTTAACATAAAAAATTTCTGCAACGTAAAAAAACGCAAAAACAAAACAAATGAAGCAAATCTAGGTTTCCTCGGGTGCGGAATCTCTTACTTCACCGAGATTCCTTTTTAAATTAAATGGAGTTAACTGTTTGCATCGAGATTATAATATTTTCAGTGACTAAGCGTTAGTCTGACAATCATTCTGCATGGCATTAAGTGAGGGTTGGCATTCCCCACGCCGTCCTATGGAACGAGCCGTGCTGCCAAAACATACACTACTTTCTTGTTCAAATTGTCTGAGTGATGGGCGCTACAGGTAGGATGTGACATACTTCACCTTTTCTCTAACACCTGGTGTCATCATTGATTTTCAGTGACCCATTCATACAAACGTTCACCATTATATTACCAGTGGAGTTTGTTGACGCTACATATTTACCGTCTTTCCTTGTGTCACTGAGGATGTTCCGGAGTGAAGAAGCATCTACTCTCCCATCAGATCCGGCGTGTTTCTTGAAGGACGTCTCCATTGTGTCTGCCGTCAAGTCATGGTCATCCTGTCGCCCAACATACAGAGATACTACAGGCTCCAAATGTTTATGATGAAAATATATTACCACCTTCCTGGACAAAAATAGATTCACTGCAATCTACTGCATGTCATAAGAAAGGACTCGACGTTGATCTGGTCGTCAGGCTCCATGACTATGAATGACTACAATGAATTATATAACACCAATGCCACTATTTCTGGTCTTCTGTGTATTACGAACTGTGCAGTATGTGAAATGCAAGCTGCCAACAAACGAAACTATATTAATCCAGAGCTACAGATAACGTTTTGGGTCATTGAGTTATGTACGCGCTTGTGTTCATCTCAATTGGGTACTAGTATACTGATTTTTCTTTGAGTAACCAAATAAATTGTACCCACCTCACTCAAACTCAGTTGGGTGTTTTGTCATTTTACATTAATCGTAAAAATATAACATAGTTTAAATGTTGGTTTAAGTGTTTGTTGTTTATATTTGATCAGTAATATGAGAAACGATAAGAAAGACTGCAAGTTGCCGAGTTCAAGTGCTGAAATAGAACCTCTCAATATACCTTAACATTTTTGTGTGTACGCATGTAAGATCAAATATATTGAGTATTTACAAAAAATCAAGCGTACATGTACGCAATAGACGTAATAGGAATTGAGTTTTCACATGAATTTTTGCGTAATTTACGCAGATACGCAGCTTATCTGTTCCTCTGTAATCTAAATATTCCATCATCTCGAGCAATAAAGTAATGCTATTTTTTGCTTTGGCCAGAGCAGGTGCCAAGTAAATATTGTGACAAACCATATATTCTACCGGACCATGTAAACACCTGATCCTCTCTCATGCAATGGCAGATTAAGCTATAGTAATATGAAACATGTATGGTATAGTAATATACACGATTTAGTTGTTCCTTAACCTCATTTGTGTAGTGTACTTACAGATACCAGCTAAGGGCTTAGGCGGGCAGTTTACTATAACGGCTGGGGTATTACAAATGGGGGCCAAACTAATTGGTACGTACCAGTTTAATTCTTTGATGCTGAACAGAAGCTGGATTATCAACACCATTTATTATTTATTTTTAGTAACGAAATAAGGGTATTTGTTCAGTATTCAAAGCACCTGCTTCTTTATTCGTTGTCATGTGCAGAATTGTCACAACTATACATGATGATGTACTACACTGTACTGTAGTGTACTGTACACTGTACTACATGTACTGTGCGCCAGTCTGAAAAACTGTAAAATTTAACGATTTAGAAACTGAATACTTACTCCAATTGGACCAGTAGGTTCTTCTATTGGACTGAAACAAAAAGATTGTTCGTTTATTGACTAATCGTAGTGGATGTCGTACATTTAAGAATGATCACTAACCGCGATTATATAGTCATCTACATCAATAGTCATCAACACCGAAGATAGACTCATTTGAATGATGATGATATATTTTCGTTGATTACATTATAAAGCTAAAATTTCATTCTTCTGAAAATTTGTGAGTATTTAATGTATTGGCTTTTCCAAAGACTCGCCTTGCATTCGGGGCAACTTCCGCCATGACCCTGAGATAGAACTTGGCTTCACTAGACGACTTGAAGGTAGATGGAACAATGACGTATGTTGCTGGTTCCAACTCAAACCGCAGCGTCCTCTCACGGTAAGGCCAAAACTTCCCCGACGTCTCTTCCAACTGTGGGGTGTACTCGTAGAAGTTCTCACCAGAAAGTCGGTTGGGTTGTCTCCCTTCTTTCAGCTGAAAATTCAATCATTCATTCAGCAGACGACAGAATCATTTAGAGATCTCGACAGAAATCGTGTGCTTTGGTACGTTAGATCATCTTAGTATCAATATCAGGCCTTTCTTGCCCGGAATACCACCGGAGTATCCGTCATTGTGTTCGGCAACTTAGATTACCGTTACACTGAACTCATGTCATAGTAACACCAAATAAATCGAAAGGTTGAAATGGATGTTACAGATTCTATTTGAGTTTAGGACATTGGGAGAATACATTGTATTCAAAAGACATTACATATACATAAAGCGTCCGCTCGTCACGTCGAAGACCAGAGTTCGATTTCCAAACAAACACACACACACACACACACACACACACACACACACACACACACACACACACACACGTAATATTGCTGGAATATTGCTAAAAGCAGTCTAAATGCCAAATGAATTCACATAGATTGGGGTGGGTGACTTGAAATTTTACGATGGCTCGGCATTATTTTATCCATATAGCGACACACTCAGATCAGGACGCAGAAAGGAGCAAAGTATCTGAATTTACTGAGACTGAACGGCCGAATATCTGTAACATTTCCGTTATGAGTAGGCCAAGATGTTCTACGTGGCTGTGAATGACATTATTACCACACACACCTGGCGCTGCCCGTGTTTTGTAAGTACAACCTTGTTAGAAACGGATATTTACGTTCTATATAGTTTGAAAGCGCCCCCACCCACAAGCACTACACCTGGCAGCCATTACGTCTGGAGAGGTAAAATAGGCCACGCAATAACAACCACTTACGCACGCACTGTTACAGGCTTCATATTGACATGTATATTTCGTGAGTCCTTTCATGACCATATATCATTTCTAGAAAATCTGTCCTGAAATGTCATATTTGCATCAATATCTATGTAATCCATATCTTGAGTATAAAACAACAAACAATGAATTGAAATGAAGAATGGACCTCACATTTGTACCCACTTGTAAAATAGAACCCATCCATTCTATATATTGCGCCATATTCTTCTATTCATTCTCTTGTGAAAATGATCACGCAAACGATACATTTGTTCAATTTGTGAAGGAAGACTTGCCGTCAGAAATGCCCTCATAAGAATTACACTATAACTGTGTTACCAAAACGTCACAAGCATCCAAAATAATATATCTACCTACCTACCTACATTTCAAACTGTCGGGCGTAACAAAGTGTCTTACTCGCCAAGCACAGATATCTCTACAGTGGCCGTCTTAAAACAGGTTCCTAAAACAGGCTGTGTGTATTTTCATCCATGCACATGTCAACTAAACGGGTTACCCTACAGTTTCAATGGAAACCACCTGGAGGGTTGTTGCCCTTTAGTTTACAGTGTTTTCCACCAGATGGCGATGCACTCTCTCATCGCATGAAGCGGTGCCAGTACACAATGGTCCTGATATCCATATTATACAATACACTCCATGAACCTGGTGATGAACTCACACCTGTGTGGATGTTGAGAGCGATGAGTCATGGTATGCTTTGGGCACTCGTCTCATGAAGGTACATGTCTTTGTGATGGCTGAGGCTCCCTTACTAAATATGTCTGTTTGGTGTTTAATGCCGCTCCAATATTCCAGCTCCATGACGGCTGTGTGTACATAGTGACGCCTAGATCAGACAATCCAGTGATTGACACCATAAGCATTGATCTACTCAATTGCGTCTCGATGACATGTGTCAACCAAGTCAGAGTACCAGAGTAATACTTCCACTTCAGCATAGTAGGTGCCAGATAAATACTTCCACTTCAGCATAGTAGGTGCCAGATAAATACTTCAACTTCAGCACAGTAGGTGCCAGAGCAATACTTCAACTTCAGCATGGTAGGTGCCAGAGCAATACTTCAACTTCAGCCATAAGTACTTCCACTTCAGCAGTAGGTGCCAGATAACTTCAACTTCAGCATGGTAGGTGCCAGATGAATACTTCAACTTCAGCAGTAGGTGTAGGCGCTTCAACTTGAGCATGGTAGGTGCCAGATGAATACTTCAACTTCAGCATGGTAGGCGCCAGAGTAATACTTCATCTTCAGCAAGGCAGGTACCAAAGTACTGAGTGAGTGAGTTTAGTTTTACGCCATTTTAGCAATATTCCAAAAACATCATGGCAGGGGACGCCAGAAATGGGTTTCACTTATTTTATCTATGTGGGGAATCGAACCCCGGGTTCTCAGTGTGACAAGCGAACGCTTAACTACTAGGCTACCCCACCGCCCCAGGTGCCAGAGTAATACTAGTACTTCATATTCAGCATAGTAGGTGCCAGAGTAATACTTCAAATGGTAGGTGCCAGACTAATACGTCATCTTCAGCATGGTAGGTGCCACATGAAGACTTCAACTTCAGCATGGTAGGTGCCAGAGTAATACTTCATCTGCAGCATGGTAGGTGCAAGAGACATACTTTATCTGCAGCATGGTAGGTGCCAGAGTAATACTTCATCTGCAGCATGGTAGGTGCCTGAGTAATACTTCATCTTCAGCATGGTAGGTGCCAGAGTAATACTTTATCGGTAGCATGGTAGGTGCCAGAGTAATACCTTATATACAGCATGGTAGGTGCCAAAGTAATACTTTATCCACAGCATGGTAGGTGCCAGAGTAATACTTTATCTGCAGCATGGTAGGTGCCAGAGTAATACTTTATCTGCAGCATGGTAGGTGCCAGGGTAATACTTCATTTGCAGCATGGAAGGTGCCTGAGTAATACTTCATCTTCAGCATGGTAGGTGCCAGAGTAATACTTCATCTGCAGCATGGTAGGTGCCAGAGTAATACTTCAACTGCATCATGGTAGGTGCCAGAGTAATACTTTATCTGCAGCATGGTAGGAGGCTGAGTAATACTTCATCTGCAGCATGGTAGGTGCCAGATTAATACTTCAACTTCAGCATGGTAGGTGCCAGAGTAATACTTTATCTTCAGCATGGTAGGTGCCAGAGTAATACTTCAACTTCAGCACAGCATGGTAGGTGCCAGAGTAATACTTTATCTGCAGCATGGTAGGAGCCAGAGTAATACTTCATCTGCAGCAGCATGGTAGGTGCCACAGTAATACTTCATCTGCAGCATGGTAGGTGCCTGAGTAATACTTCATCTGCAGCATGGTAGGTGCCAGAGTAATACTTCAACTTCAGCATGGTAGGTGCCAGATTAAAACTTCAACTTCAGCATGGTAGGTGCCACAGTAATACTTTATCTACAGCATGGTAGATGCCAGAGTAATACTTCATATTCAGCATGGTAGATGCCAGAGTAATACTTTATCTACAGCATGGTAGATGCCAGAGTAATACTTTATCTGCAGCATGGTAGGTGCCAGAGTAATAGGTGCCGGAATCTTCATCTGCAGCATGGTAGATGCCAGAGTAATACTTTATCTGCAGCATGGTAGGTGCCAGAGTAATACTTTATCTACAGCATGGTAGGTGCCAGAGTAATACTTCATCTGCAGCATGGTAGGTGCCAGAGTAATACTTCATCTGCAGCATGGTAGGTGCCAGAGTAATACTTTATCTGCAGCATGGTAGGTGCCAGACTAATACTTTATCTGCAGCATGGTAGATGCCAGAGTAATACTTTATCTTCAGCATGGTAGGTGCCAGAGTAATACTTTATCTACAGCATGGTAGGTGCCAGAGTAATACTTCATATTCAGCATGGTAGGTGCCAGAGTAATATTTTATCTGCAGCATGGTAGGTGCCAGTGTAATGCTTCATCTGCAGCACGGTAGGTGCCAGAGTAATACTTTATCGGCAGCATGGTAGGTGCCAGAGTAATACTTTATCTGCAGCATGGTAGGTGCCAGAGTAATACTTCATCTGCAGCATGGTAGATGCCAGAGTAATACTTTATCTGCAGCATGGTAGGTGCCAGAGTAATACTTCATCTGCAGCATGGTAGATGCCAGAGTAATATTTTATCTGCAGCATGGTAGGTGCCAGTGTAATGCTTCATCTGCAGCACGGTAGGTGCCAGAGTAATACTTTATCGGCAGCATGGTAGGTGCCAGAGTAATACTTTATCTGCAGCATGGTAGGTGCCAGAATAATACTTCATCTGCAGCATGGTAGATGCCAGAGTAATACTTTATCTACAGCATGGTAGATGCCAGAGTAATACTTTATCTGCAGCATGGTAGGTGCCAGAGTAATACTTCATCTGCAGCATGGTAGGTGCCACAGTAATACTTCATCTTCAGCATGGTAGGTGCCAGAGTAATACTTTATCTGCAGCATGGTAGATGCCAAAGTAATACTTCATATTCAGCATGGTAGATGCCAGAGTAATACTTTATCTACAGCATGGTAGATGCCAGAGTAATACTTTATCTGCAGCATGGTAGGTGCCAGAGTAATACTTTATCTGCAGCATGGTAGGATGCCAGAGTAATACTTCATCTGCAGCAGAGTAATACTTCATCTGCAGCATGGTAGATGCCAGAGTAATACTTTATCTACAGCATGGTAGATGCCAAAGTAATACTTCATATTCAGCATGGTAGATGCCAGAGTAATACTTTATCTACAGCATGGTAGATGCCAGAGTAATACTTTATCTGCAGCATGGTAGGTGCCAGAGTAATACTTCATCTGCAGCATGGTAGGTGCCACAGTAATACTTTATCTGCAGCATGGTAGATGCCAGAGTAATACTTCATCTGCAGCATGGTAGATGCCAGAGTAATACTTTATCTACAGCATGGTAGATGCCACAGTAAGACTTCATATTCAGCATGGTAGGTGCCAGAGTAATACTTTATCCACAGCATGGTAGGTGCCAGAGTAATACTTCAACTTCAGCATGGTAGATGCCACAGTAATACTTTATCTGCAGCATTGTAGATGCCAGAGTAATACTTTATCTGCAGCATGGTAGGTGCCAGAGTAATACTTTATCTACAGCATGGTAGGTGCCAGAGTAATACTTCATCTGCAGCATGGTAGGTGCCAGAGTA